ACACCAATAGCAAATCAGCCTCGCGGTTGACGAGCAGTAGCAAGTGTTTTTTTCTTGGCGGGTAGTGGCCACCATCCACGGCATTTCAAACGGTGTGTGTCTAAACTTTTGGAGAAAAGGGGTGTTTTTACCTGACCAAAAAAATTCATATTCTGTTTTGCTTTATTTCCTCTTTTCTATGGATGGAAAAACAGCAGCACCCCTCCCCCCCCCGGCTCTTTCAGCTACCAGTACGGCTGCACTGCTGTCACTACCACCACACCAACGTACCCTGCTTTCGTCCAATGTTGAAACGCCGGGAATCTCACCTCAACCATGACACCGGTTCCTGCGATGGGTTGGCAGTCGAACAGGGACCAGAGTGAAAGCACGTGGACCACACACCTACCATGGTAGTCGCTCCAGGAGGAGGGGGAGCTCTGCTCATGCTCTGAGCAAGTAGCCTTCCTTCACTGGCCCTAGTTGTAGTATCACAAGACCTACTACGTAGTATACACTCCATCAAGCTGCGCCACATCGATCGGACACCGGAAGTTTCGGAGAGAACAAAGAGGCTTGTGTGGCTTGTTGCCGGCAACTCAAAACGTCTAGACTCTGCCGGCCCCACGACCACAAGCACCGAATATAGGCGTTTGGGGTGCAAGAAAAGAAAAGCAGAGAAACAATGAAAAAGCAAGGTCGGCCAGGGGAATAATGTACCTGCACGCAAAGGGTAAGCCTTACGAAGGGCCATTCCGCATCGAGCGCTCTCTTGGGGGAAGCGGCGCGGAAAAATCCTGAGACGCGCGAGGTCTGGGAGTGAAGGGCGGGGCAGATAACCTCTTTTGAGATAGAAAAAAAAAAAAAAAGGAGGTCTCGGCACTGAGATGTTCATTTCTGCGCCATTGACTTGGACCTTTGATATCGCACCTTTGATCTCGAACAGGTCGGCACTGAGCGTTCTGCATATCCTGCCGCTAGAATGCCTCCAAAAGAGAGAGAGAGAGAGAGAGAGAGAGAGAGAGAGAGAGAGAGAGACATACAGGAAGAGGAAAGAGGTCCTCCAGTGAGATGGAAATGCCCTCTCTATAACTCTGATAATCCTCGTCATAATCACAGGGGAGGATCTATAGTACTGTGCCACAACGCCCAGTCCCCGTCCTCCCGGCTGCACCATGGTCAGGGTCACCCTTGTGTCTTTCTTTTCCCTTCTCATTGGTTTTTTTTTTTATTTTTTTTTTATCAAAGTGCGGCTTGTTCAGAAACCCTTTTCTTCATGCGAGATCTATCTTTACGACGATCAACCCTCGGAAACTTGTGTGTGTCGTCGAGACTTTCTTATTCCTAGTGCCCTCGTTCGTTACTGGGGTCTGCCTCACGCGAACGCCGCCCTTGGGTACTTCTAAACAAGCGAGACCAGGCCAGCCCCTCTACTCCCGGACACGATCCTGCGCGCGCTGCTCAAACTTGTTTAGGTGTCTTGCGTGCTTGCTTTTGTTGTCAATGCAAGAAAAATCTTGGTGGCTTCGACTTCGGACTGGTTGGGTGCTTTGGCTCCGGCGCAGGGGAACCTTTCTTACCCCCCTCCTCCTCTCTGACTCCTTTTTCCCTTGCCTCAGCTGCAAGATCCCAAACGAGGTTAAATCCCCCTCCTTTCCGGCGCTGACACTATTTGTAGAGATTTCTCAGGACGAAAAGAGAGAAAGAGAGAGACAGAGAGAGAAAGGCCCCCACCCTGCCGACCTGACATGTGCAGGTCGCATCCGTAGCAGGCGGACACGTGCAGGGTCGCACTTGAACGGGAGCGGCATGCGGCAGGACGTACCGTCTTGTGATGTCTGCCTGGAGGGAGGACAAGGAGGAGGCAGAGGGCCGGGACTGGCTGTGGAGGGCAGGACCAAAGGTACTCTACTTCATAGTAGTACTCCTTGAGTAGCTGAGCGATTTGGGCTCACTCGTACAAACTTTAGGACGACCCGTGGCTTGTCCTCCTGCCCGAGAAGGCACTGTCTAGGACAAGACCACTGCAACAATCCGCTCTGCCGTGCCCCGGTCTTATTCTCACGATGCAATAGGACCAGCGTGCTTTCTGCAACGGTTCCGAGGGCTAAGCACCCTTGTCTAAAGCTGTCATGGCGGCGTCTCGGAACTGTTGTTCCTTTTTTCATTGGCACTGGCGCAGGAACTATCGTCTCCCTTTTTCTTGTGCAGCACCAACCCCCGATATGAAGTGCATAGCCGGGCCTCAGACCTCATACCCCCCCTTTTGGTGCTCAACAGAGAAGAAGGAGAGACCAAAGAAAAGGAAAAATTCCCTAGGCTGTCTGCGGCCTTGGAGCTACGAGGGTTGTCTTTCAGGATATTGCCGGGCACCCGGCTATCCAGCATCAGTTTCACCATCCATTACCTGGCCGGGACCGGCACTAGCACATGGCTTCAGGACCTATGAGCGTGAATATGTCATGTATCGTCTGAAGATATTTGCGGCATGAAAACTGACATGTGTTAAAACTCGGCCGATGCCTACTTCATTAGTTTGACCGAGGTTTATTTAATTTTGGATCGACACGTCACCCGATGTTTCCCATCTAGCTCTATGTGAGAGACGCATTTCATCATGGTTGCCTTTCTTTCTCTTTCTCCTGGGAGGAGGAAGAAGAAGAAAGGCTGCCGATCTCACAGGATGTGAGCGCAAGCTTCGGTGCGAGTACGAGAACAGAAGCAATTTCTAGACTCGCTTGTCCGGGGGCTCACCAGGACGAAAGCGCACGAGCGAGCAAGGCCGCACCCTTCTCTCAGGTATCATAATATTTCCGAGCATGATACTGATTGTTCTCTTAGCGGGCATACAAGGATAAATGTGTGTGTATGTGTGTGTGTGTGTGTGCGTGCGCGCGCCTGTGGATGTTGTGTGGTTTCAACATTTCCTGTTCCTGTGAAACCTCCTCCACCGCGGGAGATGGCGCGAAACTCGTTCTTTGAGAGGCCGCAGCAGGAGATCGATCTCGGATATTCTCAGGTATAGTGGTCCAGCCCTCACGCAGAAATGCTTGTTTTTCGATTCCTGCTTGTTCTAAATATATTAACGTGTGCTCGCTCGATAGCTAATCCCGACCGGCGTTTCCAACGACCGTGTTCCTGTTTTTCAGGGCTCTCCTCTTTTTGGTGGAGATGTTGTTTCGTCCGGTGTGAGTTAAACTGAGGCTGGCGCAGCAAAGAATGCATTATTATTATTGTGAGCTCGCGCGCGCGCGAGAGTGGTAGAGGTGAGACACGCGCGGTATTGTTTTTTTTTTTTTGGGGGGGGGGGGCAGAGATCCCAAGGGACTGTGCTCCGTTGCTCTCCTTTCCTGGAAAGCTGAGTTCATTCTTGGAAGTGGTCCCAATAGAGAAATGAGTGGCCAGAGGGCGTTTACACACGTGCCCACGAGGCTCTACCGCCACATTTTGAAACGGCACGTGGCGGGGGAGAGCCATTGGGGGCGTCGTTTTCGGGGTTTCCAGCTGAGGCGTTCGAGGATGATTTTTTGCCTAGTGGTACCATATGACCAGTGAGGTTGCTGGGAGGACCCAGAAATACTGTCTTCTAATACGGGTTGCTGATCATCATGGGACAGAAGGAAGAACCATAGAGGTCACTCTCAGTGTCAGCGACTCGACGAACTCCTCCCCTCCATACAGCACAAGTGACTAGAGGCAGAGAGAGAGAAGCTTGAGACCCTCTCGCGTGTCTCACAAAGTTTCCCTGTCCTACATCGCTCGACACTGTGCAGCATCCGGAAACGAAAGGAAGAAAAAGGGCAGAGAATACCGCCCGGAAAAGACTGCGGCATCTTGTGAAGCCTGTCTCAGCGCCGCGAGAGCACCCCTCGTCTCGGTTATCGTGAACCCCCGGCGCTCGGTCAGCCTCGCTCGCAAGCCCGGCTGTATTTGGTTGCTGGGCGGCGGCGTGGTCTTCAGGCCGCTCGAGAGGGACTGGGAGTGTGCGAGAGAAAGAGAGAGTATAGAAGAAGGGGGGGGGGGGCTCGTCGATGGAGACAGCCTGGCCGGGATTACGTTCGGTTAGGCACCAAAGATGAAATGCAACGTTTCTGCCGTTAAGATGAGCTGGCTGAGTACTGGAAACACTACCTTGATAGCAGCGAAAGTCTTGATGTCATGAGACATGATATCTGACGATGCTATTATAGCTTGTGATCACACGGCCACGATGAGGCGAAATATCAAAAAGAACCTTTTGATGGGAAACCCCGTTTTGGGTGGCAGGGCGGGTGAGGAGATGAGGAGCGCCGCAAGAAGAAATTCAAGCCATCGTCCGCTCCTTGATCATCTCTAAACTGTTGGGAACGGCAGGTAGACTGCCAGGTGCCAGAGGCGCAGGCCAGGGGTGGGAGTTGGGGGGTATAGCCACCACAAGTGACTCGACTTCAACGTTCGCCTTTCGCAAGAAAGAAAGTAGACAGGCGCTGTGGCGTAAGCTGCCCCCCTGGTACGGAGAAAGCAGGCTGCACATCATGGCCTCATAATTTCCTGCAGGATAGGTAGGGTACCAACAGAAAAAATGAGTATATTCCCGAGTATCATCCGCGAGAAAAAGCAAACATGCACAATTCGCTTATGCGTGGCGGTAGGTTCGCGCCTCTGAACGAGCACTAGTGCATGAGGCGCTCCGGCACCAGATAGATTGGCAAGCTTGGGCTACACCTGGGACCCGTATCCTTGATTGAGGGAACCTTTGGTGGTGTTGCTTTTTCGATCTCCAGCAAAGCCCGTTCCCAAGAGGAGACGGCAAGACGTCTCTCGCCCGCACGCCACAAGAATGCACGGTCAAGAACGAGGAAAAGGAAGCATCTCCTCTCATTGGCGCCTTTACGCTTAGGTTACTCGCGCTACTATTGTCATCCTGAAGATACATCTACGCGGGCGTTTCGAGGTGTCGATTTTAGTAGGGATTTCTTTCTCAAGGGTCTTGTTCTTGAGATTGGGCGGAGAGAAATTGCGGCGGCACTTGGATTTGCTTTGACCGTTTAACAAACTGTATTTGCTCGAGCAGTCACCTGTCTTCTATTGCGTTCCTCAAAAATATTGAGTATTGTGTGAAGTCGACGATATGCCTCCTTGTGTCTAGTAGTCATAGAAGCCCTTGCCGCTCTTCTTCCCCAGCCACCCTGCGTCGACCATCTTGGCCAAGAGCACGCTCGGGCGGTACTTACTGTCACCAGTCTCGGTGTGCAGGACTTTCATGATGGCCAGGCAAGTGTCCAAGCCGATGAAGTCTGCCAGCTGCAGAGGGCCCATGGGCACGTTGGTGCCGTTCTTCATGATGGCGTCGATCGAGTCCCTGTCACCCACGCCCGTCTCGAGGCAGATGACGGCCTCGTTGATATACGGCATTAATATGCGGTTGGCTAGGAAGCCGGGAGAGTCTGCAGACACGGACGGGATCTTGCCCATCGCCTTGCAGAACGCAATGGCCTTGTCCACGGTGTCCTGGCTGGTCTGCAGGCCGCTGATGATCTCCACGCCCTTCTGCACCGGCACCGGGTTCATGAAGTGCGTGGACACCACGCGCGAGCTGGCTGAGAGGTCCTTGGGGTCCTTGGTTGTTGCTGCGGCTATCTTGGTGATGGAGATGGAAGAGGTATTGGTAGCTAAGATGGCGTGTGGCGGGCAGATCTGTGCCAGCTTGGAGAAGATATCGAACTTGAGGCTTGGGATCTCGGGCACGGCCTCGATCACAAAGTCGACCTCGGCCAGACCGTCCATAGAGGTAGTCGGGATAAGATTCGAGCGTGCCTGGTCAGCCTGCTCCTGTGTGATGCGCTCCTTTGCTACATCTTTGGCAAGCAGCTTCTCTGTGGAGATCTTGTCAGCACGACAGATTGTACATTACAATAAATCGTGACACAAGGAAATAAAAGCCTACCTGCAAAGGACAACCCTTTGTCCAGCGATGCCTGAGAATTGTCGACGACCGTGACGTTGACCTGAGCCTTTTGCGCTGCCACCAGTGCTATTCCCAGTCCCTATAAAATAAAAAAAAGCACGTTCAGTCGCAGTGCTTGGCTCGTTGGATGTCATTCATCATCACATGCTTGAGGAACTTACCATCTGCCCGGCGCCGATGACGCCCAACCGTCTCACTGGTGCTGAGGCGGAGCTATAGCATCTTGACTGGGGGATAAAACCTTGCAATAGGCGTACTCTTGCCAAAGATGATGCCATTTTCTTTTGGGTCCTGAGCTGAGCAAGGTGGTATCTGGGAATTCAGGAGGAGGAAATAAAAGTTCCTTTATGTCTTGAACTGTCCGGGACATCGATGCACACCCGAGGTCCCGCTTAGCCTCGGGATTGGGTCTATCGGTATCGGTGCTCCAGAATGCTGGCGGGTTAGGGTTTGCACCGAGCTCACTGCGACAGTGTACAGCATAAGCCACTGAACTAATTAATGGCTAGCCAAAACGCGTCGTCCAGTGGCCGCGACGCGTCTCCCGTATTTCGATATACACGCTGCGACCACCAAGGCCCACGGCCGCCACCCACCACCGAGGACATAACTCACCTTCGTGACTCGAGAGCCTGGTGGCTTCTACCTCTGGGAGGCCACTCTGCCTCGAATACTTTTGACCATGGACCCTCCGGCAGGTCGAGAGGATGTCGTGCACCCCGAGGTTCGGGCGCATATCAACAGTCTAGTGTCTGCTGTAGGTCGTCCGTCCCTTTTCATTCATTTCACCGCGTTCTGGAGGCATATGTTTCGTGACTGACCATGCCGTTGACATAATTATAGCTCGGAGGCTTCAATGATGAGGACGATGGCACATACTATAGACTGGGAGACGATGCGCTTGACGTCCTCCGCGACATCAAAAAATGGATTCGCTTCTACGACGAGAAGACCAACCGCATGGACGTTGCGCGGTGTCTGGCCGACGCAAACCTTGTCAGCGGCGATCTGATCCATATCCTCGCCCTCTGGAGTGAAAATGGTAGAGACGATAAATACAAGGCCAAGGTGGCGCTGGCCTGCTTCGAGCTCTTGGCCCCCTTGACGTGGCCCATCGAGAAGAACCGCGAGACTATGACCAACAATCATCATAGGCACGTCCCGGTGCTGGAACTCGCACAACTCAAGTACAAGCGGGATATCATCAATTTCGACAGCGCACGCTTGTTACATACGGCAGTCCGTGCCGCCCTGCCTTCCATGGCCCTGCCCATTGGGGACAGGACGCAGAGGGACGGCGGTATCATCAAGCTGGTGCTGTACTTTCTGCGCAATATCGCCCTGATCGCATCAACTCCCGGGATGAAGACTGAGGGTGACGAGTCCCAGATATCGCGCTCGGCCACAATCGACGCATTCTCGTACCAGGACATCTTCTTCACAATCCTAACACTGGCATCGAACATGGGCGAAGACTTCAAGACAGAGGATGTGATCGTGATGGAGATTATTTTTCATCTGATCAAGCGGGTCGACAACAAGAAACTCTTCCTCAACGAAGAGGAGCTGCGAAAGGTCAAGACAGGCGAGTTGGCCGACGCAATGAAGAAGGAGGCCTCCATGTTGCGGTCCTACAACCGGAAAGCACCCACTAGGCACAGCCGTTTCGGCACGATGCTCTGGGTCCAGAAGTCAGACGGGAAGGTCTCGTCACTGTCTGGCCAGGGCGCACTGGCTGATGTCTCCGCGAGAGAGCGGAAGATGGACGAATCCAAGACCTTCCGACCGCCGAGACGAGCCGCCAAGGAGGCTATGGAGCCGGTTGCCCTCGGACCACCTGTCGTATTGAATGCGCGAGCAAACAAGCAGCTTCGCGATTTTGTTGAAGAGTTCTTAGACTCTGGTTTCAACCCTCTGTTCCAGCAAGTGCGGAAGACCCTCGAGAGGGAAGGTGTCGAGGTCATGTCACATCATCCCCAACAGTTCTTCTACACTGTTGCCTGGTTCCTTGAGACGGAGCGTGCCAGACAACATTCAAAAAGGGGGCAAAAGCCGTCTTCAGATGAACAAGTCAGCAGTTACCAGCTCGTCGCTACCGTCCTGAACCAAGAAATGTTCATCACTGTAAAACGCTTCCTCGTCAAGTCTTACAGCGACGGCAACTGGAGAGAGCTGAATGCCGTCATGCGCTGCTTGACGCAGATTCTCTTGACAGTCCAGGAGATGTTTTCATCAGACAACGAGGAGGATCAAGAAATCGCCGAGAACGCGCTGGGCCGGCTTTTCTACGAAGAGGTCACCCACGATACCATTGTCAATATTGTACGCACATACAAAGATCAGGGCTTCGATTACCTGGACGCATGTATAGAACTGGTTCACACGTACATGCGGGTCCTGGAAGCATATTCAAAAGAGAACGTGGATATGCAGGTCCGCTCCAAGAGGCGGACTAGGACGAAGAAGAAGAAGGCTCAGCAGGCTACAGGCGCAGATGATGCGGAGGGCAATGACCAGGGAGATGGAGATGACGACTCTGCGGATGACCAGGCTGCCGCAGAGAAGACCAGCCAGGAACGGAAATTCGACTTCAAGAAGTTCGCCAACAGATTTGTGGTCCAAGGTGTAGTGGACACCTTCGTCAAATACATGAACTACTACAGGGATCTCGACGACTCTCAGTTGAAAAGGGCACATCGGTATTTCTACCGACTGGCCTTCAAGCAGGATATGAGTGTGATGCTCTTCCGTGTCGACATCATACATCTTTTGTACAACATGATCAAGGGACCTGAGCCTCTGGACAAAACCCTTGGCATGTACAAGGAATGGGAGGAACTCGTGAAGCAAGTGATCAGGCGGTGTATGAAGAAGATCCAGGAGCGCCCAGCGTTGATCATTGAGCTATTATTCTCCAAGACGAACTCTACGGCTTACTACCTGGAGCATGGCTACGACAAGCAGGTTCTCAGCACTACTACGCCCAAACCTGCGGCCGAACTCGAGTTCCGGCGGGTAGACCTGGCTTTGGGTGAGCAGATTGCAATCGCTGTCAGTCTGTTGCTCGAGAAGGAAGAATCAGACCACTTAGAATGGGTGAAAACTCAGTTGATCGCCTGTGAAAAGCAGCGTGAGGCGTGGGAGGCATCGGAGAAGGCGAGGCTCCTGCTCGAGGCACCTGATGGCAGTATGGCCTTGCCAGACAACTGGGAGGTGGCGATGAAAGAGCCCGAGATGTTCAGTACGTTGGAAGAAGCCCCAAATCTGCTCTGGTGTCAACACACAGCTGACGATTTACAGTCATCCTTTCCGACGACGATGCACGAAAAACAGCCGTCTTCAAGAACCCACGCCTACGTCTGTTAATGAAGGTTGTCGGCTTCGAGCGTCTCGCTCCCGCCTTGGACGAAGAGCTCGGTTCAGCCTGGATCATCCCACCACGCCACTCGGCTGAGGATCTCGGAGAGTATAGGGATTTGATCAACAAGGCGATGGATAACCCCGCGATATTTGGGGACGGCGAGACCGCCGATGCACAAGTCCGCCGCAAGGCTGCCCCTCGTAAGAAGGCCGTCTACGACGATGACGAAGATGACGGTGCCAATGACTTCCTGGATGACGGTGACAACGCCATGTTTCCCAAGAACGCCCGCTGGGAGAAGGTCGGCGACGCAGGGACCAAGAAGCGCCGTACGCGCCGCAACAAAGACAACCTGGATAGCGAGGACGACACCAATGATCTAACCACGGAGGAAAGAGATGCTGTCCGTGACAGGAGGGCTCACAAGCGCCGCAGGCGCGACCTCGAAAGGCAGCTCAAGATCAAGTCCGCGCTGTACATCGACCCGGCCGATGATGAGAGCGATCCCGAGAATGACGCCGAGTTCTTTGCTCGGGAGGAGGCGATCCGCCAGCGCGTAAGCAAGGCGCTTGAGTTCGCCCCGACGGATGTGTCGCAGCTTCAGGAGAGACTTGCGCCCGCGGCGGCAATCGCCGAGACCATGAGACGGCTGATGGCGGACAGCGATGATGACGAGCAGCCCACAGCGACGGAGAGTGATGGTGATGGTGATGGGTCGCCATCTGCCAGGCCTAGGAAGAGGAAATCCGAAGCGATGGATTTGAGTGATGTGGGTGCTGGTGCGGATGAGACAAGTTCACCGCCTGTTAAGAAGCCGAAAAGCAGGCTTGGTTTCCTGGTTGACAGTAGTGACGAGGAGGATGAGGACATGGACGATGCCGAATCTTCTTCTGATAACGCTGGCGCTGATGAAGAGGAGGTGGACAACGACGACGAGGACGAGGACGAGGATGCTCCCCACGAGTCTGACGGGGATGAGATGGAGACTGATGACACGCCGTTGTCATCACATTCAACAAAGAATGTGAAAGATGATGAGAAGACTGTTGAAAATCGGTCCCCTCTCAAAGAGAAGGACAGCAATGTGTCTGCACAAAACAGCAGCAAGTTTGATGATGCTGATGATGGCGAGGATGATGACATTCCTGTAGCCACCAAGAGACGACCGAGGGTGAAGAGTGGATTTGTCTTGGAAGACAGCGATGAGGAATAGTTGTTGTTCTAAGCATTTGTTCTGTTGCAGGAGTTAATGTGGACAGATCAGAGTCTTTGAGTTTAGCTGGCATCTGTTTGCACTGAAGTTGGAGGTATCCAACAAGGCTGGAGGAATAGAATTGAGACATGTTTCCCCTTCGCCATTGACTAGTATTTTGTGTAGAGCGGGTATCTGCATAATTTCTTTGGATTCGATGGAGGTGTGCAGGTGTTTTTCTTTTGCATTATCATTAATCACTTCTTATAAGGTCTTTTCCTCGCTTGATCCCCTACTCAGGTAGCCCCTCTGTGAGGAAGGAACTGTAAATAAGAACAAGACTGAGTAAGTATGGCCTCTTAGTCCACTATACTGCTTCCTGTTTGCTGCTGGACACAACCAACCCCCCAGTGGTCCTTGATCCAATGCAAGTCCCACCCAGAAATTATTTGAGGAAGTTACTCTTGTGCTGCTTCGCCACCATCTCTTTGACCCATGCCACAGGGCCTTTAGGGATAGTGATGACAGTCCCATCAGGTCTTGGAATCTCTCGACGTTGCTGTGTGTGTGGCCAGGTGAGAGCCCCAGTAACACCATCATGAGCAGGTCGAGCCTGTACATGTTGGTTATCAAGAGCTCTCTGAGAAGTGGACAGCATTGTATGAAGGGGCGTACCATCAGATCCACTATCTTGATCCCCTCCACGGATACTCATGCAGCTTCTGTCCCTTACACCACCAGAGGCGCCGTGTGTGCCTGGCACAGAGCACAGGATGGAGGAGCAGTCAGAATCGCGGTCATCAAATCGGGACCGCTTCTAGCGCCGCCGACTTAAGCTGCGGTCCCTGCGACCTCGGTCCCGTCTTGGCGAGCGGCTTCTGCTGCGATCACGTCGAATGATGGAGTCCCGGCGGTCACTCCTTTCATCTCGGTCCCGATGCCTCTCGCGATCACGATCTCTATCACGGTCACGATCACGGTCTCGATCACGGTCTCGAGATGAGTCCCGCACACGATGACGAGGCCGGCTCCTGCTTCGGGGTGAACGGCTGCGCCGCCTGTCCTTGGCACGATCCCGAGAGCGATCCCGCCGCGTGGAGCTGCTTTGGTCGCGGCGGAATGAGTCTCGACGGTCCCTCTCTCTGTCCCTGTCTCTGTCCCTGTCCCTGTCTCTGTCCCTATCCCTGTTCCGCTCGCGATCTCGATCTCGGTCCCGGTCCCGGTCACGGTCGCGGTCCCGATCACCACGGTCCCGATCCCGATCCCGATCCCGATCCCGATCCGGTCGATGCGAGTCCATGAATACCGGAGACCTACTGCGCCTCCGGCTACCTGTTGGTGGGACGTAGCGATCGATCTCGTCAGGAGGACGGCGTCTCAGATCGGGCGATCGCTCGCCACGGTCACTGCGATCACCAGGCGGGTCGAAGTCGATGCCAGGAACAGGCATGCCCTTTTGACGTGCCTCTTTCTGTGCGGCCAGGTAGGCCTTGGCCTCCTTCTCCCGCTCCCGTACCTGCTCCTGCTTCCACGCCTCTTTCTCATCCTTGTCGAGATAAGCGGGTGGGCGGTCCAGAGCCTTCTCTGGACTCTTGGACCGGGCTCGCTTCACGCCTCTGTCTGTACTTCTCGACCTTCTGCGGATCGAGCGAGAGCGCTCTCGCTTCCTCGACCGCAGACGAGATCGGCCCCGAGTCTTGGACGTCGAAGGCTGTCTTGTCCTATCGTCAGACCTGGACCGTCTGCGTCTAGGAGTTCGGGATCTCTCGCGTCGTTCTGACCGCTCGGGGCTACGCCGGCGGGGTGACCTGGACTTTCTGTCGAAAGAACTGTAGTGATCCCGGGCGGCTCGAGGTCGTGGTGAAGGGCTCCGTCTTCTCTCGTCTCTCCTGAGGGATCGGCTTCTTGACCTCCGTCGCCTGGTGGAGCGACTCCGTGATCGTCGTGAATAGCGGTCACGACTGTGATCTCGTCTAGAGTCTCTCACATCTCGTGGGTCTCTGCCGTCATCCGTTGTCCGCCTAGTCCGTGAAGAAGACCTGTTGCGGCGTCTATGAGAGTCTCGATCCTTGTCATCCCGGTCCCGGTCTCTTGATGCAGACAGGTTACGCCGAGTCTCCTTTCGCGGGTTGTCCTTTAGTGAAGAATCTCGTGCCTTGACGCTGGATGATCTGTGTCGACTTCTGCCTCGCACATCTTTGGTCGACGGCACTGGAGAACGGGATCTGCGATGAGAGCGTGAACGACGCCTCGTCGGGCTGCGAGATCGCTTTCTTTCCTCTCTGGCCTTGACATTCTTCGTCTCCTTGGGTTCCTTCGTCTCTTTTGTCCCTTTGGACTCCTTGGACTGTTTCACCTCTGCAGGCTTGTGCTCCTTCACAGATGTGGCAGCTTTGGTCTCAGTAGGCTCCTCTGTCTTTAGCTTCGAAGTAACCGCCGCCTCGACCGGCTTTTTGGACTCGACCACCTTGGGAGAGTCTCTGCGGATAGGTTGGATTGCTGAAGCAGGCATGGTCTTGCGTGGCGGCGGTCTGAGCTCCTCGTCAATCTCCAGCTCCGGTTGCTGAGCCGCGACCCGCTTGCTGTCTCGGAGCAAATCAGCCAGTGCCTCTTCCTCAAGACGGGAAAGCTCCTCCTTCGAAAGCTGCTTCTTCACGTCTTCAGGTTGGCCGCGGCTATCCCCCCTGGAGCTTCGGTGCCGTCGGGATCTGTCTCGAGAACGCTCACGGTCTCTTGAACGAGCTCTTACTCGCGAGCGGTCTCTTGACCTCAGACGGTCCCGGCGTTCCCGCGAACGGTGTCTATCTCGATCTCGATCTCGATCTCGATCCCGATCCCGCTCTCGCTCTCGATCCCGATCCCGCTCTCGCTCTCGATCCCGGCTCCTGTTGCGATCACGTTCTCGGGAGCGCTCACGTTCTCTGGAGCGCTCACGAGCCCTTGAGCGTTCGCGACGTTCATGACGTTCGCGGCGCTCGCGCTCTCGCTGCTCACGCTCCTTCACGCGCTGCTTCTCCCTCTCCTCTCGCTCCTGTCGTCGCTTCTCCTCCCGGGCAGCTCGCTCCGCCTCTCGCTTCTTAAGCTCGGCACGCTCCTCCCGTTCGGCGATCTCTCTCTTCTGGCGGGCAATCATCTCCTCCATAGCCTTGAGTTCGGCATATTTCCTGTCCCTTTCGGCACGTTTCGTAGCGGTCTCTACTGCGTAGTCCTCGTCTGTCTTGGAGCCCTTGACTCGCTCGGCCTCGGCGGCCTCAGCACCGATTTCAGCGGCTCGAAGTTGGCGGATCTGGTCTTCGATGGGTCCGATGTCGATGAGGTTCTCGAGGATTGCCTCGGCATTCTTGTAAATACCCGTGCGGTCTAGTGCACCGTCAATCAACGCGACTGCCTTTCCGCGGTCGATGGCCAAGAGCTGCATTGGGTTTCTTTCGACTTCTGCCTCGGCGACTTCGATGATGGCGTCTTGGATCTTCGTGCGGTGCTCCTGCGCAGTAACGATCATCAGCATCTGCTTGAAGTGACACAAATTGTAGAAATTTGGATACTATGGGCTAAAATCGCACGTACGCTTGCTTCGAAAGTGTCCCAGACATTCTTGCGTGTCTCGTCATAACCTCCCTTCTTTTTGAAAGCGTGGGCGAGCTCCTCGATGGCCGACCGTGTGGCGGAAGGCAGAGGCAGCTCAGACGCCTTGTAGTGCCTTGGCCTGGGGACGACAGCTGGCGCCTCGGCCATCTTGGTATCGCTGTCTGCTGATACATCGCCGTTGACCATTGTAGGCACAGTCGCCATCGCGTTGATGGCAGCGACCGCCATTGTTCAAAGAGAGTGTGCCTTGGCGGGCAAGCTCAGAGAGAGCCTGCTGGTGTCATCAAGCTAGGGACGTAGGCAGGGCCCAGGCCTGCTCTCGAGGGAGCTTTGGTCCAAGCAGTGAGCGTGAGAAGTGAGGGAAACTTTTGATCAGAAGAAAGCCCGTCGCGCAAAAAGGAAACGGAGTACGGCGCGGTAAGTATGCAGGGATCGCACGAGACGACGTGCGTGGGGCCCTGCACACATCCCTGGGATTGGACAGTACAGTAGGAGCCGCAAGTGGATCTCTGGGACGGGAGCCCGCACTGACTTGCCTGCCCCCCCCCCCCAAACCATGGCTCACGCTAGGAGCTGGAAAAAGACCTCAGGTCTTGTTCCAATGAAGCTCGGGCTATCAGTCATCCACAGCCGACCTCAATTGACGACCACTGACGCGTAATAACCATTCGAAAGCGAGCACGACCCATCGGACACTGCTCCGTCGAGCATTGACTACGAAAAAGAAGAAGACCTCCCCCCCCAGCGCTACCTCCCCCTTCCTCTGGCCCGTCGGTCTCCCGTTCAATCGCGCTGCAGAGATGGTCTCCCGCATTATCTTCTGGACTGGCTTCGGTACGATACACGCCCCCGCTACGGCGCACCTACACCTTGGCACATGAAAAAGGAAAGAGACGTCTAACAAGGAACTTGGTAGGCATCGCGACCCGGGTATGGCAGCTCGGTCTGCAGCAGATCAAGCCCTGGTCACCTAAGCTCCTCTGGGCCTACCCCATCTTCGGCGCATGTGGTGCGAGTTTCGGATACTGGTTAGAGACTGTCGACAAGAAGCAGGTGGAGATTTTACAGGAGAGGAAAGAGGCAATCCTGGCCAAGCGAGCGCGGAGAGCAGCACGGGAGGGCGAGGCGGCATGAAGGGATCAGTTATCCTGAGTTTCAGGCGCAGGGAATGCGCATAGCTAAGAGTGCAACATCAACGGCACGACGGCTATACGAGAGTCTACTACTACGAATTTAAATGAAGTAGCACATTTGATTGACATCAAAACTGTCTGCATACCGCGGTTGCAGGCAGTATGTCCCCTCATTCCCTATCTGCCGACGCCGTCTGCCAAAGCAAGTCGTGTGTCAAAGCCAGACTCCCGCTATAGTTTTGACCAAATGCCCCTGATCTTCCGGCGGTAGAACAGGGTCTATGCCAACGAACTCGTCGCCGCAGTAGCAAAACTTCATGCCCAGAGACGTGCGAATCAAGTCTAAAGACCCAGTCGGTCTGGAGCATTGTGGCCCTTGCACCCACATACACTCTCTCCAGGAGACTGTCACCTCGAAATTTCATTATGGCCCCATCTGACTCGCCTGACGCGATGCAACATCGCTCCCATCGCTCCATAGCGAAACAGCCGCACTGCACTGTGAGAGGCAGCAAACATTGCTTTTGGAGTGTCGCGGGCGGTGCGTTACAGTGGCATGGCCGAGATGTGAATGCTGAGGGTTTGATTCCCTACAGATAACATCAACCTGATGTACGCTCGTCGAGCTTCTTAAGCACCGCAAGGATGGCAGATGTCGAGCCACTGGCGTTCGCCTCCTCACTCTCTGTCACGACCATGGAAAGGTACTTGTCTTTCGTGACGTCGAAGAGCAGCCGGAAATGGTCAGTGGTGCATTGGTCGGGGTCGATTTCATTATAGGTGAGGGAATCGACCGAAACACGTTCTCTGTCGCAGTTGACCGTCTCGAGAAGTGACACAACGGGGACGTCGGCATCCTTGGCTGCCATGGCGATGTCAGAGGTGCCCGCCATCGCGTACAGTGATCCGTTCGCAAACATGGCCTCGCCGCCCAGGAAGACCTTGGAGGCGCGCCTGACGTGTATGCTGATGCCAGATAGACTGGGATAGTAGTGAACTCGGATGCCGTCGTTTCTGAGGATCTTGGCGAGCTCTTGGCCTGAACGGTCAAAAGGGTCGTCGAAGACAATCACCTCGAACTTCCGTCCCGCAGTCCAGGCCCGTTGCAATGTTATCCGCACGAGCCGTGGGTTGCCATAGGTGAGTATGGTCTCGCCGTCTTCGATCAGCGACACAGCCTTGGAGGGAATCGCATCCTCTGCGTAGAGCACTCTCTCTTGGATGAACTGCTCTATAGCCTGGCACAGAGATATCTTGGACTGCTCCTCTGAAGCGTTGATATCTACGAGCTTGGCGATCCTGGCCTTGAGCATGCGGATCGCATTACCCATCGAGAAACACATGGGTCGGCATCCAGTCAGGTACTCAATCTGAGGATTCAGACAGTGCGGCAGGAAGTGACGCGTAAATGTGTGACCAGATGGACTTTCATATGATGCGATCACCTAGAGTCCTTGATTAGCCCCTCGAAAACATGCAGGCAAGTTGGCCTGCGTATCTCACCTTCTGAAAGGCCACAAGCATCGCCTCGAGCCGCGCCAGGTTGTCCTTCAGCGTGAAACTGGCCATCTGCTGGCCGATAGCCAGGACAGCCGGGTGCACATCTTTGTCGGCCTTGGATAGAGGCAACTTCTTCGCCATGGATAGGTAACTGAAAGTCTCCGGCACCTCAGGCCCCTTGGGTTTAGGAGGATGCGGAGCCTGCATGGGCGCGGTGCCGGCCTTCTTAGGGCCTTTGGCGTTGGGAGTCGACGGCGGCGCGGAGACATCCTGCTTTTGATTTCTCTGCTTTGAGGAGCTCTTACTGCTATCGTTCGTGTTAGATACGGTCGCAGCCTCTGCTGAGCTCTTAGCTGCGACAACCTGGCCTCTGCGCGCAGCCTTTTCTGCCTTCTTCTGCGCTTTTAGCTGCGCAGGTGTCAATTTCGGTGCCGCATCTTGAGGGGCTGCAGGAGCTGGTGCAGGAGCTGGTGCAGGCGCATCTGCGGGTACAGCTGGAGGATTGTTTTCTGCCATGCTGCAATGCCGGCAAATTTTTCGATGCTGTGCAGGCCGTCGATTGACTGTATGTTGGCTGTGGTGAGGATGATGGTCAAAAGTCGACAGTGGTGATCTTTCAGTGACTCAAAAGGCTCGATGTGGGATGCGATGTACTTCCTGCCCCACACTAAAATTGTCTATTGGTGAGCGGGCCACTAGTGACTCTTGCTTGCATGTGAAGTACTATGGTACATACTACCGTAGTGGTAGCTTAGTGGCAGGGGTGTGCTGTGACCCCTGTTTCTACCTAGCTTTTTATTTTTATATTTAATCATTATTGTTAAGGTGATTATCATATTCCAAGTGTCTGGAGACGGTGACATCCATCCAGCTCTTGATTTGTTGCAAATTGAGAGTAACAGGTCCGAGATTCCGATGTCAGCCTGACAATGAAGACATTATGGTGCCCACACTTTAGATTGTAAACTAGACTACTACTGCTTTGAACCATCGAACACGCATACATACACAACCTCGGTACCTGCCAACAAAGTGGCGGGCTCTCATCACGCAAAACACTTCATCATATTAACGTATCCAACACTCATATACATTGTTTAGGTTTCTAATAGAATTTTCTCAGATCATTGTAGGTACACCTAAAGTTCATTTTGAAGACTCAGATGAGATAGACAAGCACAGCTGGGAGAGTGTAAAGGCCAAGCTGTAGTCAGCTCCTGAAGAGTGGGATTCAACTGGAAAGAAGAAAAACATGTTCTATACCAAATTATGCCAGACCCCATATTTGATCCTGCATTGTTCAAACTACTGCTCTACTGAGAGGTATGTGCCAATGGCACAACATCATATCTTATGTCTTGAAGCATTCCTCGGAGCCAAACCTATCGGAAACCTGCCCTCAGCCATCCACCCCACGCTCCTCAGCGGCATCATTAGGTTTGGCCTGGGCCTTGCCCTGCAGGAAGAGCTTCAAACTGCCCAACAACTTGCCTTCCCTTCCCTTCCACTCCTTAGAACCCTTGACCTCAGCTGCAGCCTCCAGTATCCTGTCCACCAGTATCTGGGCATCCTTCTCCTTCGCCTGAGCCTTCGTGCCGCTCTTCTTCAGCAGCAGCACCTGCACCTTCCATCCCTTGGCCAGGAACCTCTGCAGATTCTTCACCTTGTGCTCCAGATCATGCGGCGTCAGCGACCAGTTGATTTCCAGCTCCTTTTCCTTGTTAGATGCTGCCTTCTTCTTGCGCTCCTCCTTCTCGTGCTGCAGCCTCTGGTGCTCCTCCTTCTTGTTCACAATCTTGGCGATCGGCCACTGTATTTCGTCTTGTTCTTCGTAATTTGGAAAGTATGTGACCTGCAGCGACTGTGTCTTGCGGTCGAGCGTCGCGAGCAGCCCTTTCACCTGCTGCGGCTCCGAGAGCCTCTCGACCCCATCGTCCCAGACCTCCTTGAGAAACACGAACGGGTGGCGGATCTCGTCGTCACGGGGCAGGCGGCCAAGCTTTGTCGAGACCCTGGGGCCGGGCTTGTCCTGGCCTGGGAGCTTCTTTTGGCGCGGTGTCTCGGCGGGCATCCTCGCGGCGGCCATCCTCGCGGCGGCGGCGGTGGCAGTGATCGGATTTCGGTACGGGTTCGAGGATATGTTATTGCTGCCCCAAGTACCAGCCGAGCCGGCTGGTCTGCCCCAATAGGCGCGTGCTTGTATTGATGAGGTCGAGAGGAGGGCAGGCACGAGAATCTGCGTGACGTGGAGGCAGTCTGAAGTTCCGAGGGTCGAGGGCATGAAAACGCGCCGCAGCGCGGTCGCCGGATTGAAAGCACATTTTGTGCCCGCCATGATGTGGGTGAAGTCTTGGGTCTCGGTCCAGACAGGGAGGTTCAAAGAAGAGGAAGGACGACGATGTAATTGATTTGGGTTGGGGTGCACGAGCCAGGTTTCCTAGCGAAGATTTGCAAAAAGTTGAAGAATGGTGAAAGAAGTTTGGAAAATCTTCCTAGTAGCTATTTACAGCTTCCCTGGCCAATCACAGGACGTCAATTATATTGACGTAACCAGGCCCGTACTTCGTGAATCACAGCTTCGGTTCAGATCCCACATAGAAACATGGAGTACAAGAGTTAATTTCTCATAGTGACGAAATACTGAATCAACTTCCTGCAGTCTTTAGTTACCCATCAAGTAAATGCGAGGTCTCCAGAGGCACAGATAAAAAAAGTTGCGGCCCGGCAAAGACCAGGTACCGGACGCTAAGTCATAAGCCCGGCCGGTACGCCGATTACCTGCACCACACACGAATCTCCTCACAAGTAAGCATCACAAGCAAGCACCTTCTATCCACCAGACCAATCCCTCACCTTGCCACTGTGAAGCTGCCAATTAACCCCGAGTCAGGCTCCAATTATGGACACAATAATTGTTATGATATTGGCGGCCATCGCCTGGTTTGTCTTCGGCCCAGTAAGTTTTGGTCCTTTTCTATGCCATGGAACACCGCTCCTGAAGCAGGCTGACCGACCCTATCATTAGGCCCTCCTACGGAACCGCACACCTATCCCCGAAACCTCGGGCAAGGTGCACAAGATCACCAAGCCGGCCGAGCTCGATGCGCTGCTCAAGGCCACGACCCACGTCGTAGTGGACTTCTACGCGGACTGGTGTCCGCCCTGCCGCGCCATCGCGCCCGTCTTCTCGAAACTCGCCGACGACCACGCAGCCCAGGGCCAGCTGGCCTTCGCCAAGGTTAATGTCGACCACGTAAACGCTGTTTCGGCTCGGTATGGTGTATCGGCTATGCCCACCTTTGTGTTTTTCGAGGACGGGCAGCCAACGCCTGTGGCCGACGTCGAGAAGGTGAGGCAGAGCCCGTCCGTTGTGCTCAAGGATGGCGGCGTGGAGAGGATCAGGGGTGCAGACCGGAATGCGCTTGTTGCGGTCGTTGAGGCCTTAGCTGTGAGGGTAACAAAGACCGGCGGTGTCGAAGAGATGAAGAGTAAGTAGGCTTCAGGATACAGAGCTTCTTGGAATGCTGGCTGCGAGCGGGAGGCTACGTGCTTCATTCAAACACCCCCCCTTCTTGCTCCGTGTTTCGAATGTCTCCAAAGTAGAGAGAATATATAGAGAATACTATCATGGCCCAATACTGCCTCTCAATATCATATCATTATCCCCCTCAAAAAGGGCAGTTTTCATGTGACGCACGACCAATCATGAAGCAACCCTGCTAAAACGTATCACTATTACATAATCAACATCCCCATCGCAACTTCCATCCTACCTAGGCTTTCTTTCATTAAGGATAACAAAAACCTTCACCCACCTCTATGTATACATCCTCTCCTCGTCTGCATACGCGACAATGTTTCTCTCATAGCCTCTTATCCAGTCTCAGTCTCAAGACGTCACAATGCCCTTCAAAACTCGCCTATGCCAGACGTACTTCGGCCGACCACTGCGCGTCTTCCTCGCAACCGGCCAATTCCTCGCCGCGGCCCACTTCTTCGTCACCTACTTCTACAGTTGGGGCTCCGCATGCGGCCCATCGATGCTGCCCGGCTGGGAGGTCTGGGGTCAGGGTGCCATAACCTCTCACCTCCACCGGCGGGGCAAGGACGTGAGGGTCGGTGACCTCGTCAAGTTCAAAATTCCCATCACACAGGGGGACGCTATCAAGCGTGTGGCGGGGCTGCCTGGTGACTATGTGCTTGTGCACAGTCCAGAGAGCGGGCGGGATGAGATGATACAGGTAAGTGAGGATGTGCGAGGGCAAGCGCAGGGGGTTTGCTCGTCCGGGCCGGCATAGAATAGGTAGTGGGATGCTAACGGGTTTTCTTTGTGCAGATTCCCAAGGGGCATTGCTGGGTGTTAGGGGATAATCTGCCTGCATCGAGAGACTCGAGGCTGTATGGTCCTCTGCCTATGGCGCTGATCGATGGCAAGGTGATCTATCAGACCGGATCATGGCCCTGGCAGTGGAGCCAGATCAAAAAGATTAGGAATCCGTTGGACGAGGAGTAGAATCCCCAGTGCAGAAAGAGATCGGTGGACAGTAGTGTCAATCCATCCAAAATAAATTGTCACGAGCAGCATCGCCCCATTGCATGTACGCTCACTGAAGTAGCGTATGTGGGTGAAAAGAACAAAAAAAAATCAAATGTCTTATGAAAAATATGATCTGGCTAGATAGTGTCTAATTACATCTCGTAGGGTTAATTAGGACCCGGCGGACCAAGTACACACAACAATATGGACAGCTCGAGTGATGCTCTCGGCTTGTGTTGTCTTCTCACAAGAAGGGAAACTGTACCGTGATGTCTCTCGGGCCGTCAGAGTTGCGAGGTTTTGCAGATCGATCATAAGACCCTGCCTGTCAGGATAATATGAACCATCAGAACCAAACTTTGAAAACACAGACCGGAGCCGCTATCCCCAACCAAACCCTTCAGATATATATATATGTAGTGAAACTCCAGGGAACTCCACGCCTGCCCGAGTCCAAGTAAATGCAATTATCGTACTCCAGGTATGAGGACGCCGCAGTTCCAACAAATGAAATGGTCCCCTAAGGGGACTAACCAATGCCAGAGCAATCTCATCCGTACAACAAGAAAAATGAATCATCAGCCTTCGATATGGGCCTTGGAGCCGCTCTGGCCCAGGAGTTCAAGGCATCGCTGTGCAAGGTTGACCACCTCACCCTCATCGTCCTCCTCCGGCTCGTTCTCTTCGGTCTCGACTTGCTTGTTCGCGATCTGTCTTATCATTTCGACAACATCATCAGATTTGCCAATCAGGCCGATCAACTTCTTGTCTTCAGACTCGAGAAGCTGAAGCAATGTCCAGATGGCAATGTGCTGGAATGTGGCATCACCGCTGCCGAGAAACCTGCTGAGGTAGCCATGGATACCACCATTGGGGTCGGTCCATGCTGATATGAAAATAGCGTAATCGCCCACTGTTTGAGCATCAGTCAACCTGACTCTTGATGGGACTGATGACAAGGGAGACATACCTTTGGAAGACAGATTTCCAAGCGCAGCGGCGCTATTGCCTTGAACCTCAATGCTTGAAGACTGAGTGAGCGGTATGAGAACATCAAAAACGCCCAGATCAAGAAGATGAGTCTTGAGCTCGTCACTCAGGGCTAGCACGGCAATGGCAGCAGTCATTTCTGACTGGACCGCCACTGGCACATCCAGCACCAGCTGCTTGCATTTCTGCACTGCTCCAGCCTCCAGGACAAGAGCCTTGTTGCGATCAGAGCTGGCAGCGAGGTTTCGAAGAGTTGAGATTGCATGACATTGAATCTCCTCGTTGTCCGTGGAGCCGAGCAGATCCACAAGGGGTTTCAGGAAGCCAGCGTCGATGATAGGGGACTCGTTCATGGGGTGTATGGAGATGTTCCGAATGCAAGCCACCGCGGATAGTATCAGCGGAAGATAGGAAGACTGAAGCAGTCGTAGCAACGGGTTTAGACCATGGGATCTGACGATGTCCAACTGATACTTCTCATCTGAGGCAAGATTGCGCAGAGCCAAAGCAGCTTGGCACTGAACCTTTGGAGAGGACGAGTCCATGAGATTGACAAGGGACTGTACGAGCTTTGCCTCTGTCTGCGCAAGTTTCTTTCGATTGTTGGCATCGACCGCGATGTTGCTGAGTGCTGTCGTGCAGTAATATTGAACGTCGACGTCGGGAGAGGAGAGGAGTTGGACCAGGACGGGTATAGCACCGGCATTCACAAGCTGTTGGCGATTCTCGTCTGTGCCAAACATTAGTTGAGCCGTCTCGTGCAGACTGAAGCCCTGATAGTCTTACCAGAATGGGTCATGTTCAGTAACGCGCCCGTCGCGTTTCTCTGCACACGCATGTCTCTAGACTTGGCCAGCCGCGTAAGTGGGCCGAGAGCACCAGATCTTGCAATCTTCGCCTTGTTCTCCTCATGCGTAGCGAGGTTTGTTATACACCCTACGGCATTGCACTGAACTTCCACATTTGGTGATAGCATTTGTCGGATGAGGGGAGGGAGGCCGCCGAGCTGCACGATGAGAACCTTGTTTTCCGCTGCCAGTAGTGTCAGCAACCAAACCCACAACCACCCTCTTCTCTCGAGAACAACTTACTATTCACAGCAAGATTACCGAGAGCTGCGCTTGCCGCCCGCTGCACCTCGATATCGGAGCTCTGAAGAAGGAACAGTATCGGCTCAAGGGTGTCACGGTCGACTTCTCGAACATCTACGCGGCATCACGTTAGCAAGTGCCTCTGCACCCAGGCGACCTTTCACTAAACTCGGTGCTGATGCCATCGCTGTGTCTACTGCTGGGCCTCAAGAATTTTATACACACCTCGCTCGGTGATCTCAGCAAACGTCAGGCTTGCGCTTCGTTGAAGGTCGATGTTATCGGAGAAGACGAGGGTGCTCAGGGCTCGGAGAGGCTCGCCGGAGAAGAAATCGGTCTCGCCGCGCTATGCTTTTCGTCAGCTCCTGGTGTGGACTGAGTAGCCGAGGCCCTTGAAGTAGCACGTACGTTTTCGAGGTATTGCAGAAGATCGGCAACAGCCTCTCGCTCGCTGTCAGCGAGGACGGGCTCGTACAGGTTATCGCGGGATTTGGCTGTGATATTATTAGACCTTCCATACCCACAGGACGCCTATAGGGAGCTGGAGTCGTACCTCCACAGCATGAGGAGCTGCAGATACCCATCTCGACGGAGGGCGTCGCCGTGGATCGACGTCAACAATGTCGGGCGTGCCGTGAGGAAGCTGTCGTTGCTCGTGCCTCGAGGGCTCAAATCGGTCTCAGATGGCCCCGGGGCCGAGTCGTTGTCGAATCCTGCGATGGTGAAGACTAGGCTACCGAGAAAATGAGAGACTTCAATCAAGGATCGGATGCATCTGCACGAGATGTTCGGGTCCGAGGTGGACACTGTACCTAGGCGTACGTAATGCGATGAGGTTGGTGGAAATGCAGTGTTTACGGCAAGAGGTTGAAGCCAAAAGATGCTGCTCACAGCCCAACCAGAACACAGATTATTGCTGTGTCATGCGTGACCTTGGCAGTGGCGCCCAGTCGGAGCTTCCATGTGGCCGGTACTTCCCAGCACTTCAGGGTCAAGGTGCCGCTAGCTTCCAGCTGTTTACCTCCCGCGGCAGCGCCTGAACGCGCTCACCCTGTGCTATGGTACTAGAACTACGGTACCCGTAATGAACCAGTGGCGCGCTAGCTAAAGATCATCGCATTGTACTCGGGGCTCACTAGACACGAGCAGGTGCCACTCTGCAGCCTCAGTATCAAGATTCAAGTTGAGAACTTTTTAGAGGCAACTTTTGGGAATGCATCCAGGTGATGATTCCTGCTGGCCAGATCACACCTCAGTCTCATTACTCATTTTCGTGTCTATTCTGTCTCTTCTTCCTGTCCGGGTAGTAGTCAGTCATCTCCATGCTGCATACTTTTTTTGAAACAAGCCTGCATAGTTCTCATATGGGTCTGAACACTTCCCGTGCGTAGATATGTCGTACTACTACCAGAAGGATTCTCATCTCGCGCGTTATGCGAGAGCTCTTCTCCAATTTCCTATGGAGGCATTTTTTCGGTGGAATACTGTAACAGTGCTGGTGGCATAGCCTGCTGCGTGATACACTATCAATACGAGATAAGACGGCGGGCGCCGCCACTATCATCACTCGATGAACAGTGTCCTCCTCTCGAAATTTCACTCTACATGTGCACGTCGGGCGTCTTGGTGGCCTAAGCACGCAAGTTTTCCTTGCAGCCTTTCTTGATATCCGTCTGACTTCCAAGGGCCTGATCATCAATTACGGAAGTCGAGTTATGAGTGCGAAAGGCGGAGGCAAAATGTCTGGTTTTTCTTCTTGTTTTCTTTTTTTCTTTCCTCCCCCCCCCCCTTCCTTCTTCGGGCAATGTTGGCAACATTATAGGACTGGGAGTGGTCCTGTTGGCTTAGCGGAGAGTCTCAGATTGAGATGCTGCCAACCACCGTTGACGTCGTGTAACTCTATTTCCTCTTCGGGCCTGCTGCAGCGATGGGCAACTGATCGCCTCATCGCGAATGCATGTGAGAGGCGCAAGTCCGGTGAAGATAGATGCGGCAAATATGATGAAGATCAAGAGGATATAATAAAGCCCAGACCAGGATGGCAGGAAAGTGAGAGATTTATTAAAGACGAGGGAGAATATATAAATATATATATATTTATCATGTGAAGAGAAGTACCGGAGGAACAGCATTGAATCCCCTGTGGGAGGGAGGAGGGGTGTGGTTCCAGTACATCCAAAGACATCTTCCAGAAGGTCGCAGAGACCTGGTCCCTCTTATCTCTGATAAACTCTACTCCTGCTACTTTGCATTGCACTCCCTGCATCCCACTGCGCTGCTGCCCTGCAAGGTGACTGTAACACAAGATTCAACAACCAAGAAGACACTGCACCTGCGAAGGGGGGAAAAAGACGTCAACGATTAGACTGGTGGGCTGCCTGATGAGATCGTGAACAAAATCATCAGCCTATCAGTAGCCTGCTACAGCTATCCAGAAAACAGCATCATACTCAAATCTCCGTTCTTGTTCAACCATCCGGTCTTCTCTCTACCCTTGCGTCTGACCTCACATCAACACCATCCCAGATTTCCGACTTTAGCGACCTGGGAGACGATTCAGCAACAGCCTGGAGCCCCGGGCGCGGTCTGGCGAGCGAGAGCTAGAACTGAAGCGGCTGTCCTCTGAGCTGGCTAGCTCTCCAAAATCCGGACGAGCGAGCGCTACTACCGCACCACATCCCGCCGCTACCAGCTGCCAGCGCCCCTCAGCAGGCAGGCGTAGTAGGGGCAAGTCGATCTGAGCGCGCGCTTTCCAGAAGCTTGAGGCACCCACTAGCGAGGCCGCGACCTGGCTGGCACAAGAAGGAGCCTTGGGAAGCGTGAGACCGGTGGCCCGCCCCAAGCCAGCAAGCATATCCCCTCATGCCCCTAGTGCCCAGCCAGCCAGCCGAGCCAGCCAGCCGAGCCAGCCAGCCCAAGGTTGACGTGCCACGGGGAAGCTCTTTTAAGATGACAGACCCCGCGAACCCCAGCGATAGCCCTTTGCCAGGAATCCCGCCCGCGAGACAACCGGGTCACGAGCTCCCCTTTGTACAGCCCTCAACGTACCTGCACCTGCGCGCTCCCACGGCCACGGCCACCTTTGGCAACTCCGGGCCCTTGTTAGCCAGCAGCGCCGCTCAGACGGCTCAGAGTCACAGTCACACAGCACCAGCAGAGAAGCCCCCAATGACGCCGTTGGATCGAGATCAAGTGCAGGGCCTGGTAAGTAGACAAGATTTCTTCTTCGAGAGCCGAATGGGCTCTGAAATTCTGACCGACGGACCCTCCATCACGCGCCATTACTACTCTCCTGCCATCCGCCTCCGATCTGCCGCGAGACGATCGTTGTGTAGAGGAGGGGCAGAATCATCCTCCCCTATCTCTCACCGGTTGCCAGTCCCCCCGTCGACGAGGCCTCTGCTGACTTGGCCGGCACCTTGTGTGCTGCGCGGGCTGCATGCGGGTGCGGGGTACCAATGGGCGAGCGCTGTGGGCGTGGCACGACGGCGGGGGGAGGGGGACACACACTCTCTCTCTCCCCTTCTCTCACACACATACGCCTGTTGTCTCTTTCAGATGTTGGACTGCAGACCATTGGAAATGAAGAGGGCTGCAAAAATAAATGGTGCACAGTATTTGACTGACCGAATCTTTGCTAGACGGCCATACGGGAGTTCCTCAAGGTTCGAACCAGTTACGATGTTCTACCGCTTTCGTTCCGGCTGATTATGCTCGACAATGACCTCCTCATCCGAACCTGCGTGAATATCTTGATGCAAAATAGTACGATATCTCCCACTGGCTCTATTTACAGTGCATCCTCTGCTGTTTCGTGGGGCTGACAGGCGCTGCATAGGCATTGTCTCGGCTCCACTGTGGGATTCCAAGACGTCGACATTCGCAGGTCTCCTTACCAGTACCGACTTCATCAACGTTATCCAATACTACCTACAATTTCCTGAAAAGCTTGAGGAGGTAGAGAAATTCCGCCTCAGCAGCCTGCGAGGTAAGTATTCAATATGCATGTTACGTTTGGGTACCGTGGGCTGGACTGACCAGACCATTTCACGCCAGATATCGAGAAGGCGCTCGGCGTTGCGCCCCTCGAGACCGTGTCCGTGCACCCAAATCGGCCCCTTTACGAAGCTTGTCGGCGCATGCTGCAGACGAGGGCGCGCAGGATCCCACTTGTTGATTTCGACGACGAAACGGGTCGGGAGACGGTTGTCAGCGTCATCACACAATATCGCATACTCAAGTTCATCGCAGTGAACAATGAGAAGAATACGACACTCCTGAGGAAAACCGTGCGGGACATCAACCTCGGAACGTACAAAGACATTGCGACAGCAACCATGGGCAGCTCGGTACTCGATGTGATCCAGCTCATGGTTCAGTACAACATATCAGCGGTTCCCATCCTAGACCGACAGGGCCATGTCATGAACGTCTTCGAGGCTGTGGACGTCATCCCTTGTATCAAGGGCGGGGCTTACGACGAGCTCAGTGAGACCGTCGGAGATGCGTTGTGCAGGCGGTCGGATGATTTCCAGGGCATCTACACTTGCACAGAAGAGGATCGACTTGATTCGATATTCGATACGGTCAGAAAATCTCGGGTGCACCGTCTGATCGTGGTGGACGATGACAACAAGCTTCAAGGCATCATCTCACTTTCAGATATCCTCAAGTACGTCTTGATCTACGGAGAGGCAGAGCACCTGGAGCCGGAGGCATGACAAGAGGGGACTCGTACCTCAGAATCATGAAACCCTCATCATCCTCTCTCTCTCTCTCCCCCCCCCCCCCCTTCTTTGGAGTCTCCGGGATATTCTTCCGTGTTTCGAGGCATTTGTAGGGCGTTCTAGGTGGACGGGTTCACGGATGGGAGCAAGGATACCAGAGGGCTGGTTGCATAAGGCGTCATCCGTCGTGTTTAGTCCCGGGCGCCAATAGAGGTATGTTTGGGAAGATGACTTTCGTTAGGTAAGGGAAATATCCTGTGCGAGACTCCTCTGATTTAGGTTATTATCATTATCAAGAGGTCAAATAGCACCCCTGTACGCTTTCAGATACAGCCGATGAAGAAAGATGCACACGTTATAATAAACAAGCCTGAAGGGACACGATACAGCTTGGTCTCTACGCAGCGAAACCTGATCCGACTTCTTGACTACCTGTGCATCTGATAACCCCCATTGCACGTGCGAGCGGATCGCGAAGGTGTCACCACCGGCGGCAACAATGACTACACGGGGCTCACACAAACAGGCCTTACAAGCATACGACTGTCGTCTACCGCGCCTCATGCAGATGGTTTAGGTGTCCTGGAATCTTCCCGTCGCACAATACCCAATGCCGCAGCACTCCCGTTCCCACCTGAATAGGCGCTTTCGATGTTGTGCAGTCATGAAATACCGGCCAACGTGTGGTTTGAAGTGAGGCAAACCCGTCGGTGGGCAGTGGCAGGCGCTGCATTGCGCGAGATGGCAGGAGCGACAGCACTTGCCCAATGTTCCTCTCTGGAGTGGAAGTAGACAACGACCCTACACTTTCTGTCTTCTTCATCTTTGTTTCAAAACTGCATCGTCCACCTTTCCTCTCGCCCGACTTCTACTTTTGACTTGTCTATTAACGGCACAATACCAACATTTCATCAGTGTTTCAAAACTTCTTTGGGCTTTGGTCAATCAGAGCTAGCATCGACATATTACGCTTCTGTACTTACCCGTCTTCCCGTCGGCCCTCTTCTTTGGTTACCACCCGCCGCCCGATGCCCGCCCAGCTTTATCATTGGAAATACCTTGGAATCAGGTCTGACGAGTTGTATCGGAAACCCGTGACAGGCGGCAGTTGCAAGGAATAACTCCAGCAACATCGAGAAACTTGATGGCTCTCCAGGTTGATGCGCACTGCGACTCATCCGGCTGATGATCAATATTGTCGTTGCAGCCCTTTCCTTCTGATCAGGACGATGAGGGAATCCCGAGAGGTTGTTACACCTGATGTCCAACCCAGACTATCTGCCTCTTCCCATGCACGTTTGCCCCTTCCCGTCAACAAGGCTTCTACTGGCGTCCGAAGCAGCACTACATGGACCTCAACCAGCGGCGACCTGGGGGCCATGTCCGATACCGATGAGATACGCGACCGTGAGAATTTTGTTATTGAATACAACAGGCTTGCTCAGAAGGTATGCTACACTGTATCAGTATTAAGACTCATCACACTGACATGTACATCATAGTATGGCGTTCGTCCACTGGTTTCCGAGAGTCCGGCGAAAATCGACGTGAGTTCTCGGGCACGAAGGAGAAAGGCAAGAAGACATTAAGAATCCCTCTAACTCTTAGAGCAGACCCTAGGGGCCCTCCCAAAGCGTGGGTGGTGGTCACGTACCTTCAGGCGAACATCCAGCCAGTCTACAGAGAACAGCGTCCGTCGCCAGCGAAGTCTCGGCCATGTAGCATCGCACGTCGCGCATCCCAAGAGGGACAGTCTCAAGGACCAAGATCTCCAAGGCTTGGTCAGGCTGTGTGGGAAAAGCTTTCTCTACCTGCCGCCCGAGTACGCACCTGGGTCCTTAATTCTTCCTACTTGTTTTCGTGCCACAGCGCAGTATCTTGTACAACATGGTCAGTCAAATCTCAGTTTCTTTATATTACACTGGAATTGTCCTATTGACTTCCCAAAGCACCGGAGACTCGTGGCGTTTTCCGTATTCCGGGGTCCGTCCGAGTCGTCAACGAGCTGTACGAGTTCTACTGCGCGGAACAGACCGGCGGTAACATCGCAAACACAGTCCGAAGTCCGAATCTGCCTACTCATATCAATGTTGGGGTGCATGACGTTGCATCCTGCTTCAAGAAATTCCTCGCGGGCCTCCCTGGTGGCATCCTCGGGTCACTGTCTCTTTTCGATGCCTTGGTCGCGATAAACAGCCAGCTCTACTGTGACCCAGAGTTTAGCAGGACCAAACAGAGCAAGATCCGTGCACGCCTAATTGCCCTTGCTGTTGGAAGCTTGAGGTCACAATTCAGAAGAGAGCTAATATGCGCCGTCTTTGGCCTCCTCTGCCTGTTGGGTCGAGCCGCCGAGATTGCTCCCCGCGAGGACGACCACGGCCATCCACTGCCTACTTCTGACCTGATGGGCTACAACGCTCTCGGCATTGTTTTTGGCCCTCTGCTGGTGGGTGACATGCTGGGGTCGCACGCTGTCAAGCTTGCAGATCCTAGCGCTGGACTTTTTCTCGTGGCAGAGTCGCCTTCAATGAAATCCAAGAAGGAGAAAAGGAAGTCAAAAGAGCAGACTGAGGACACTCAGCAGCCCTTCTTGGAGGTCGACAAAATCCACGTCGCGAATGACATAACGGAAATGCTGATCACAAATTGGAGAGACGTTGTCAGACAGATGAGAAGTGTTGACGGGAGTATGAGTAAAGAACTCCTGAGACACCGTAGTCGAGTCTCGGTTTCTGAGGACGAGCCGATGCGCCCCGGCATTTTCGGGAGGTCTTCCGAGGCCGATGTCGAGGAAACGTCCTCCAGAAAAAAATACAATGGTCGATCCGGAGTCGAGGACCCTCGGACCAGTTCTGCAGCCTCATGCTCTCGTAAGTAGCGAGCTTGATTCGCAAACTCAGCTATGGATACTGATACCGTTTCTCAGGAGCCGTGTCCTTCAGGCAGATGGATAGCACCAACGACGCTCTCTCGGTGAAGAAGACACGGTCTGACTCTGCACGAGTTGTCTCCGGCTTGCAACAAATACCCAGTGCATCGGGAGCTTTGACACCTCCGCGGCAAGAGTCTGTTGGCGAGAACCATGGAGACGACACCAAAAGGCTGCCAACGCCGTTGAAGAGTGCTCTCAAGTCATGCTCCAATACAAAGACTTCTGACGTACCTGCCAGTCAAAATGCAGCGGCTAATGAGAATCTTTCCCCTTGCCATGCCGACCTGAGCCCATCTGTACGATCACCTTCCAAACTCACTGGACCGCGAACCCTAATGAAGGATCTAGTTGATTCAGAGCCTCGAGTGCAAAATATGGAACCTTTCAAGATGCCAAAGTTCGAGTCTAGAAGGGACGAGTGGTCACTGCGATGCACGTCCGCGACACCCTCGACGGGTAGGAAGAGGCCATCACCCAAGGTCGTTAGCCAAGTTAATGCTTTCCCGGAGCGACTACAGCCATTATGTCATCGGGATCCAATAATCACATACCAAGCTGGAAATGGGTTGAAGATATTAAAAGCACCATCTACCATGCGCTCTCAACCAAGAATTCCTCAGGTCGATCCACGAGTTTCCCGATCGAGCGTTCAATCATCTATGTGGCGGGCATCATCGCGAGGATCGGCAAGCTCTGGTGTCGTGGAAGAAATAAAAGGGGCCGAGGAGGAAATTCATTATCGTATGATGCCAAATCAGGTCGCTGCGGACCAAATCGATGGAACCGCGGAATTTGTCTTGCCAGGAAGTCCGTGCCGTCGATCACACCTGGACACCAGAGGCGATTTTTCGAGACGAGATACTATCGCAACTCAAGCATCATCTTTGCCCATGCTCAAGAAGCGATCTTGTCAACCCAACGCCCACACCAATAAGAGTGGACAGTCTAGAAATTCGTCAGGTGCCGATTTGCATACAATATCTCCTAGAGCAAGCAATAATGACCTGCTTGATATCAAGCGGGGTGCCAGCAAGGTTAGGGGATTGGCAGCGATGTTTGACAGTGTGGCCAAAGCCTCACCCTTCGTGCCAACGCCGATTGGCCCCATTCAAAAGAAACGACGTGAGACTGCTAGAGTCGTCTCCCCTTACACGAGCAACCCGGCAGCCTGTGACTCACTCAACCCAGCCACTTCCGTGTCGACACCAGCTTCCTTGATGAGTGGTACCAGGATCAGCATTACTCTGGACACAACATCAGGGAGCTGGGGTAAAAAGTCTATGATTCCGCGCCGACAATATCCGAGCAATAGTGGCAGCACCAGTAACGCCGACAAACAATACAGGCTGACGCCTAAAAGTCGAGAAGAGACACGAATATCGGTTGCCCCATCTGGCACTCCATCAAGACTACGTAGCCCATCCCGTCTGCCAATCAGGAAGAAGATCTCTGATACTGGTTCACCTTGCCTGGCGCAACTTGATGGTTCGATCAGAAAGCCTGGCTCTCTCAAGCTCACAGCCCAACAAGAAGTACGACGTGCCGGCTGTTATTCCAGCTCCATCCCTCAGACAAGAAGCAGTGGCGGATGCGAAACTCTGCCACGTCTGTCGCAACGTAGCTCATCTCCGTGTTATGATGACTCGGTGAGCCTCAGCATGTATTCCAGCTCCCTCATTCACAGTCCCAGCCGTGCTCATAGTGCCTCGTCACTGCGCGATCAGATCCGCAGTCTTAGGTCAGAGCTCTCGGCAAGGAACGAGGATTGTGCACAGCTCCGCCTCGAACTTGAAGAGATCAGGAACATGAAAGCTGTGAATGAGGCCATCTTGCGTGATGGCCTCAATCGTGCGAGAAAAGAAACTGCCACGTGGAGTCGGAGGGCCGAGAGGGCCGAGAGGAAAATTGACGATTTCGAGTGCCGGGCCATGCACACTGAAAATGTGCGTAATCAAGACTTATGTGGCTATGAGCACCGTCGCGATGAACAGATCGAGGCAGGAGATGGCTACTCTTTTGACAGCGGCTCGGACCATATTGATGTTTCCCAGGCCCAGGCCCGGTCAGTCGGTGCGAGGATGAACCAGGGCATCAGGAGGGCAAAGTCGAACACCTTTGCTGGTGTTGATGGTGCGAACTGCGCTGATGATGAGTTCTCGGAGTGTTCTTCGAGCACGGTGGTGAGAAATACTAGTAGCGCTGGCGAGGATGATGGCGCGACTGGCAGTGGGCTCTGGAGCGCGGAGGACGAGGATGTCAGCTTCCCCTCCCCTGGGTTGATGGATGAGTATTTGTGAAGGACTGGGTTGACCAGAACCTTGGCATGATAGGGGCCTTAGGCGGTCATTAGAAGTTACCACTCTTCTTATTATTAGCTATTCTTAGCCTAGAGCCGGATTGGACAGACAGTGCACAATAGTAGCATCAAACAAGGCATTTCGCTTTCATTGCTTGCTCGATCAAGAAGCATATCGTTCCATACCATAGAACCGGGTCATGTTTGTTTCCCCTTCCCCAACGCCAGACAAAGCCTGACCACGCTCGAAATAGTACGCAACTTAACGACCAAAATCTCGTACAGAAGCCATCACTTGATGTGCTGCGTCTAGCTTCCAGCTGTCCGTTCTTCGTGCCCACGATACACGCCAGGCCGCATCCTCCACGACCGCAGCCCTCCCCCCCCGGGGGTCCCCTACCAGTGGCTCATCTCGGATCATTACTACCGATGCAGCTCCCCCTGGTAATTAATCGTACACGTGTGGGCCATAGATACACACACATCTCAAAGGGATCCAGCTAGGCGGTCCCAGAGCCCACCCGAGGTCTTAGCTTCGGGTGACAGGATGGTGGTGTTCCATGCCTCGACACCGTCGACGAAGAGTTGGTAAGAGAGGGAGCTCTTGTCGGTGCCGGGGACCCTCTCGATGGTGATGGCGCCGAACTTGGAGTTGCCATTGTGGATATACCTGTTTGGTTTTGTTAGCAGGTTTATTCCCAGGAGTGATTGTGTTGCACGCCAACATCGCTGCTGTGGTACACAGCGGTGGGGGGGGGGGGGGGGAAGGGACTAGGAAAACGTACTTGAGCTCCACATCTTCATCGTCGGTCTGCTTATAAGTGCCCACAGGTGAATAGAACTGGCTCAGCGGGCTCGCAGAGAACTCGTACACAGTTGCCTTGTCGTTCCATCTCGAGTCCAGAGGCGGGGGGAACTTTGTCGCAGCAAACTCGTGCCTATCTCCGGAAAGCACGACGACGCCGACGCCTCTAGCAGCAGTGTCCCACATAGCCTCGAGGACCTTCTTCCGCTCCACCAGGAAACCGCCCCAGGTGTCCTGTCTGTTGACAGGCCAGTTCTTTGTGAACGGGACTGACGAGGCGATAATCTTCCACTGTACGCCCTTGGGCTCGGGCTTCTGCAGGTAGGCGATGAGGTCGTCAAGCTGATCTGCACCGAGCATCGTCTTCTCCTCGGCTGCATATGGGATCTTGTTGTTGGACCGGTAGGACCGCGTGTCCAGCATGAAGAAGCTGGCCGGGCCCTGTGCGAATTCAAACCAGGTCACACCTCGGCTCTTCGTCCCAGCTAAGCCCGCCCTCTTGACGGCGGGCGGGTTAGCCGACGTGTGATAATGGTGCCAGGGGTCGACTGCAGCCTCATATACACCCGTCTGATTCTTGTCCCAATCGTTCTTGATCTCGTGGTCGTCAAGGACGTGGATCCAACTAAAATTCTGCCCCACTTGAGGCCACTCGGGTGATGCATAGACGGCCCTGTACTTCTGACGGTAATCGGTCACATCTGTTCCCCACCATTTGGGCACATCGACGTAGATGAAGTCGCCGAGGAAGAGCATGAATTGGGCGCCGAGACCGGGTAGGAGTTTTGCGAGGTGTCGCATGCCGGGGATCGAGAGCGGGTGGTCCAAGGGGCTATAAGGTAGGCGATTCACTATGCAAGAGGTGGAGAGGAAGGTGAACTTTCCATCATAGTCCTTTGGGTACTGACCGGCCCGCGGCGCGGAGGTGAACTCGCCCGAGTGGCCGTTGGAGCTCTTCCAAACGTAGGTGCGTGGTTCCCTGTGCACTGCAGGCACGGTAACGACAGCTGTGTAGTCGGTCTCGTTGCTCGTCCACCTGACCCCGCCGACTGTCTGCCAGATTGAGGTGTCGAAAGGAGGCTGAGGGTCCTTGAGCCGTGCCTCGATGGTGACGGGCATTTTCGACTGGTCTGGCTCCCGGACGAGCAACTTAGCCTCAGTTCCCGAGACGTACCCAAGCCTGATGAAAGACAAGTCGTCACCGGTGATCCAATGCTCGGAGTAGACACGATCAGCCACCATGAGCACGCACGCTACGTTGATGAGCAGGGTGCCGAGCGAGATGGCGAGACTGCGCGGGTTCGGCATGCCGGTGAGGAGGGAGTACAATGGGCTGACGGGAGGCTCTCCAACGACGATTGTCTCCTTGACCTCGAGCTCTTCGATGACAACATCGTCACCTCCGTTGCCTTCGCCATTGAGGACAGTGTCCTTGATGAGAATCTCGGCCTCCTCGTGAACTTCATCGTTCTGCAGACTGTTGAAGTACGTGGAGATGAAAGTCGGTATGTAAATGGCGAATAAAGTGAACACGACCGGTGCCATAGGCTATACACAATTTTTTTTCTCAGAATTATACACAGGGAGCATGCGTGCTTCTTGCGTTCAACTTACTGGCAATAGACCCTGTTTTATATGTTAGTTGACCTGGAAACACAGAACCTGGTAACGAAGAACTTACCCATCTAAGAAAGAAGTACGACCCCAGCCTGAGGACAACAGATGATACTGTTGCTAATTTCGTTTGAACTGCCATTGTTGTGAGAAAGTGCAAGTCAATCTCACCGACTGTTCATTACGGAATCCTCGGCGGAAACAAAGGTCGATGTCAATAATTGCTAGTCAGGTATCAAGAGAGACACCCTGAAGACGAGAGATGTGATATCAAATATGAAGAATTGGTGAAGTAAGCTCTCCTGGACAAGCTGACCAAGCCTCACGAACACAAAGAGTATTGAGAGCGTAAATTAGGACTAGGAACAGGAGAAGAGTAGGAAAAGAGACAACAAGCAGCAGGTGCAGCAGGCTGTTCTTTGTTGTTTTATGAAACATTACTGACAGGGCACACTACTGTGGCACGGCGTTTGGCCACACTGCAGAGCTAGGTACGTCATTGGTCCGCCTGCGGGTTCACGCGTTGGGGAGCACTGGGAGCTACTGGAGCCACCCACTGCCACCGCATGCAGTTGACAGGCTACAGGGGTTGGTCACGCACTAACAATCCATCCAGGCTTAGCGCCCCCAGCTCTCTGAGACCCCTGAAGCCCGGGGGCGGGAAGAGAGTGCCTCAAAAGCTTCCACCGTGGCCTGGCCTGTGTCGCGACAGCTGTTATCGCTCGGAACCGCTTGAACATTTACCAACCTGTCCCCGAGCACAGCAACACCACACATCAGCGCCCATCATGCAGCTGACAACCCTCGCGTGCGGGCTGCTCGCCCTCTTTGCCTCTCAGGTGTCGGCGACGGCATTGACCTACAAGCTGGTCGCGAACGAGAAGGCATGTTTCTATGCCAACAACCAGGAAAAGGCCCAGAAGATCGCATTCTACTTTGCTGTACGTTGCTGCTGTCCCCTCCCTTTGCAACCCTTTCCCAGTGCCTACCGATGATGCGTTCAGGAAGAGCTGACCAGACTTAATAGGTACAATCCGGTGGCTCTTTCGATGTTGACTTCGAGGTTACCGCCCCGTCGGGCAAAATTGTCACAGAAGGCACAAAAGAACGCCAGGGAGACTTTGTCTTCACGGGCAACGAGATCGGCGACTACTCGTTCTGCTTCAACAACGAGATGAGTACAGTTACCGACAAGTTCGTCGACTTTGAGATTGCCGTACGTCACCTCACGTCCCTCCCCCCCCCCCCCTTCGCGGCGGGTACTTGGGCTGTTCTGTCCCCCCTTTACTCACCACCGCATGATATTCAGGTCGAGAACGAAGCCCGAGTCGACCTCCCATCAAAGAAGGGAACTTCTCCTGAGCAGACCACCTCCCTCGAGGAGTCCGTTATAAAGATCTCTGGCCAGCTGTCGACCATGTCCCGCAACCAGAAGTACTTCCGCACGCGCGAGAACCGCAACTTCAGCACTGTCAGGAGCACAGAGAAGAGGATCGTCAACTTCAGCCTGGTGCAGTGCGGCCTCATTATCTGCATGGGCGCTCTCCAGGTGTTTGTGGTGCGCTTCTTCTTCCAGGGCGCGAGAAAGGGCTATGTATAAACCATACGAGCATAGTAAGAGAAGAGAGGGGAAGAAAAGAGAGAGAGAAAAGGGGAGGGGGTTGTCAATACCCGAGGTGCTCGAGTTGGTCATGGGAGTTTCATGCACGGCGTTTACTCTGATAGCCTCATCGGCGGATGTCACGAATCGGTTTTCTAGGACAGGGAAAAGAATATCACGATCAATCATAGAATGAGGAGTATGAATGTTTCTATGAGAAGTCCCTTCATAAGACCAGCCATATAGTACTTGAGCTGATGATCCCTTCTGACTGATGAGTATACTCTGAAGATAATTCGTGGACAACATTCATGCCACCTGTAACTTGAAATACAGTGATGTTTGAATCTGAATGCTCTTGTTCACGCTGGATACCAATTATACGCCTCCTTCGTTGTTCAATTGCATGCAGGTTCGCCGCGCACGACGCCTGGCATTTTGGGCTTAGGTGAACATGGGGCGTTTCTCTACTGGGCCTGGTGCAGAGGTGTGGGCGCTAGTGGCCCGTGCGACAGGCAAAACTGCACCCAGGCCAAACATACACTGTAGAAGCCCGCCCCCGTCCGACCTAGCAACTTCTGGAAATAATTAATCACCTCCGCCTCTCCTTCTTCTTCACCACATCAACCCCAACATCCAGCGCCATACCCCCTCCCAACGCGCCCAGTATGGCTTCCCTGGCATCCGCCCTCTCGCAATCCCTCCCGAAACCAACCTACACGGGCGAAGACGAGGAACTCCCCACGCGCGCCACCCAGCGCAGCGGCCCACGCATCGTCGGCCCCGGCCACTTCGACGAGACCGCCGTCGTTCTCAAGCGCGCCGGCGGGCCCCCTCTCTATGGGCAGCGGGTAGGATGGCGACCGCGTAATCCAGAGGACTTTGGCGATGGCGGCGCCTTCCCCGAGATCCACATCGCACAGTACCCCCTGGACATGGGCCGCAAGGGCGGTTCGGCGTCCAAGTCGAACGCGCTGGCCCTGACTGTCGATGCTGACGGCAAGGTGAACTACGACGCCATCGCGAAGCAAGGCCATGCCGAGGGCCGCATCGTCCAGACGAGCTTCAAGGACCTGATCCCTCTGCGGCAGCGCGCCGATGCGGGCGAGCTCAACCTCGAGCGGCCCAGCGAGGAGGAGGTCGCCGCCACGACGGAGCGGACCAAGGCCGCGCTGGAGAAGCTGGTCAGCGGCGCGGTGGCATCGCAGAAGCCAAAGAATATCAATGTTGGCGGGAAAAGAGACCCGACATTTGTGCGGTATACGCCGGCCAACCAGATGGGCGACAGTTCCAAGAAGCAGGACCGCATCATGAAGATCGTCGAGAGGCAGCGTGATCCGATGGAGCCTCCCAAGTTCCGAATCAAGAAGATCCCGCGTGGACCGCCATCACCTCCGCCGCCCGTGCTGAGGTCGCCGCCGAGAAAGCTGACGGCCCAGGACCAGGAGGACTGGAGAATCCCGCCGCCTGTGTCGAATTGGAAAAACCCAAAGGGATTCACGGTACCGCTGGACAAGAGATTGGCTGCCGACGGGCGTGGGCTTCAGGATGTACAGATCAACGACAAATTTGCGCAGTTCTCAGAGGCCCTGTTCATGGCGGACAGACATGCAAGAGAAGAGGTCAAGCAGCGGGCACTCATGCAGCAGCGCCTGGCGGAGAAGGAGAAGCAGCAGAAGGAGGAGAACCTCCGGATGCTTGCACAACAGGCACGGGAAGAGAAGGCCGGCAGCAGCAGCAGACGCAGGTCCCGGTCTGGTAGTTACGACAGCCGCTCCGACGCTGGGTCGGCATATGACAGCGATGACTCTGCCGTCCGTGAACGAGAGGAGGCACGCAAGGAGAGGCGTCGTGAGGAAGAGCGCAAGCTTCGGCAGTCACGCATGGGCGCGGAGCGACGTATACAGGTCATGGCCCGCGAGCAGAACCGGGACATATCAGAGAAGATCGCCCTCGGCCTGGCGAAGCCTACGCAGAGCAAAGAGGGCATGTACGACTCTCGGCTCTTCAACCAGACCAGTGGGTTTGACAGCGGCTTCAACGAGGACAACCCGTACGACAAGCCGCTGTTTGCGGCGCAGGATGCCATCAGTAGCATCTACCGACCACGTGCAAATATGGACGATGACGATGAGGCAGCAGGCGACAAGGAGATGGAGAAGATTCAGAAGTCAGCCAGGTTCGGGGAGGTGCTGGGGCGCGGCAAGTTCAGGGGTGCTGAGGATGCAGAGGCCCGGGAGGGCCCAGTGCAATTCGAGAAGGAAACAGCGGACCCGTTCAATGTCGAGAAGTTTCTGTCAGAGGTGGAGCAGTCCTCGAGCAAGAGAGGATACGGTCTTCAAGAGGCCGAAGACCGCAAGTCGAAGAGGCCCCGCGTGGAAGATGACGACTAGAGTGAATAATAGCATCTGCTGGTGGCAGCATTCCCAATGGCATCACAATTTGACATCTCGAGCATCATCTCATGGGTGCTTCACGGAAGGAGTAGCGAGCTCGGAGACTTGTGCCTCATCTCATCACATCCCAGCTGTAGATGTGCTGGGAAAATAAAATCATCACACCTTCGTTGGCGGTCTACTCTGGCGGTATTGCTTCCATCAAAATAATTAAGCTTCTAGACCCCCAAAGCATGTGGTTGCAGATCAATGCTCGACAACTTTCATGCTCGCTATTTTTATGCAGGGTTCGAACTGCTCCGGATCCTGAAACCAACCTTGGGAGAAAGCGGCGAATAAGCTTGCTCTCTCTCTCTCTCTCTCTCTCTTCTGTCGACTCGACATATTGAAAGGGAATAGAACGTTAAGGTTCGGGGAACGAACAGAGAAACAAATCCACGTGGACCAGATTTATTGAACGGCCTTCGAGCCGCGAGAAAATCAATTATCCGCTTTCGCTGTCGCAACAGAATGGAGCTGCACATGCCTGAGACGGAAAGCTGATTCGCCCTTGGCTTCGCACAGCTCTTGGTACCATGTCGGGAAACATGGGACGGAAGTTGAAGTATCCTTCTTCACTGGTCCTCGCTGCTGAAACTCCTTCTGGTACAAACTGTGTTGAAGAAGGCGGGGCCTTCCAAGGGGTGGGGACAACAGCCAGCATCAGAAAAGCAAATCGCTGGTTGAAGTACTCCCCCCTCACGAACATGATCTGCGTCAACTTTTCCCCCGGGCAGCTGTCAACCACAAAAGTCGTCCATCTTTCATCCCAGGCCCTGAGACAGTGCCGAGAAGGCAGCAACAGGCAAAGCACTGGCCCCTTGCCAATAGACGACTCCGTGCGCGACCCATGTCGTCGCCTCGTCCCATCAGAACCGTCCACGAATCCTCCGATCATTGATGAGCCCCGGTTGCATATTGTCTTGGCTCGATATTGTGATAGGACGGATGACATGCATAGACAACACGGCCTCATCTCCGACATCAACGTCTTGGGTTGGGGAAAGACTCCTCCGGCTTGGGTCTTCCGCACCCTCAAAGGCGCTTTCCTCGCCATACACTTTCTTTCTTGTTTTCTTCCCAGACATGTCGAGATTCAGAATGTGTGTGGCACGCAAGTGCGTTGTCATCTACCCGTTCATTGCTTGAACTTTGTGGACCCGAGGGGCGAAAACAGGATTGTGTAGTCAAACACAGCGGCTCGGGCAAAGACGACGACGCATAAGGAAAACATAATGTTGGGATCACTGGCGGCGCTCGCTTGATCGACTGGATATCTAACCTGTGTATCCTCCCCCTCCCCCTTCTTGTGGATTTTTCTGCCCTGGCTCTTGTCGCAGATGGTGTAGTCCTCCTCTGTAATTTATTCAATATTATTTTTTATGGTGTCAACACCAGCAGCAATTCTCATGGTCTCTCCATATCTGTTTCCTCTGGCCAGCATTTGGGCGCTCCTTTGAGAGACAAATCAAAGTCTGGAGGAGATCTGTTACATGTTCCTTTCCCTATAATGGGCAGGGACTGGTCTAGAAGATATCTATAGGCAACTTACCTGGTGAACCCGCAGTGTCGTTCACTCCAGCTTGGGGTCGAGACATAGGCGACAGGGCTCGTTCTTCAACAAGAGGTTGCTATTCCCAAGGGAGATATGCCTACACCCTCTTTCAGGGTCAGCCTGGCTGGGCTCAGCTTGATCCGGGCTCCAGAAGGCCCAGCACCCAGTACATCCTCCATCTACAGCCAAGACCGATATTCATGGACCTCATCGGTTTATAGCCAGGATGAACCACTTCCTGCGCCGGCAGAAGACAAGAAGCCTCTACTGCTCCAGCGGGCGGACACAGACCTCTCCGCAACGTCCTCCGCCAAAACTCTGCTCACCATCTACGATGCAGAGACGATCAAATCCCTGGGCTACAAGCCCTTCGAGTACTGGAAGGGCCCCAAGCCAACTGCCTACCCAGTCGACTTTCGGAAGCAAAAGACCAATGCTGCCAAACCGTCCCGGCCAAAGACACCTCGGATTTCGATCCTCAAATCCTCATCAGCATCTTCCAACATCGCCCTCAAGCCGATACCTCACGTCAGAGTCCGCGAGCTGAAGGGGTACATGGATGCCGAAGACACCCCACCACGAACGCCGACGATAAAAGAGAGGTACCGGCAGAGGCAGGCTGAGCGCGCAAAGAGGCGACGCGATCTTGTGCATGGAGGCGGCAATTGGCCGGGCTGGGTACCCGATAAGAAGGTACACATGAAGAAGCAGCAGCAGCAGCAGCAACAACAACACCGAAAATGGACGCGAATAATAGGAGACGAGAAGAGGGAGAAGCTGGAGGAATGGGACCTGGAGAAACGGCAGTCGACGGGATCGACGGTCTTTGTCAACAGGATAGAGAGGTGGTGGGATCCACTGATGTGGAGGCGGCGCATTTGGGGCATCCTCGGCATTCTCCTGGTCCTCTTGACCGCTGGCGGTCTCATCGCTGCGATGGTATCGTCCAAAGCCAACCTGGACGGCCCTGTTCTCAAATACAGGACATCAGATTACCACCTGACCCGGGCCTTGGTGACCGAGGGCTTGCGTGTTCCCTCGTCACCTCCGTAATTTTCGCCTTGCTTCGTCATTTCTCTCCAAGCAATTCACCATATCCCAACTTTCTTGGGGCAGACCCAAGGCGTCTTTGTCCAGCTGGCACTTCCAGCCTTGACTAGATCAAACATTCCCTATCTACATATTTTACTATACAATACGAAATATGAGAGTTTTTAGCGGAATCACTAGAAACCCGAGTGGAATGTGTGCCACACAGATGGAACTGCCATTGAAAAATAGAACTCTAATGATGTCTAGCGGGGATGTCCTGTACGCCGATGCTCTTATCACGAGCTTGCCACCGCCAACGCCCTCAACCACCCGTAACGCCTTGAGCCAGAAACCGTGGGCATGCATGTAAACACAACTGTACAAACCCTGCACAGAGCCTTCTCATCTTATCCTCGTTTGTGCGTGTATTCCCACCTGTTCTTACAAAGGACTCTTCTCCTACGACTCCTCCTCCTTGGGCATCCTCATCCAAGCATCGATAGCTGCGCTAAAAGCCGCAAAGCCCGCACACCCAACAGCCGCCGCCTGCGGGCCGCCATGCCGCGCGAGGATGGCCCCCGTCATGCACCCGGCCGCGACGCCGTTGCTCAGCTCGTTCTTGGCGCGGTACCCCTCGATGCCGCACTCGATGCCCGAGAACAGGGCGCCGACCATGCCAAAGTTCTTGGCCGTGCTGAAGGAGCGGGCGCCCATGTCCTTGAACCCGATCCGGAGCTGCTGTTTCCACGGGAGAGAGGAGATGGGGGTCTGGTTGGCGCCGGGGACGGTCGCTGTGTGCATGGGGGTGTCGTAGGCCATCTGAGAGGGAGAGGAAGAGAGAGGAAGATCAGCCCACGGTCGCGTTATAGAGAGAGCAAATTAGAGTGGTTGGAAAGGGAAGGAAAACATACAGAAGCCATAAAAGCACCAAACAAACCGCCCAGCCCGAAGCCCATAACTCCAGACATGACAGTCTTCGCGTAGCACGACTCCATCAGGCCTTGCATCTTACGCATGTCTGACATCTAATTACGTCTTGTTAGCATTTCATTTTTGTGGTTCTCCCTTGTCATACAGACAAAGGACCAAGGACAGAGGGCCTGTGGCCGTGGTGCCGGGCAAGTTGCGCTGATCTGACTGACCATCTTAACATTGGGATCGTTTGGGTCCATGGCGCCTGCACCCGACATGCCCGGCAGCGGGGAAGGGCTTCCTGCGCCTGGGAAACTCATGATCTTTTCGGACAGAGGTCGTGGCTCGAAGAAGGGTGAGCGTGGAAAGGGCTGCGGGCGATGGTAAGAAAGAGCAACGACGAAGTAAATGGCCAGAGACTTTCGATTTATTACACGGAAGCGCTGGTTTGGCTGCTAGGAAGATTTTTGATAAGATAAGATCCCGCCAACTTTTGCAGTGGGCCGGTCTCGGGCCCCCAAGGCGGTTAGCTGGGCAGATGTCAGACACCAACGAAGCATTCCACGTCTCTCTTGTTTGCTTTCTTTCAATTAAATTAATATAATAAAAAGAAAAGAAAAGAAAGAAGAACAACAGCAAAGAGAAGGATAACTTGGCTTCGATATTCACGTACGGTTTTGGTAGGTCTAAAGAATCGTTTATGCAACGACTAGTCTTTGCTTGCCAACAGGTTTCCGGAGAGGCGAAAGAAAGAAACAAAAGATGCCCGCCCGCGAATTTCCCCCACCCCGTCCCCTGGCGTGTTCATGTCAATATTCTTATTGTCCCACTCCTGCGCCCGATGCTTGCTGCTTGCTGAACATATGAGATGTCGGCAGGCTAAATACATACAAGGCCGATCCATCAGTTTCTTCCGAGGAATCTTCGGTTTGGTACACAGAGCGTTGCATTTTAAAATCGTACTTCGCCCCTTGATGCCAACTACAAGTCCGCCACGCAGAGCTACTTAAGAAACAGATCTCCAGTACCATTGCGTGCTGACCGTGTACGGTCAACATGGTCCAATCCGAGATTATCGTCGTCTTCAGTAGCCAGCTCAGTCAGAACATCATCTGTACTTGAGTTAGCATTTGAGCAGAGAAAGAGAACAAGAGGCGCGGGGGGGGGGGGGGGGCTCCTCCCCGTGGCCAGCTTACCATCTTGAAGGTAGTGCACCTTCGAGTACGGACGTCGGACCAGTGCGAACTTGATCTTCTCAAAGCTCTTGCCCTTCAGACCTGTCCGCTTCTCCAGGCGCTTCTTGGTATCGCTGAATTTCTCGTCCTATATATGCCCGCGTCAGCCGGTAAATCTTAGCCTGGGAATTGCACCTCCGCCTACCTTGACAAGTAAGAACCTGAATGGCATGCCATGCGCACGATTGGGCTCATTTTGAAAGTGGAAGCAATTGATAAAGTCCTTATCTGTCGCGTCCGCTTCCTCCTCCAACATCCGCTCGGCGACGAGCCCGGTGTACTCGTTAATACTAATAACGGGATACTCGCGGGACATCTCTCGGAAGATTTTATGATTGTTCACCTCGAACACCCTGATCTTACCCGCTTCGGCCTCGTCGGGAATCTGGGCCTTCTTGACGACGCCACTGATGACGTCCTCAATGATTCCGTTCTTGGCCACCAGTATATCGAGGGGTTCCTGCCATTCCTGTTCAGCTGATGACAATCGTATCAAAACACACGACAAACGCCCTTACCTCCTTGGTGATGCCTTCGCTTAGCCAGGTGATCTTAATGTTCTTCTTGGTATCAAGCTCAGCCAGACTCATGTCTAGTACCTCAAAGTACAATGCGTCGTTCCTGTGGCCCTGGTTGAGCGTCGAGTACCCGGACGGGGTCAGGATGCTCTGCAGGGTTTGATTGGTGGACAGCCGCTTTATGGCAACTCTGGGGGCAGCAGTGGCGGCATTCACTGTATAGAAGCGCAGGTGTGTTGGGTCCGCCTCCAGCGCGGCACCAACCTTCTCGGCCAGCTGGTCGTATGTGATCTTCGCACTAAGAACAAGCTCAAATGGAGGGTACTTGTTGGGATCAGCTCGTGTTGGGTGCGCATGGAACTTGACCGTCCTCTTGTACTGGAGGAAATCGTAGTACTCTCGTGCGTCCTCGCAACGGTCTGCCTTCTTGGCACTACACCACCACCTGTTAGTGAGGGCCCGGGAGAAGAGCTACTGGTCGTCATCAGGTCACTTACAGTTCCTCGGATGCCTTGTCGCCCAGTCCGAGCCTCTTCTCAAGACCCGATTTCTTCTCAGTCGTCCTCTGAAAGCAGACAATGTCGCCGTCCTGGAGCTCAGCAGTCTTGAGCGTCTGTTTCGCCCTGAGGCTCTCGATCATGGTGGGCTTGATCTCTTCCCAGAGCATGACCTTATCATCTCCAGGCAGCTTCTCGCCCCAGCCCATCTTCTTACAAATCAAGGGGACAAGTTCCTCGACCTTCTTTTCCTTGTTGATGTAGACGTGTCCTATACCGTGGAGAGACTGGTTCTCGGCATCGAAGTGTTTCAAGAAGAGCAAGATCAGGTCATTCTTCACCACCATGCCGTTGCTCTGGCCCTGGTACGTTGGCCAAACAGCCTCGCCCTCGGCACTGACCTCCTCCGCAACTTCGACCCAAACACGAAGCATGTTGTTGTGGTGGCTTTGGGACTTGTTGTAGCTCTCTTCCACCGTCAGGCGCGTGTCCATCATGGGGGTGTCGGGGCGGACGGTCTTGTTCTGTCGATTCACCATCAGCCAGAGGCGCACTTTCTTCGGATCCTCTTCAATGTCCTCGGCGATGCGGTTGACAAGGTCCTGCACGGTGGAAGAACGCAACGTCCGATAGTACCTGGGCGCAGACAGATCCAGCTCGGGGTTCGCCTCAAAGTTTCCGAGATCCGTTCCGCCATGCTCTGCGAAACTAGACGGCACGATGGCCCTGACAGTCATGTAGAGGTGCTGCTCCTCACGCTCTTTCCTTCTAGCTTCGCGGATGGCTGCCTCCTCTTCGAACCTGAGACGCAGATGCTTGGGGATATCCTCCTGGGTGACAGGGCAGAGGATATTGTCCAACCTGGACTGCCGGATGTACACCAACATGTAGGCGCTGTTAGGGCGCATAATAGGCGCTTTCCTCTGCAGAGGGTTCCGGACATTGTTCTGCGGTTGCCGGTACTCGCCGCCAAAGTTGTCTTCTAGCACTTCGCGACTTGTCGCCTTGGTCACCTTGTCGTCATCGTACTTGTAGAACCATCCCTCCTTGTTTGGCTTCAAAAATGCATAGTAGTGACCTGCATTGAGGTCACCACTATGCACTAGCACACCATGCAGCTGGTATGTCCATGGCTGAGACTTGTCGGCGTCCTCCGACAGAAACGGCGACGCGTCGAAGGTCTCGGGGAACTCATACCGGTCATTGATCTTCGTCATGGTGTCCCTCATGTAGTCATACTCGAAGCGCTTGAGCTGCAAGTGCAGGACATCAGGAAAGCTCATGAATATGACACCCTTGTTAGCGTCCTGCAGCTTGAACTGGTCGCCTGCCATGTACTGGTTCTCGCCCTCCATCTTCTCGACCTGGATGTAGTCTTGAAAGCTCTCCTGCAGGTTCTTGTTTCCAGAGACGTTGAGCTGGACGTCCCAGAAGTCTTCTACTCGACTGGATTCGTAGTCGACGTTGATGCACGATATGTACGTCTTGATCTTGCCGCTGAACATCTGCGGCAAGACGTTCTGGGCCTTGGTGCCCTTCATCTTTTCTTCCATGCGCTCCATCAGCTTGCGCGACAGCTCCTGTACGTCCTGCTGCTCAAAAATATGTCTCGTCTCCCAGCCAAAGGACTTGGTCAGCTCATTCGTGCCTACTGCCGAATTCGAGGTCTGCAGTTGGTAGAACAACCGCTGAAGTGTGTAGGCGCTGTTGTTCATGCTCTCTTCCTCCTCGGTCGGGATCTCATACACAGCCTGCACACACACGATGGTCAGCAATGAGCTACCCACCACGAGTGAGCATGACAGACTCTCACCTTCCGGAACGCATTCGTGAAATAAAGAGATTGGAGGAGCGAGTTCAAGTAGCAGGTGGCGCCCTGATTCTTGAGCCCGACAAAACCTGTTTCTTTTTTTGAATCGTAATTGTTGAAATTATGCCATAGCACGCCGGTCTCGTCTTCCACGTGCCGGACGTACACAGTGATATTGGCAAAATCATTTTCGATCATCGGTCGGTTCGAAGCATCCCACGCAGCATACATCCGCCGGTTCTCGAGGAATTTTGTGAAGCCCCAATCACTCTCCTCCTTGGTGAATCTGTGGTGAGCGCTGTGATGGGCGAAGATTGTGGGCTCGTTCGGGTTCCAAAGTACCAGAGCAAACTGCACGCAGCAGCTCCAGTCCTCGGGGATCTCGTTCGCTTCGAAGCCATGTTCCAGGTATATCGAGCATTGGTCAACGTTGTTACCAAAGGGGAAGAGCAATATCCGCCTGTACACTGACATTAGCTCGCGCACAGCTCAGATCCTGGGGATGGACATCGACCGTACCAAGGGAAACCAGCAGCCTGAAAGATAGGGCCGTGCTCTTTCTTATTCTGCGCGCGCCAGTTCTCAATCTCCCATGTGAAGACGGTGTCGGACAGGATCTTGGGCTCCTCGGCCAGGACCGGCAGAACAATCTCTTTCATGGCATCATCTGTTGTGGGACATCAGCATCTCCTCCTCCACCACCTCCTCCTCCACAATTGTCATGCCACGCAGTGAGGACGTACAGTCGTCTGCCCTCATCAGATCCTGCAGCTGTTCTGCCTCTGTTTCGAGATTATCTGGGTTGATGATGGTGAGATTATCCTTCTCGGCGCCGTTCTCGGTTGGCTCGACGATATGTTCCTCGGGGTCGACCATCATGTCGTTGGGGGAATGCATGTCTGGGTTGAAGGCCTCATCGTGCACATCCAAGTTAGCAATTTCGGCGCGCAAGAATTCCCAGACATCGTCCAAAGGCGGTATAGAACTGCGGGTACATGGAGAGGAGGGAGGCAGCTGCACAGAGAGGGGAGGCGACGGTGTGGAGGGGGCCGTGTGGTCGACGGGGCTTGAGGCTGTCGCCCTGGGTGTATGGAGGGACACCCAGCCCTGTTCAGGCGGACTGCTTCGGGTACGACGGGACCTCCTCCCGAACCTTGGAACAAGAAGAGGCATGATGGAGGAAAGGGAGAAGTCCAAGGCGTAGTAGAGATTGCTGGCAAGAAAACAACAACAAATATTTGGGCGAGATTGGTAGGGTGAGACTATGGGATGGTGAAGGTGTCTCGGGTGGAGGGGTTACATGAGGGATAGGAGGAGTGGTGTTGATGCTTGAGGATTGACTTACCATCTTTGTGACAAGGACCAAGACCTGCCCCTTTGTTAAGCCTCGAGGATGTAAATGAAGGGAAGGAGTGAATAGGTAGTTGTGGCTGTCTTGTCCTAGACAGTGTCAGGAGCAAAGCAGTGAAGCAGCTGCAATGGACGAGGTCTTGGTGGTGATAGGTGCCGGTCGAAAATTGAGGAGAAAGGGTTGCACGTTGGCCAAGCCCAGGAACACGCTGCAACAGGGCTGGAGAAGAGAAAGCAAGCGCGTGTTTTGGGCCAGCAGCTAAGACGTCACTGGCAAGGAATCAACAAAGGTTGACTCTGCTGTCCGTCAGAGACAAGCAGCAACAGCCAAGATGGAGAGATGAGGATCATAAGAAAATAAGTAGCATCACCAAGGTATATTCCTGAGATGTTGAAGTATAGATGTTGTTTTGGTGACCATGTGTGAAAGTTTGGGGACTCACCGTGCAAGAACTTGCAAGAAGTAATCACTAGAGAAAGAGAGAGCAGTTGTAGTGATTGCAGCCTACTACTGTTTTGCTGAGCACCCTAAGAGAAAAGTCGCTGAAGTGTTCCCCCAGTGGGGGACCGACCGACTGAGGCGAAGCTCACTCCTCTCCCTCTCTGACCCCAACTTACTTAAGCCTCAAGGCGTCATCCCTGTCACTGCCCCTCGATGATATGACGTTCACTTCTTGCTCTACTATGTAGACTAGAGTGGCACTACCTACCTGGCTTAGGAGTGAATGCAGCAGGTACTGGTACTATCCCCTGGATTTTGACTTCCTGATTCCGGGTCATCTCTCCCTGTCTGCTTTCTCCTGTGCAAGATGAAGTATACTAAAATAACACAATGTCTTGGTCATGAGCTTCCTCTCAATCCAATGCACTGAAACTAACCAGCATAGGTGGAGGAACTATGCCAACAAAAGGCCTTATTTTGGGTAAAAAGTGATTGGTGTTGGATGAATTGCAACCATTTCGCATGCACGTGGATTGGAAGGATAATGTTGGCAAATGAAGGAATTCATCAGCTAGGAAATTTGAGTGCTTTTGCCCTGTGCCTCTAAATTTCTGACTCTCCTGAAAGAAAAAATCCTGTGACTTCTGGGGGTAGGGCTTATTGAAATGCCCGTTTGACTGTAGTTTAGTACAGTGTTCAATACTTAAGATACTATGGTTTTGGTGGGGTAGCATTACCCCTTCCCATACTGAGCTCCCCACTTTTGAGCTGCAATGACTCTCAAAGGGGGGGGGGGTCGAACCACAAGCAAATGCATCACTCCTCGGCTTGGCTTGGGGTCCAAAGGGGCCTCGAACCTGCCACATGCATACAGCATTCCTTGTTCTGTCCATTCCCTGAAATCACAAATTCCCCTGGACAAATCCATACCTTTCATCGCATCTCACGAAATTAAAGGCACTCTCTGCTGTAACGGATCAGTCATTCATATGGCACCGGTGCCGGAAGAATGTCACGATCGGTGGGCCCAAGGGCATCAGACATGATGAGCCTGGGCGCGAGGACGAGACTGCATATCCAAGATCCAGCCCTTGGTCTGCTGTATCTGGCCTCGAGGCCTTCTGGAAATTCTCCACGGCCACACTTGCGGCGACACGAGCAAACACGTGGGGTGCATCACAGGTGGAGGGCCGTATCCATTCTAGATGAGTATGTTTCTGTCTTTTGCGTAGGTCTCGTGGGTGTGTGCGTAGCACTCTCTGACTTCCTGCCTGAGATAGCTGGGTGAGCAAAGAGGCCAGGCCCATCAGCTTGCGCCAGCTCATGGTGTTCGGGCGCTCTCTGAACGAGCAGAGGCTCATTAGTTCCGCCAACTATGTGAGAACAGAACTGCCGAGGAGGTACGTTGTCGCGCGCAGGAACACTTGTTGCAGGGCGCCTTTTTTGCTGACCAGGCCCGGTCTCAAGGCTTGCCCATCGCATCCGAGACATGCAGACGCTGCCATACTGTGTCGTGGCGAACGAGCATTTCAATGATGTCTATGAGCTGTACTATGAGGCTTTCGACAAGTTCAGGAGGGTACCCGAGGTCCGGACCCTCGAGGACAACGACGCCTTCTGCGAGGTCCTTAGTGACATGCTGAAAAAGCATCTGTCCGTGATTCCAAGACTAGCTAACGGTATTCTCGAGACAAGTGCGGATGGCATGCTCCCAGCTAATGAGTTGGATGGGTTCATGAATGCCATCCTGCGATCAGTAAGTACAATAACCAGATTTTTGCAGGACAATTTCTGACAATACACAGCGGATCTCCCGCCGAGTCATAGCAGAACAACACCTCTCACTTACAGAGACTTTTCATTCGCCCACATTTACGCCCGGCGTGAAAGTACAGGACACCGACTTCATCGGCAAGGTCTTCTTGAAATGTAACGCCGCAGACACTGTCCAGCGTTGTGGACGCGCCGTCCTCGAGCTCGCCAGATCTGCGTATGGAGAAGACGTAGTACTCCCGGAGATCAAGTTATCGGGCCATCTAGATGCCAATTTCCCGTTCATCCTCAGTCACATGGAGTACATCACCGGTGAGCTGCTGCGCAACTCCGTTCAGGGTGTCATTGAAAGACAGCTGCAAGAGGGTGCAGGGAAGTCGAAACCGCCGCCAATAGAGGTCACCATCTGCGAGTCCTCAAAACACGTCGTGATCCGCGTCTCCGACCAGGGCGGCGGCATCCCGCGGGACGTCCTGCCATACCTATGGTCATTCTGCAAGGGCCCACACAGCCAGCGGATCCTCTCGAACCTGACCCAAGTGCCCATGATGGCCGCCACGCTCCAGGAGGTCCGCGTCGACGAGCCCCCGGAGAGCGACCAGAGCAGCGAGAGGACGAGGCGGAGGCGGCCGAGCACCAGCTATGTGAGCTCACTGTCATCCCTGACCAGCAGGCCGCCCAACTTGAGGTTGGGCATGGGGTTACCACTCAGTAGGATATATGCCGAGTACTGGGCAGGGACTTTGGAATTACAGAGTCTTTGGGGCTATGGCGTCGATGTATTTTTCCAGGTATCCAAGTTGGGCAACAAGAACGAGCAGCTGCTGACGAGGGCCATGATGGATGCCGTGTAAGGGACAGGAGTTGGCGCATTTCCCGAGTGACGAGCGTGTGTATATAGACATGTCAGCTACGCCTCGATGACGGGTCGGGCGCAGGAGCTGGTAATCAAGGAGGCGGTATTTTGCATCTTAACACAGGTCCGGGTGCATTTTCAACCGCTTAGGGTAAATTCACACTCAAGACACGTTTCGAAGGCGGATCAGCCATCCTCATTAATTGGTATCATGAAAGTGACAGAAGATTACATGGTTACTGTAAAAATAAGGTAAGAGAGGCCTCGCAAATAATGGTCCTCGAGTGGAAGCAAAACGGTAGACCAGTAGGCATCGGCTGTCCCACGTCGATTAGGACTTCCGTGTTCTCACCCGCTCGAAAATAATAAGAAAGCGACAAAGTGTCGGATGAATCTCCATGGCTTGCCCACACTACTGACCGAGACGCAGACTCGACAGCTGCAAGCAGGGTCCAAAGGCATATCCCAAATGGCTCGCAGCCCTCTTTTGATAGAAAAACCTCTTTTGTGTGTGTGATGCCCACCTGCCGGGGCAATCATGGACTCCGGATCGGAATGAGCGAACCGGCTCTCAAGATGCTGACGCTGGATAGGTCCTAAGCGGTCACCTCGTGGCCCTAACGACGACCGTGGCTGCGGACGGCAGTGCCCTGCATCTGCTCCAATTCCTGCTCGAGGGACTTGATCTGTGCATGAGTCTGCTCCAGATCCTTGTTAAGACGGTCGCGCTCGGCAATGAGCTTCTGCTCCCACTGTCTGAAACGCTGCTCCTCGATCTTGACCTGCTCGGTGAACCGCTTCCGGAGGGCCTCCTCTTCCTCCTTGTACTTGGGGTTGTCCAGCTTGCGCGGACGCGCCTCGCCGAACTTGCGGGTTTCCATCTGTTGTGCACGGTAGGCCTCGTAGTGCAGCTCCTCCGTGGTGTGGATAAGGTCGAGCATGTGGGTGCGGATGAGGATGGAACGCAGCTTCTTGAAATCGCAGTGCTCCTCGTTCTCGACCTCGGCAACACCCCACGAGTATTGACGGCCCTTCACGATACGGCCATCGCCGGTCTTGACGTCCTTCTCGGAGCCGATGACGGCAAATGGCATGGCAGCCATCAGGCTGCGCGCGTGCTGAGCAGCCGCCTCATCGTCCTCCTCGACCGGGGGCTGGTAGATCTTGATGCTCTGGGCCTCGATGACAGCGCGGATCTGATCAAGAAGTCAGCAAGCAGCCAATACCTAAACTGTGGGGGTGAAGGGTAGGGCCTTTGTCCTCAACGTACACGCTGCTTGAACTTGGCGAGGTCGCCAGGGCTAAGGGTATCAGCCTTAGCAATGACGGGAATCAAGTTGACGCGAGAGCAAAGACGCTTCATGACCTCAATATCGAGAGGCTTCAGAGTATGGCCTGTAGGCCGGATGAAGTACAGGCAGGCGTGGACACGGAGGTCGATCTTGTCATTTCGGCGGGGCTGCTGCTCCTGGAGCATGTAGGATTCGTGCTGGTCGTCGAGGAACTCGATGATGGGCATCCACGAATCTCTGTTGTTGACATAGTCACCGAAGCCGGGAGTGTCGATGACGGTCAGGCGGACTACAAAGGGTCAGTTGATTGCTTTCTTGTCGTGATACGGCAATTCTTCCCCCCTTGTTCCTTTTATGTGCGACGTACCCTTGAAGAACTTCTCTTCCAGCTCAGCCTTTGTGATCTCGATCTCGACGGTCTTGTCGACCTGCTTCTGGTGCCTGCGCTTGTGATCGGCATAGTTCTTGATGGTCGTGGAGAAGAGGGTGTTGATGAAGGTCGTCTTTCCGAGACCGCTCTCGCCGGCAACCTGTTGTGCTGGTCAGGACTCGTGACGCCCTAGTCGATGGGTTCAAACGCCGCCTGGCCAACTTACCATAATAGTGAAGGCTGCACCCCTCTTGGCCACGATCTTGTGCCTCTGGTTAGGCAGCTATACGGTTTGTGAGTCAGCATAATATTGATCCATGGGGCAGCTGAGAGTTCTCGAAGGCTGAGCTTCCAGGCTTCGCGATTTCGATGGGAAAGGGCGGAGACGTGCTCCCGGAGCTGCATACATTGGCAATGCCGATCGGACTGGCGCTGTTCTCAGCCATTTTTGTGCGTATTGGGAGGTAAGGCGGATGCTGTAGATGGTCCAATTGATGATGTTTTGTTGTTGGTGGTTAGCACCAGGATGGAGCTTCGTCTTGTACAGGTGGAAATCGGAAGTTGTCTCAGCAACTGGGACTGGAAGGAAGGGGCGGTTCTTGTTGTCGATTGACAATTTGGCGGGAAAAGGTACGCGCAGATGGTCCAATTTCCTGACCACTGTTGGAAGAAAAGGGGTCACCGGCAGTCCCCAGCAGTACCTTGTCGACGTGGACCGTGGGCGTGGTCCCTTGCAGGGGGGAGGTCTCTGTACTAACCCTCTGTTTGTGGAGTCTTGACGCACAGACCAAGTTGAAGAGTGAAAAGCCAGCACTATCTCATAGTACGAGAACTTCCCTATACAGCCCCCCTCTACTGCATGTACTCCCTGGTTGGGATGACTCGTTGTATCTTTTGCTTGTGTACCATAGTAAATTCTACCTGCTTTTGTCTCTGCTTTCCCCAGATAAGATAAGGCCCATTAAATTTCTAGAATTTCCATCTTCAGAATCTCAACGAGTGTTCTTGCTCGACAGGCATGGACATTTCTCAAAGATGAAGACTGATTTCAAGTTCTCTAATCTTCTTGGAACTGTCTATAGCAGGGGCAATCTCCTGTTCAACCCAGATGGTACTCATCTCTACTCTCCGGTAGGGAACAGGGTGACTGTTTTCGACCTGGTCAAGTATGCGACATTGCGACGATCCTAACAACTCTGGGACAGACTTGCTGACCGTCAATGGCTATAGTAACAAATCATACACCCTCCCATTTGCCCACAGAACGAATATCGCGAGGATAGGCCTTACGCCACAGGGCAACCTCCTCCTCACAATCGACGAGGATGGGCAGGCCATCTTAACCAACGTCAACCGTCGGATCGGCGTATACCACTTTTCCTTCAAGGCCGCTGTCACCGCTCTCTCGTTTTCCCCGTCCGGTCGCTACTTCGCCGTCGGTCTGGGCCGCAAGATTGAGGTATGGCATGTGCCGTCCACGCCCGACACCAATCCTGAAGGGGAGCTTGAGTTTGCGCCCTTCGTGAAATACCACACACATACCGGTCATTACGACGACGTACGGCATATAGAATGGTCGAGCGATTCAAGGTTCTTTCTCACTGCGTCCAAGGACTTGACAGCAAGAATATGGAGCTTGACCGCCGAGGAGGGTTTCATACCGACAGTCTTGTCAGGACACAGACAGGCCGTCGTTGGCGCGTACTTCTCGAAAGACCAGGAGGCAATCTATACCGTCAGCAAGGACGGTGCCGTTTTTGAGTGGAGATATGTCGGTCCCAAGCGCAAGGACGACGAGATGGACGAGGATGAGGAAGAAGACGAGACGAAGCTGCGCTGGCGAATCGTGAACAAGCATTACTTCATGCAGAACAATGCTCATGTCAAATGCGCCGCGTATCATGCCGACTCGAATCTCCTCGTCGCCGGGTTCTCCAATGGTATCTTCGGCCTGTACGAGATGCCCGATTTCAACCAAATCCACACTCTCAGCATATCACAAAACGACATCGATTTTGTCACGGTGAACAAGAGCGGTGAATGGTTGGCATTTGGTGCTTCGAAACTTGGCCAACTGCTCGTCTGGGAGTGGCAGTCGGAATCATACATACTGAAGCAGCAGGGTCATTTTGATTCGATGAACTCGCTGGTGTACTCACCCGACGGGCAGCGGATCATTACGACAGCCGACGATGGCAAGATCAAGGTCTGGGACATCGAGTCGGGTTTCTGCATCGTGACCTTTACGGAGCACACTAGCGGCGTCACAGCTTGCGAGTTCGCAAAAAAGGGCAACGTGCTTTTCACATCAAGCTTGGACGGCTCAATACGAGCGTGGGACCTGATTAGGTATCGAAATTTTAGGACGTTCACGGCACCCACGAGGCTTTCATGGTCATGTATGGCCGTGGACCCGAGCGGAGAAGTGGTTGCCGCAGGATCCCTCGACTCCTTTGACATTCACATCTGGTCTGTGCAAACAGGTCAGCTCTTGGATCAGCTGGCCGGTCACGAAGGACCTGTGTCGTCTCTCGCTTTTGCGCCAAACGGCAGCCTCCTGGTCAGCGGAAGCTGGGATCGCACCGCAAGGGTATGGTCCGTCTTCGACAGGACACAGACGAGTGAGCCTCTGCAATTACAAGCAGATGTTCTCGACATCGCCGTGAGGCCCGATTCAACACAACTGGCCATCTCAACGCTGGATGGACAATTGACTTTCTGGTCCTTGTCAGATGCGGAGCAGGTTGCCGGCCTAGACGGGCGGAGAGACGCCTCTGGGGGGCGCAAGATTGGTGACAGGAGAACAGCAGCAAACGTCGCAGGAACCAAGAGCTACAACAGCATCCGGTACAGCACGGACGGTAGCTGTTTACTTGCGGCCGGTAACAGCAAGTACGTCTGTCTGTACTCAGTGACAACGATGGTTCTTCTGAAGAAGTTCACCGTTAGCGTCAACTTATCGTTGTCAGGGACACAAGAATTCCTCAACAGCAAGCGTCTTACTGAGGCTGGCCCGGATGGTGAGCTTGACACGCAAGGAGAGGCTTCCGATCGGGAAGATCGTATCGACAAGTCCCTCCCGGGCTCCAAGCGAGGAGATCCATCTGCAAGGAAAAATCTGGCAGAAGTGCGCGTATCGGGCGTGGCCTTCTCGCCCGCCGGCACTGCCTTCTGCGCTGCTTCAACTGAGGGTCTTCTGATCTACAGCCTCGACAATACTCTCCAGTTCGACCCCTTCGATCTGAACATCGAGATTACCCCCGCGGCCACCCTGGCAGTGCTAGAAGACGAGAAGGATTATCTCAAGGCTCTGGTCATGGCTTTCCGCCTCAACGAGGCCGGCCTGATCAAGCGGGTCTTCCAGAAAGTGCCATATCAGGATATTCCCTTGGTCGTGGGGGAGATGCCTGTCGTCTATGTTCCAAGACTGCTCCGCTTCGTGGCTGCCCAGACAGAACAGTCACCACACATCGAATTCTGTCTTCTCTGGATCAAGGCTCTCGTCGACAAGCACGGCGCCTGGCTGACGGCCAACAGGGGCAAGGTCGATATCGAGCTGCGCGTGGTGGCGAGGGCGATCACGAGGATGAGGGATGAGATTCGGAAGCTGGCTGATGAGAATGTGTACATGGTAGACTACCTCCTTGGTCAGGCTGGGAACAAACCTAATTTACAAAACGAAAAGTCACTCGGTTGGTCCTCTGCGGGAGACGAGGACGGCCAGAAGCTACTCGCTGCAGAAGGAGGTCTGGGCATGGCAGATCTTGTCCAGGAAGAGGAGTCTGAGGAAGAGTGGATTGGTCTGTAGTGAAAGATGATGCATAGACCGTCAAAAGCCCGCGCAAATATCAGATAGAGGTCCTTGATACCCTCCAAACTACACTTTGTTCCATGCAGACCGGAATACCCAAGCCTAATGCATGCACTTGCCCAAGTTCGAGATGTCCCGATGCGGAAGTCTTCCAGGGAAAACCGAGCTAAAACTACAATTTGAACTTGTTCGGAATATCCTGCCACGCATGTTAGTCAGTACAGTACGTGACGCTCAAAACAGCAGGGTTTCCTAGTCGTAGTCAACACGGTAGCACTCACGCTCCAAGCCTCCTCGAGACCTGTCGTCCGCACCCACGTCTCCCCAGGCGCCTCCACGGAGTCAGCAATTAGGTGATGTACTTTCATCCACAAGTCATCCCCCTTGATCACCATCCACTCCCGGTCCTCGTACTTCTTTGTTGTCTCCTGGCAGATGACGGCCGCACGCCCCAGCTTGATGGCGTGTCCGTCGTCTTCAACGAAGTTGTGCAGTCGAGACATGATGTCTACAGACAGGGCTGGGGTCAGTGCCTGAGGTACCCTATGTTTGGTAGATCTTTTGCTTCCTTTCTCTTTCTTTCTGGTTTGAAAAGTATTGGGAGGGGAGGGGGATGAAAAGAGCACCAAGAAACTCACCTGCCACCGAGGACTTATCAGTCTTCTTGGGCTGATATGCCTTGAGGTCATCCAGCGAGAGTTCAGGGACGCCCCGTGCAGCGTACTGGATAAGATCGTACCGGATCTTCCACTCGAGAAGGCGGGCTTTTACCTCGACTGGAATCGAAGGTTGAGCGTTGATGGTCAGGAAGATTGGGGCAGAGTTGACGTGATGGCTAGGTTTCCCCCCATGTGTAAGTATGTATGTGCTGATAGCAGTCCCGACGTCTTCTGAAAAAGGGTGGGATTGTTTTGGGGCTGTCAACTTACATCAGGAAGAAGTCAAACTTGTTAACCTTGTTCGCATGGAAACTGGCCGCCGCGGCTGTATACAAGCTCGCATCAAACATCTCAGCCGTCCTCTCGTCCAGGTCCTCAGGCCTGACCTTGACCTTGCTGATGATCCTCGTCATCTCCTCGGGCGCCCTCTTGAGCACCCCATCCCGGACCTTGTTATCATCCGCCATCCTCACCGAGTCCCGCAGCTTCGCGTCCGCCCGCACCTCCTCAAGCAGCGCCACGATGCGCGGCATGTGTCCTTTCTCCCCTTTCTTCCCGTACGCCGCATCAGCCCTCTTCTCAGCCTCCAGCAGGACCTCTTTGAAATTCGGCTGGTGCACACAAGCCTGCGCCAGAGCCTCGGCCACAATCGCCGGCTGCGCCCACTCCATGCCGAACATGAGCTGGATTAGCGGGTGCAGGAACCCTGCGTACAGCCGGACCAGCAGGTCGTCCGCTGCCTCGGTCCCCGCCAGCGCGTACTTGGACAGCACAGCCTGCCACCCGTTGCCCTCCCTGGCGTCTATCTCGCGCTGGAAGAAGGCCAGGAAATCTGGATAGTGCTGTTCTCGGCCGAGATAGCGCTGGGCGTGGTCCCAGTTCTGGAGGTCCGTGACAACATCGCTGTGGAGGGGCTCTGTGGGACGCTGGTAGATGGTATTGTGGTCGTAGCCCTTCTGTAGGACGGTGGAAGAAGCGCCTGTGCCGAAGAGGGATAGGACCTGATGGACGAGCTAGAGGAGGAAGGAAGGAAAGGGGAAGGGAAGAACCGTGTTAGAGACTCCTAACCCTAGCATACAGGGCTGAAGGGAAGGAAAGAAGGGGGGGGGGGGGGGACTTTGCTTTGTGGTCTACGTACATGGTTATGAAATCCCATTTGGTTGAAGAAGACATGGTGTGTCTGAAGCATATTTCGTATGTTAGTCGCCAATGTTTTAGTGCCGCATATGAGGAGATACTTCTCAATAATGAGAGGTTCCACTTGCCTCGAGATCATGTTGGAGGAGCTCAGAGGCCTTTTTGGCCGACTCGTCCGTCTGCTTGACCTTCCAGAGACCCGTTTGCTGGGGGTCAACCTGAATCTTCTGGGTTGTCGCCATGGTAATGCTACGCCTGAACAAATAATGTGCCGTGAGGTCTGCCTTGGGGACTATTCTTCTACCAACTGTCGCGCGTAACATTCGAGTATTACCACCACAATGGCGAATCTGATCCAAGACCACACTTCGAAACGGATCCATTTCGAAGGAGGAGAAGAAGGCTGGCTGGCGACCACGTGCTCTTTTTGTAACAAGGAGTTCGCCGCCCCAATCATCGTCATGTTAGTAGTCCTTCTCCAACCAAGTACCGTCTAAGTAGCTCCCTCCTCCAGTAGTGCGGCAGAGACTAGTTGTTTCCTGGCGTCTACGTATGGAGAGCTTGTCTCCAACACCCGAATGGACGGACATTACCTAAAGGGCGAGAGGCGAGGCTGACTGCACATTTGTCAGATCTGCTTTGCCAGCAACGGAGTTTTGAGCCAACAACAGGGATTTTTCATGGGTTCAACAACCACACCGGCAATAGCCAGCCAGCCAGATTGAAACCAAATGACAACATTGTACGTAATCTGAGATGTGACAGAGATCATATGTATATGCCTTTGAGACAGAAAGAGTGTGCAAACTCTCTGCCACTCGGATCCGAGGGTGGACCGATGCCTCAATGGAGAACTGGAGGTTCCGAAGTGCGAGGTGGATTTTATCCTCGGGTTGCGTTACCGATTAATCACCATATTGGAAAATGAAAGTCTTGTTCATTGTATTGACATGTACGTATACATAGTAATATCGTGTGGAAAGAGTAAGGAGGAGAGTCAAGCCGAAATCGATCCTCGGCGTCAAGGTTGAAACCTGCACATGTCAAAGTACTGACAATGAATTTCTTACTATACCGCCTTCGCGTCAGTTGACATGACATGTCTCTGCCAACATGCTCCCTGTTCAGCGTTTAGAATTCATAGCGAGGTAAATGTCTCCCTCTTCCATCGCACAAGCCAGCACACGAGACGTCGCAAGACGGTACAGCACTGCAGATGTGTTGCACCGGCCTAAATCTCAGGAATTGGCGGCCAGCAACAGATATCATTATTCTACCACACGTTTGATAATGTTCGCCACGAGCCAAGTCTCGGCCCCCTACCCTCTTCCCGACCAAGGTCTGAAGCCAGCCGCAAAGCTTCACATGATCTTCCCGGAAAACACTTATTCTTCATTCGCCCCTGTTGTTTGCACCAGCAAAAAGAACGCCATATTCACCAATGGACATCCGATATCCCCGCATCCACCCCGTAAGGCAGTTCCTTTTTCTTGAACGAGTCGTCCCTTGCAAAAGACCGTATAAGTTGCGCCGCCGAACCTTATGTCATGCATTGTGGGATTTTATGATTCTTTCTTCTTGTCTTTTCATAATCCGTAGCCTCGCCCTAACCAAAAGACCAGGATGCTCTCATTTCTACTCTTCACCGATCCTCGATGAGACCTTTGCTGGTTTCCTTGTCGTATCCGATGATCCTGGTGAGGTAGTAGAGCCTGTCACGCTTGTCAGCTTTCTTGTTCTCGTACGCAACCAATTTGTTCATCATGATGAGATGGCGGGTACTACTCACTTCTCCAGGTAGATGTCCTGATCCTTGACATCCTCAAACTCCTGCTGGCACTCCATCCACGCTTTCGCCCGGTTCTTGGGTATGGTCTTCTTGACGGTCAACTCAAACTTGCCCGTTACGGGTCTATGATCCGATACCCGGACCTCGTGCCTTCTGTAATCAACCTGCCGTATTCTGCCGTTGCCGCGGAATAGCAGGCGATCACACCAGGCCGGGCTGCGCTTCTTCTCGCTCGAGTCGTAGTTGTCTGTCCCCACGTCGTATTTGTAGGTCGGCGCAAAGGTGATGGGCATCTCCTCGAAGAAGCGTAGCTTGAAGTCGGGCTTGCGCCGCCGTGCAACGAGAAGCTGGTCTCTATCGAGTAGCTTGGCGAGGTTGCCCTGCTTCACGGCCATGACAACCGTATCGCGGCTCATGGTGTCGATGCGGTAGTTCAGATCTCCATTGAGGATGACGAGCTCGTGGTCGAGGATCATGGAGCCATCGCCGCCGCCTGCGAAACTGTCGATGCAGATGTTGGGATCCCGCTCCGGTGGCATCAAGTTGGCTTCGAGGATGGCAGTAATGTCGTTGTTGCGGCTCTGTGCCTGAGTTTGGCCCGCTGCCAGATGACAGTTGAAAAAGCAGAGCGAGGTGTCGTCAACCAGGAAGCGCACAATGATCCCGCCCTTGTTCCCGTGCAGGCCTCCCATGCCTCGTTTGACCTCGGCCGTGCTGAGCTGAGTGATCCGATCCCTCACGTCGGCTTTGACGAAGATGCAGGTGAAGAGACCGACCATGTGGATCGTCTGCAGGAGGTGGTAAAGAGTGCCAGGTATGTAGTCGTCCAAGCTCCTGATCAAGAAGTCCCTCCAATCTCTGTACTGGTGACTCATGCGCTCCTGGTCTGACTCTTTCTTCTTGGATCGCAAAAACCGCTTTGCCGTGGCGGTCTTGTCCTCCAGATCGACCAGCTCCTGGAAGCCAAATATCAATATATCTGGAGAATCACTGTTCTGCAACAGATTCTGTATGAAGACAGAGTCCGCATCCGAATATCTTAGACTGTTCGGCGTCGATGCGCCAGCATTCCATGTCATGATCATGGCCTTGAGGGTGTCGAATTGACAGTACTGGACGTCTTTCGCCTTCATCCGCTCTTCCAGCCAGTCTTCTTGAAGCATGCCGTCCCACACCCTGATCGTGTTGTCGGCGCCCAGAGAGAGCACTTGGTGGCGGCCTGATTGGTAGCAGCCTGATCGGTCGGCAATGATCTTGATGATCGGATTGTCGTGTGCCTGCCACTCCTTCTTCACAACCCACGGGCTTTGAGTGGCATCGTAGACGTACATCCTGCCGTTGCTGGATCCCGCCCATATGCTGCCGCAAGACCCTTGCAGCGAGTTGATTTTGAAGGTACTGATGTTGAGCAGTTCCAAGCAGGTGTAGTCTGTCCTTGAATATACACTGACCTTGCCGTCACTGTGGCCAAAAAACACTTTGTCAGGTGCTGATGGCAGGAGACAGCCCGAGGTTATCTCGCCAGCACTCTCCTGGTATAGGGATCGGAGCAGCACCTGAAATGGAGCCTTGCCGTCAAGAGTCGGGAAAAAGACGCGAACCTCTTTCCCAGTTGCGTGCCATAAGTGATCACCAACAACCATTGAGAATGAGTGCCCTTTGGGAACCCGGAAGGACTGATCTGGGCGGTCCGTCATGTCGGGTACATGGTCGTCCTTTGCTGCCCAGATATGTAGAGTTCCAGCATCGTCCAGTGTCCATATCTCGTTGAAGTGTCGGTAAATCTTGATAATTTCGTTGTGAACATGTGCTCCGGGTCGTGTTGCGACAACCCCTGAGGTCTCGATATCCACCTCTAGCAAGTCGCCGTTGTTATTGCCTATCCATAATCTCTTGCCCTCCTCGTCCACATTCGCTCCGGGCTTGAAAGCCACAGCAGTTGCCTTCAGCCCTTCTCCGTGCGCAAGACTCATGAGCAGCTCGCCGTCCCTCAAGCTCCAGACCCTGGTCAGATGACCTGAGGCACAGACCCGATCGCCGCTCACATCGAAGTTTCGTGGATCTGACTTGGTTATGATCTCATGCTGCCCGTGTTTGATATAGGGAGGTCTCCGGTTCACATTCGAGGCGTCTGGGTAGCCTATGTTGACCGCGCCAGCTGATTCTGCATGCCTGGCGGGCACAACCGCACCAGCATCTCCATGCGGCTCGCTAGGAGGCGCAGAGGCTGTTGCTGCCGGTCTTGCCTCTTTCCACGCCGCGTTTTTATGGGAGACGGTATTTGACCTGCCCTGTATTGGCCTGCTTGGGGATGGATTTCTTTGGATAGGTGTAGAGACCGTTCGCTTCTGGTTTGGCGTAAGCGGTGGTATCGTTATTGCGGCGGGCGTTGAGGCACCTGGTCTTGGGGGCCTTGGCGGAGGTATCTTCGCAAAGGGTGCAGATGACTTGTCGGATATGGTGCTCAGTGGCCTGGCTGGTAGAGTCGGCTGCTGTATCTCCCCAGTAATGTTTGGTGTAAGTTGTCCTTTGGCAGACCCATTCATCTCGGCCTCCTTTTCTCTCCGTCTACCTGCAGTCGCGGGATGCTGCGGCGGCGGCGCGGTGAAACCAATCTGGAGCGTTCTGGCCTTAGGCACTGGGTCCTTTAATGGTCCTGGTCTCTTGGGCAACGCCGGCGGTGACTCCTCGCCCATACTTGCAGAACCGCTGCTGGGAGGGCTGCTGAAAGGGGAGACCCTATCCGAGAGATTTGCTCTTGCGACGTCCACGGTCCCATCTGCCATCCATGACCTTCTATTCGTGCCAGGGCCGTCCAAGCTGGAGCGAGGGCCGTCCTCCCGCTGTCGTCGCAGTTCTGCCGACCTTCGAGGAGGAGGAGGCGACGGAGGCTTAAAGGCTGGCTTGGCAGCTGGGGACCTGCCACGATCTGAACCCGATGGACGAGTCGGGATCTTGAACTGCTTCCCAGGGCTCGGGGATATTGCCGGCTTGATGACATCGTCTGGGTTCAAGAGATTCTCGTCGTTTGTGGGGAAGGCGGGGGACGGGGCCTTGGGCGGTGAGAGCGGAGGCTCGACGTTGAGTTCAGGAGCCTCGAGTTTCGGTCGAGGTGTCAGTGGTGGAGGAGGAAAGGCGCTGCGCGCTGGGGAGCGCTGCGACAGGCCAATCTCCTTGGGAGCGGGAGGCGCGAGGCCGGGCCTCTTTGGGATCGGCGGTGCCTCCTTCGTGGTCGCGGCAAGCAGAGAGTCTCGAGAAGGAGGGTTTGGGGACGTGTTTCGACTTGACGGCTGCGTGTGTTGCGAGGGCTGGGCTGGCTGGGCTGGCTGTGGCTGGTCCTTGCCCATGTTCTCGAAATGCGACAGGAGGGAGGAAACGGGTTTCTGCTGTTGGCGTCAGTGAATTTGCAGACAGTTGAGTTCCTTCATGTGTGGGCAGGACATACGATAGAAGAGCCATCAGGCCCTCCCTCACCTTTGGGAGTTGCCATGGCTTGGTGTTGATGTCGTCGTCGTCGTGGTTGTCAGTAGCTGAGGAGGAACACCCAGTGAGGCAATGGTGGGGATTGGGCTGCTGCAGGACCCATCACTCCCAACAGGAGCGGTGACCCGTGGTTGGCATGTGGCTCCGCCAGGACCAGATAGTAAGTAGTGAGTGACGATTGTATGTCGTGGTGTCACAGTGAAGAAAAAGCGAGCATTGAAAAAGAAAAGAAAATAAGGGGGTGCCAGCTCGGAGCAGGTCACCCAGTTTGCTCAGCAGTATTAAGGAAAGAAAGAAGGCTCAGGCCTACAGAAGGTTGGGAGTATAGGAGGAAGGTAATCTTTGTTGGGTATAAACTACGATGGCCTCTTCTGAACGCGCAGTGGTGCAGTGTAGTGCAGTGCAGTGCAGGTGGCCTGGTCCACATTTCATAGGTACAGTACAGGCGCTGCTGGTATGAACTGGGCTGTGCTGTCTCTGATTGCGTCACAGGCTCTCCATCACAGGGCTAGAGCTGCTTATTTCTCCGGGGTGGAATCACTTTCTATTTAAGGACTTTGCAACCAAAACAATTGTGCTTTTGTAGAATTGCAGAGCCTCCCAACTGCAGAAATAAAATGTAAAAGAGCAAAGTCAATACTTTGCCAGGAACTATCATGGTATCAAGTCAAGGCAAATGAATGCTACGGATGATCTTCTGCCTGTGTATAGCATGCCTCGTGTAAGTACCCAAGACACAACAAGTCTCTGCCGCCATTCCCGTCTCACGTCCATCTTCTAAGCTTAGGCCACTCACTGGCTGGTGTGTGCCACGCTGGAAGCCTTGGCAAAAGGCTATTTACACTTGCAGTACTAGGTAATACAGTACACTCTGACACTACCTGCCTCAATGAGCTGATAATATTAGTCTCTTTGTCATCTTTGTATGTTTGAGAGTTGGGAAACGTTCCTACAAACTGTTGTTAGAATAGAATAAGGTTGGCTTGGCAATGGCAAGGGTGTGCTTTTCACAGAAACTGCATTCCCATCTGATCATTAATTTCAACTAGCGGAATTTCTGGAAATTGCCTTGATGCATTTAGAAGGCGGTCAATGTTATCTGATACAGCTGAAGCATACTGTACATAGTACGTACTGATATGAGAACCGAAGATGCTCCATCAGAGACGGCCTGGCAAATGGCAGCCAGTAGAGGATCAGAAATACATGGGACGTTTACAGCTATGGGAATGCATGACGAGACAGACACTTCTTGGTACCAAGTAACGCACAGTCTGTTCCTGACCTTCGGATAAGAGATTGGGGGGCAGGCAATGCGGGAAGGTGGGGCGGGGAATTTTTAGCCATGACACCTCTGCGCTAGTAAAGAGCTCCAAATTCCCGCGCCGACAGAAAGTACTCAGCAATCTCCAGCTTTACACCTAAAAAGGACGTCACTTGGGCATACAGACAACCTCATATCATCTCCAGTTCAGGGCTATTGACGCCATCTCCATTCTCTGCAGGTACCTCATATTTGATTATCTCCTTATTGTTGCCGATCAGCTCAACATATCCTTACGGCCAAAATGAACACAGTGGGTTTCCCAGAGCCATTTCCAGGTCGTACGATCCCTTTCATCCATCTTGTACTGACGCCAACTCCCGGATAGGTCAAATCTTTCTGGTGCGCAAGATCCTTGAGCAAGGTGATGGAAACGATCCATAGCTGACAGATACCGCCTTTAGGCTGGGCTGGGGCTCTCTCTGCGTTGGTAAGAAGACTGTCCGATCATAATCACATCGACAGCCTCATCTAACAGGATATCCTCCGTAGCTGGAGCTGGCGCATATGTCGTCGCCAAGCGAAGCATCAATGCCGATCGACAGGCCCGCCTTGAGGAGCAGCGGAAGAAGAAGAGCATGATCGAGTCGCTCGAGTATGGCAGCGATGTACCGTCCAAGCCTGGCTCCTCATCCACAATGGGAGGTAGTGTAGGCCCGCGGAACGGGGGCGAACCGAACATGGACCCCGTAGGATCACCGAGTAGGGAACAGTGTGAACCCGCTCCGACGAGACATGCACCGACTACAGAGAAGGAGCGTGTTCTGGAGAAGAGCAAATATGAGAGCTCAACACCATTCCGAAGCAAGAAGGGCGATCGATTCTCAGATATGTAAGGACTGGGCTCAGCCGCCGCTTTCCACCATGGTAGCTTCTGCTTAGGAGAGAATCAGAAGCTTAAGTGGGCAGTCCCTGAGGTTAAGAAATGCACAGAAGGGGCACATGCCGATCGTGAAGTACTCGAGGAATATGGCTGGTCAGTGAGGGACATGCTGAAGTCGTGGGGCAGGCAAAAAGATGCTGGCTTGGGAGGCCAACTGAGCCATCTGCGCAATGAGTGCGCATGTACAATAATTTTCAGGTATGCCAGAGAGAATGATCATATGGCTTTCACCTTCTCCCCTCACCATACACAATTGAAAGGAGACCCTTATCCCAGACGCGAATGTATAAGTGTCGCTACGCAAGGAAGAAGGTATAGCTAACTAGATACCGGTTTTGGAAAGCCTGACACCGTGTATAAGGAGCTTGAAGAGCAAATTCCCGAACCTTCATGGTAAATCAGTCTGGGCGAAGGCCTGCGAAGTCAAAGGAAGATAATAAAGACGGGTAAAGCAGAGAGAAATTGAGAAGGGAACAGTCATTCATTGTTGGAACGGTCCCTCATGGATGGTGTGTAGCGGAAGCCTTACCGTCAGAAGGGTGTCAAAGGTGCCGACCGGCCGGGTCTAGTGCGCGGCCCCACCCGGTCTAGAATTTAGGCCATCCCCAGACCCCTGGAATCTTTTTGCTTCAGCTCCCTTGTCGTGTTAGCTCTCTCAAGCCAAGTCAAGTTTTGAGAAAGTAAAGTCTCTTTTACATCTTCCCTATTTCTCCAATACTCTCTTTCTTTTCCTCTCGCGAGGCACTTCCTCCGCACTCATGACAACCTCACGTGCCTAAGTACCCTCTGTACCCCTCCTCCTTCCTGGGCAAAAGAGGCACACGCAGCCGCTCATTACCCCTCGAAGTCTCACCCATCATGGCTGCCGCGCAGCTCACAATCGCAAAGGCCAGCCTCCTCGCGTCTCTCCTCAAGCCCGATGCCGATGCCGACTTGGCCCCGTGCCCGCGCGAAGAAATCGAGCAGCTGCACGGCCTTCTTAGCGCCGCGGCCGCGCGGTGCTCACCAGCCAACGTTCAGGTTTGGAACACCACCACCGCTGCTCCAATGCCGCACCATCTCTGTTCTCCAGGAGATCTAAACATGTGCTTATATTCTTCTCTCGCCCGCTACAGAAGTGCAAGCAATGGATGCTGAAACATCTGGCCCGGTCGCCCGCAAGGACAGTAGCCCTGGGCAAGTATCTGCTCGCCCTTGCCAACACACAGCAGCAGCAGCAACAGCAACAACAGTCTGGCGGTAACGTCAAGAATGGAACCGCACCTAAGCCGTCCGCGAAGAGGAGGAGGTTGCATTTCCTGTACATCCTGAACGATGTCTTCTTCCATGTCAAGAACCGCACACAAGACCGAAGCTTCCTCGATGAGCTCGCGCCGCTCCTCCCAGCCCTTTTCAAGAGTGCTGCGGCATTCACCAATGTTCCCAAGCACGAGAAGAAGCTACTCGACCTGATCCAACTGTGGCAACAGCAAGAATATTTCCCAGACCCGCTCGTCGATCAACTGCGCGCAGCAGTCGCAGAAGGACCCAAGTCCACAAAATCGGAGCCAGGCGGTGGGGATGTCGCACAAAAGACAACGACGGTCTCGTCAGCATCCAGACGAGATGCGCCTTATATCCTCCCCTCCATGCACGGCGACCCCTCCGCGCCGTGGTATGACCTTCCCGCCGCAAATTGGCTCCCCCTCATCGAACCGAACTCGACACGACCCATGAACCCCTCCATGATAAAGCCGCTACAGCTTGCCAGCGGGCCTGCCGACAAGAACCTTGTCGAAGCCGTGAAGAAGCTGCTAGGCGATGTGGACAAGATTTACTCCAAGGACGTCCGGCTTGATGGAGACGCCTCGGTGGTGGATATCAGTCAGATGGGCGAGATCATTGAACGGGATGAGATGGGTGATATTGTCGGTAGTGAGACGTACTACGGCTGGTCAAGAGCTTTCTGTGAGAAGATGAAGGCGAGGCGGAAGAATGGCGATGCAATGGACATTGATGACGACGACAGAGGGCGGAGGGGCTCATCACGCTCAGCCAGCCACAGTCGATCTCCCAGTCCTGGTCGAGATAGAGGTCGTTTGTCGAGCAGGAGCTCATCTCTACCAGTCCACAAACGACGTCGAATCTCGGACTCGCGGAGTCGAAGCCCGAGCGGGGACCAAAGTCGAAGCCGATCGAAGAGAAGGGACGCCAGCTGGAGTAGATCCCGTAGCAGACGGAGGCCCCACAGCCATCGACGCTCTCCCAGCCACTCCCCTCAGTCTCAATCTCGATCCCGCTCCCCACCACGGCGAGGACAGGATGACAGATCTCGCTCACGCAATTCGTACTCACCGCCCCAAGCACTTGGTTCCTCTGCGAACAACACGCCAAACAACTTTCAACCACCAATCTTCATCCCAACAAACCCGCCACACCAACAATTTCATCATCCGCCACCCGGCCCTCCCAACTTCCTCGCCGCACCTCACTTCCCACCAAACGCCGGCGGCTTGCCCCCTCCGCCTCAGCCCAACTTCGACCCTTGGAATGCGCCGCCGCCGCCGCCGCCACCCCCTCCACATTATCAAGGCCAGTGGCCTCCTCCCCCGCCGTACGGCATACCGCCTGCCGGGCCTGGTCTGCCACAGCCTGCAGCTCAAGGCTGGTTTCCGCCCAATAACGCTGGGATCGCGCCTCCGATGCCGCCAGTGCCTCAGCAAGGGGGATGGGCCGGCGGCTGGGCTCCGCCACCCCCACCACCGCCTGGACCACCACCTCATCAGCAGCAGCAGCAGCAGCAAAGTGGTGGATATGGCTATGGTGGTCGAGGCGGAGGAGGGGGAAATGGCGGGTATCGAGGCAGAGGCGGGTATAACAGGGGCCGAGACTGGTGAATTACTGAAGGGAAGCTTAAAACACTTGAAGATGACTGGACCATGTGGGTTGGGTCACGAGTGAGCCGGGGTGATGTGTCCCCTCATTCATAGCCGCATTCAATAAGCCTTGCGTGGCTGTAAATTAGAAAATCTAGCAGTTGTATGACTTGACTCGAAGAGAATAATCGGAGACAATCGAGTACAAACGACGTCGCATGGAAAGAGCAATTCTGTAAATAATACCAACGTTGTGAGACCATGATTTTGTGTGTGTATGTGTGTCTCTCTCTGCCTCCCACCTAGAAGAAGACCATCGAGTACGCCGTCTTTTGCCCTAGACTCTGACGGGTTTCAGGATAATCGGTCGTTGAATAAGAAAAGAATCTGTACAATAAAAGAGGATTCCCTCCTGCTCCAGCTTGACTCATCGTTCCCTTAAAAGACCGATCCTAATCCTCCTCCATGGGTTAGAGAGGAGAAGCCTTCCATGAAATCCGCCTTTGGTTGCCTCCCTTCTTTTATAAAGGTCGCCCCGTATTCCATGTCAACTCTCCTGGCCGTCCATCTTCATAAGAACCATACCTAGGCTTCCTTGCAAGAAAGCAATCGGAGTAAAACCTCAACTTAAACGAACAACGCTCGCTATGGTAAGACGCATTCAGCGATTGTCGAGCCCGGCCAGCAACAGAGGCCATGCATGCTGGAATGATGGTCACCACACTACTCATCCCCTTTCACACCAGTCCCCATTCCCAAACTCCGTCTGTGCGCAAACACACTCTCCCGCGAAGGCAGATCGAGTCAACATAGTGGCTCAAGCCTCTGCGCTTATCGCAAGAGGCCAGTGTCTATTTCCCCAATGACAATCTGGCGAGCCTCCGGAAGTTCACCTGTTGTAGTCTCTGTTCTGGCTAGATAGCAATTGGAGAAGCACGGAATTATCATCGCTGGCTTCTTGCTGAGCTCACCGAGTCTTGCCTTTCGTGCATGACAGGGCGGTCCTGCAGCCTCAGAGAATCGAGCCTCTTCTGGTTGTCTTCAGTGCCGTCATTGTCCGTTGTCTGGTTACCAACCTTCCCGTTCGTCTTCTGCTTGTTGGCCAGCTCCTGGATCGCAGCCCACTTGCGCTCTCTCTGATTCTCCCTCGCAGCGGCGCTATTCTGATGCTCAGTGTACTCCTGGGAACAGTCATCAAAGAGCTGGGGGTTGATTTCCATGAAGAGCTTCATGGCGTTGTAGACCATGCCATGGATTGTCCTGCCCGATTGTTAGCACAGGGCCACACGAAACGAAACAACAGACAGATCTCCTTACCGATTCCAGTGGCCCTTGGAATTCTCGTACAGTGGTGCGAACATGATGGGAAGGATGATTTCCACGTTGTCGCTGACGAGATTGCAGAAGTACTCGTTGTTCCAAAAGTACAGAGCACGCTCTGCAACCTGGAAATGCGGGCTTGCCACCGACTTGGCCAGTTGATGGAACAAGGGCTCCTGAACCTTTGCGAATTCTGCCGGATCCATGACCTCAAAGATGTCCTCAACCTCATTCAGAAACATGACTTCCTTGGTACTGTTGACCTTGGGCCAGTATCGCAGAAGGCCGAGCACCACCTCCTCCGTGAGGGACGCATCCTTCTCCAAGAACTGGACGATGCAGTAGGCGAGTTGCGGATGATACATACTCAGGCTCTTCGCTTTGTGCAACGGTATCAGGGTGCGGGTGAGGAACAGCTTGTGCTCCTCCTTCAAGGGAAGGGCGAAACCATTAATAATGGATCCGAGAATCTCAAGAAGTTCGGCCACCCCGTTGAACCTCTCCGTCTCGTACACGAAGTGGAAGAAGACATTGTTGATGGACCTGCGAATGAAGCTTCGCAGGTTAAGGAACTTGCCATATATCCGGTGCAAGGTCGTCTTGAGGAAATCTCTCTCGCGAGGGTCTTCCGAGTCAAACAGCTCAAGGAGGCGGAGGACAAATCCGTGGTCGATGTAGGCCTTGGCGATATTTGTGTTAAAATCCTGACTCTCGATGAAGCGCAAGAAGAATTCGTAGACGACCTGGATGTGCGGCCAGGCCACTTCCAGAACGGGCTCGTCTTCCTCCGGGTCAAAGGCCTCGCCCTGGGGGTTCATGGGCGGGGGCAGAGGGCGGAAGAGGTTCTTGGAGAACATTTCGACAACTCTTGGGTACATCGGCTCGGTGATGACCTGCCGGTTATTAGCGACATAGTCGAGCAACTCGTGGAGCGCCAGCCGCTTGATCTCCTTTGACTTCATGTCGCCGCTGGCATCGTTGAAGTCGAAAATGACATTGCACTGATCAATCTTCTGCATGAAGAGCTCTTGTCGACGGTTGGGCGGTACTTCGTGGAATCCGGGAAGCTTCTCCAGCTCGCGGTGCGGCGAGATATCGAATCGAGATGAATGCTGCCGCTTGGGTGTCCTGAGACCTTCAGGGACGTCCTTCGGTGTGGACGCAAGGCGATCGAACATCAAGGACTTTTGGCCGGCCTTGGGGGGCGCAAGGTCGTGGGGCATCGTCTCGGCGGCGCCAGGTGGGGGGACGTGCTATCGTTCAGAAACATGTCAGTCTTGCCGCATAGCTTAGAATAGATGTCCTTGGGATGGAGCTCACAGGTGCACTGGGGCTGATGATGACGGTGGGCGGCAGGGTGCCGCGCTGGGGTGCAGCTCCATTTGCAGGCTGGGGCGAGCCACCACCAAATGCGCCGGCTCCCTGAGCAGATGTCATGTTGCTGAGCGGTGACTGCCCTGCGGCGCCTGCACCGCCTTCATTTGTTCCAACACTATTCGGAGGGAGAGGCTTGTTCCGGATGTCGTTGAGAGTCGACGTGGAGGACGAGGGAGTGATCGTTGGGGAGTTCTGGCTAGCCGAGCCACTGTTGGGGGAAGCGGTACCGTCTTTTGAATCCTTCTTCTTGGAAGACTTGTTCGAGTCCTTCCCGCGCGAGAGCTGCAGTCGGGGCTGTCATTAGCGTGTCGCGGGCGGTCTGACTTGGAGGGTACAGCAGAAGCGCTATAGGAACGCAGCAGCAGAAGCTCAAGTCCAGGGCGCGTGGGCTTACTTACGACTCTCTGGCTGAAGCGCTTCATCTTCGAAGACAATTGCTTCTCTGCTAAAGATGGTCAGTAACGTCGCCGCCAGTGATTGTTTCACGTCGTAGCCGGGCAGAAGGGGTGTTAGGTGGAAGGAGAGAGCGGGGAGGGGGGAGGGGGGGGCCGCGAGCAATCCCGGGCGCGGGCGCACCAGGCTGGCCAGGAATGTGTTCGTTGGACAAGCTTATATCCAGTGATCGGGAGCTGTGAAGCCAGAGAGGAGAGGGGGGGGGGGCAAGGATGGGCGATAAGTGCTGAGGACTATCTACCTGTTCAACCTCGCAGAGTAGCAGGGAACGGCGGTAGCAGCCTTGACGACGGATCAAAGGGGGTTTGGTCCACGTCCAGGCCAGTCTCGCTGGTTTGTTCTTCGAGGGAGCTGATGATGTTGACGGGTGACGGGCAGGGCGGCAAGGCGTGAGAGCAATGCTCAATAACCAATTCGCCAGCCGAAAGGTGAGTTGATGCGCGACAAGGGGACCTTCCGCGACGACGATGCAAATGAAGCTTCGATTCAGAGGCCAAAGGCTCGGAGGAGTGAGGTCGTGATTCAAGGAAGGGTCGGCGACAGGGGTTCGTCGTAAGCGGGAAGCAGGATGATTTGAGGAGGTACAGTAGCAGCAAGTTCCGGCCCGTAGATGATTCGCCAGGGGTCAGGTAAGGGCTGGTGGTAGGCAAGTTCTGGGCGAGGTAGGTGGGTAGGTATGGGAATGATCACAGCCCCCGAGCGACGTCGTTGTGTGGGTAGGTCGCGAAGACAGGTGAAGCGTGCCGCGCGCAGGGTGCAGGCGCGCAAGTATTATTTACCGTTGGATGATGACGAGCCGTTGGCGTCTTGGGGGCCTCTGGAGGGCATCCGTGGCCAATTGGGCAAGCACCTGCAGGAGACGGAGGGTGCCTCTGAATTTCTCCAATCCGATGGAAGAACGTTGATCTTCTTGGGTGGAAGGCAAGTTGAAAGACGGTCTCTTCGTGTAGTGGAGGGGAATAGGAAGGGAGCGAAGCAGGATCAGGTTGTGGTCGGTCGAGGCTGAGTTGAGGGTGTGCAATAAGGACAGGACGTTCAAGAGACTGTACTGTATAGTACAGTATTTGGCGTGTCGATTGATGCCGTAACGACGACCCAGGTTCCATCAGCTCCTGGTTGGGGTGGTGCGGCGCTGGGCCATTCGCTTCTAGGTTGGTGCCAGGCTTGGTCCATTTCGTGTGGGGCTCAGGTGGGAGTGTGCAGAGTGCATTGCATTCCAGGCTTGGTTGATCATTTGACTGGGTTGACTTGGCCAAATTACTGATGCATGGACCGGGGGACGGGGGAGCTGCTGAGCCGTGAGGGTCTGCCTGGGCCTTAGCTAGTCCTAGTCCTATTGCTCAACCAGCCGTACCTGCTTTCCGCGTAACACGCCCCAGTGGTGCGCCTAGCCAGATGAGATGGGCGAAGCAGGAACTTGTTCTAGTGGCAGCATCGACCCTGCAGGGCCAAACTTCTCCTCTAGCCGGGAGGGGCTGATGCGCTAAAATTAGAGCCTGACTCCAGCAATTCGAATGTACAAGCCACTGGGCCAGTAGGCTGACGACTGGTCGCCAGCTGGTGGGTTCAATATCAGACAGGCCTGCAGCACCCCAGTGAATCACCGGTACCTCTGCATGAAGAAGATCTGGCAGACGCACGGGTGTTATTGTCTTACTTCTTGTTGTGTCTTTCTTGTCTTTATTTCTTATCCTACAAGCAGACATACCCTTGTCAAAAAGAGGACCGTCAAACAGGAAGTGACTACTCCACAAATCGTTTCTCGCCTCTCGCCTCTCGCCGCATACCCTCGCTCCCAAATGTGAAGTGGGCACTGCTTAACGAATCACCGCTTTCAGCAAGGTATCAAGGGCCTCAAGCAACCATAAGCATATCGTTCAGGTCATATTGAAATAGAGATAGGCTCTTTATACCTCGTCACAGCCTTGCCTTCAGCATGCAGGCAATGGATATTACCGATGTCGAGGAGAGTGAGGCAGCTTTGAGCCAGGAATCAGACTCAACCTCTTCTTCGATTGATGATGAACAGGATGAGCAGGAGGATCGAGATGAGCCAGATGAGCCAGATGAAGATGCCGAGCAGGAGGAACAGGAGGAGCAAGAGGAGCAAGAGGCACCCCAGGCCCCTGCCTTCAAGATCCCCTCAAGGACCATCTCTGCTGTCGAGCACCCGTTCCTGATTATGGACGTTGACAAAGGCCTGAAGACGTTTGGTCCCAATCCACAGTTTCAAGCCGTAAGCTGCATTTCATCGGTCCCTTCTTAAGAGTATGATGGTGACTCTCCGTCCAGGTCCTGGATGCCGGAAACCCTCAGCTTTCCGTGCCCATCTATCTTCACCCTCAAGATCCCACTTCGCGACCAATGATGTCTCACTACGCTCCATCTCACAATGTCGTTTTCAAGATTACGGTGCCCAGAAGGACCGGGCGCAAACGCAAACGGGGCAGCGATGAACCGTGGCAGGGGGATGTTGATGAGCTCACCGAAGGACTGGACAAAAGCTCTTCCCCAGCATTCAGATCGAAAGCTCAACTCGATGAGCCCAAATCCCTGCGGAGAAAGTTACAGGACAATGCCGGTAAATACCAGGCTGAGGCTGTGGGAATAATCAAACATACTCATCGATACCGCGGCATGGTCGACTTCAACTACTCGATGAAGAACAACGCTTTCATGAACAATTTTACGGAGAAGATCATGTCAGGCGACGGTATGGTCTTTTGTTTCTTTGTTCTTTTTCTCTTTACTTTCTCTTCTCTCCTACTGGTGCGTGGTAATAATGCGCTGACGCATGCTGCTTGGCTTAGTATCGAAATTCCGACAATTCTCTGTTCGACCTGGAACAGACACATCCACAAATCAAGATATTGTCGCACCACCGCTGATGACACAAGTTTCCATTCCTTACTACTATCACTACTCTCAAAATCCCTACGTGAGGGCGGTCAACAAAGACGACGGCGGGTTCGAAATGGTCAACACCACTGCCAAAGTCAAGTCCGTCGGCCACTTCATTGGCATACGGGATCCCATTCCGCCGGCCCCCTCTGGCCGGCCAAACGTCAGGGACCCTCTGTTCGACGATGTCGTACGCGCTATGAGGGTGTGCATGGAAGAACGGCCAGTCTGGACACGACGATCCATTATCAACCGGCTTGTGACCCTCGCATACGACCCCGATCACCCGGAGAAGCGAATTCCAGCGAATTTATCCCAGCAGATCGTCAAGAACGCAATCCAGTTCGCAGGCTACCAGTTCAAGGGCGGGCCATGGCGCGATGCCCTGGTGAAATACGGTTATGACCCCAGGGCAGATCCTTCCAGCCGCATTTACCAGTGCCTGATATTCCGGCTTCGACGGCTCGAGATCGGCATGATGGGTGAGATGTGGCAGGAGATCCGCAAACGCGACCTCGCGGGCGTCAAGGGGACGATCGACGAGAATTCCGAGTCGCACATGTTTGATGGGAAGAAATACAGCGAGGACGGTAAAGTCTGGCAGGTATGCGACATCACCGACCCGCTGTTGGTGAGACTGCTTGCTGATGCTCCTGTGCGGCCCACATGCGATATTGAGGGGAGCGGCTGGTATCATCGGGGGCTGTGGGCCAAGGCTCGGGCAATCATGAAGTGCAAGATGCGCGCGATCCAATTCGGCCGCGAGCTGCACGATAGCGACTTCGAATCCGCGCTCCAGGCCCGTGATGCGACGCCTGACCTGGACACAGTCAAGAGCATCGCCATCCCGACACCAGACCTGAAGCTGACCGAGGCGGAGTGGGAGCTGGTCAGGGGCAAGAAATACAAGACTGTAGGCCGGCAGCGCAAGGATAAACGCTCGGCGTATCTCTTTCCGAGCAACAGAACACCCAAGAGACTCAAGAAGACGGGTCTGGCTCAGTCGCAGCCGCCAGAGGGCGACGGTCGCGAGGCCGCTGCCGAGGACGAAGAAGTCCTGCAGACAGTTGAGGATGAGAACGGCATTAATCCTGGTCTGCCGAGCGACTACGAAGACGGCAGCGAGTATGACGAAGATGAAATGGATGATGATGATGAAGAGTCTGAGGAAGAAGACGATGGTGAGGATGATGAGAACCTGGCTGAGCATCTTCGACTCGCGCGCTACGATTACAGTGATATCGAGCAGGGAGATGATGATGAGGAGCCACAGGATGACGAAGATGAAGGAGAGGGAGGTGGGCTGAACCATTAATAACCTTACCAATGCTATTTATTATTGTGGCCATACTGTCTGCGTGCATCAAAAGTTTCCAGTCAAAGAATTGAGATCAATGGCACCAGGTAAGGTCATAATTGTGCAATCCAAAGGATTGGAATGGCAGACGCTCCTCATAATTCGTGCCTGTATAAGTGAGATGCCTGCGCAACCACATTTCTTGCCTCTCCTGATTTCTCTAGAACAACAAATAGCAATCCGTCTTGGTCCCAAATCCCCACTTCTGTGGCCTCTTATTCATAGCCTCTCTCGCTTGTCTTCATCTCTACTTCCTTTCTCACTGCACTTGCAGAATCTTTGTCTTGCTCGCCTTCTGCTTGAGCATGCCCTCTACCCATACTCCCACTTCCTCAAGCGCCTTCCGTGGGTTCTTCTTCCTCTTCAGCAAGAATCCTTGGAGTTCTGCGGGCGAAAACTGTCCGTCGGGGATCTTCTCGGCGAACTCTGCGGCGATGATCTTCAGCTCGTCAAAGGTCAAGTCGAGCCTCTCATCATGCAGCACTTCGCTCGTGGAGACCGAGCCGCCATTCTGGAGCATTGGTTCTGACTCTTGGGGGTAGCCATTAGCCTTCTCGGACTTCTCGTCCGGGCTGGCATGTCCGTTGGCTTTTGAAGCGTGTCCGTTGGCAGCAGCAGTATGCTTATGCTTGGAGTCCGCCTCGTACATGCGTTCAAAAAGTTCCCTGGCTTGCTCCTGCGTCGCATTCGTGAAAGCAACCTGCAGGTCCACCCGTCCAGGTCGGATGAGGGCATCGTCCAGCGTCTCGGGTTTGTTCGTGGTCATGATCAGCACCCGGCCCTCGTGTGAGGCGACACCATCGATAGCGTTGAGCAGGCCGGACAGGGAGATGCCTTTCTTGTCCTCGTTGAAGGGCTTCTTGAGCTCACGCGCCAGGTCCGACACCTTCCAATCGTTAGCTCCGCCTCGCTCTCCGTCGCCACCGTCCCCCTTGCGCTTCCTGCCCCCACTCCGACCCGGCTCGCCGTTGTTGTTCTTGGTGGGCTCGTCAGCAGCCTTCTCGTCATCCTGTTCCTCATCCTTTGGCCTGGTCAAGCCCGCCGTGTCGATGTCCTCAAGGAGGACAACACATCGCCTAGGCAGGGAGTTGAACAGCGCCAGCAGGTCCTCCTCCGTGAGCGTCGGCTCCAAGAGGCTGATGACGAAGATGTCGAGTCCGAAGACACCCGCCAGCGCAAAAGACAAGCTCGTCTTGCCCGTACCCGGCGGGCCGTGGAACAGATAGCCTCTCCTCAGCGGGATACCACGGTTCGCATACCAATGAGGCGTGGCAGGGTGCAGGTACTCGTTGATATCGGCCAAGACCTGGATCTTCTGCTTCACATCCAGCACGACCGTCTTCATGGGCCTGACGGGCCTCTGTGCGACCTGTGCCCACGCTCCCCTTCCGAACCGCCGGTTACCGAGCGCACTGGGCCTCTTGACGGTTGTCTTGGAGTGGTGATCGCTGTAATAGTTCTCCTTGGCCTTCTGCAGCATGCGCTTGATCGGCTCGGGACTGCGGCCGAAGCAGGAGATGGTCAGGTTCTCCCGGTCCTTGAACATGCCACTCCCGCTGTTCTCGTCGTCCATGAATGACTCCTGCTTTCTGGTGAGGCGAAAATAGTTGCCCTCGAACCAAAAGGCGTGGACGCCCAGGGCAGGGATGAAGCGTGGCGGCATCTTGGCCTCTTCATTGCTGAAGTTAAGATAGACGCCCCCGCCGTCGGCGGAGATGCGCGTCGAGAGGACCTCGGCCTCGTCTTCTCCTTCCCAGGCAGTCTTGCTGACGGTCTCGGCTGTGAGGGCACGAGAGTTCACGAGGTGAGGCTGCGCAGAGAGCCACTTCATCAGGTGCATAAAGATCTCGTCGCTGGACGAGACGTGGATGGAGGAAGTGAGGTAGTTGCTGACCAGCTGCTGGACGGTAGTGAAGAGCTGCCTCCATATGCGATTAGACGCCCAGAGGAAGCCCAGAAAGCTAAGAAATACGGTCGGGTCAACGCCTATGCGGGTGCCGATCGTCTGGTGTAGGAGCATGAGGACCTGGACAATGGGGTTGCGTGCGCCCAGCAGGGCGATGATGGATTCGAGGCCAGGGGTTGCTGTGATGTTGCCCGTCATATTGTCGCTGAAACTTCCGCCGCCGCCGCCGCCGCCACCGCCGCCATGGCCGAGGCCACGACCTAGAGATTTGAAGTCCATTCTGAGGTCTGTCGTGGAGAGAGACGTGCACAGAAAGATGACGAGTCCTTACCGTGTTTGTGGGGAAAGGGCGTTTAGAACTCTGCCCTGATATTGTGAATATCTGACGATCTACACAAAGGTCTAGTGACAAATGTTGGCACCCGTCTTTACCTCGTAAAACTTCGTCTCTTACCACAATCTTCGTAAAGAAGGCTTGAAGTAATGGGATGACCAGATCAAAGAGAGAAGAAGAAGAGAAAAAGGAAGGAAAATTGAAGGTTGATATAGGGAAAGAGTGAGGCAGCCTTCAGTGATCACCATGTATGTGGCAAAACGTCACTCACACCCACTAAAAGAGTGGGTCTACAGCACTATTTAACGGGTCCTGGTGTAAGTGGTACGTATTTGGTACTCAGCCAGCCAGTGAGCTGCCTGAGCTAAGTACTTTACCTAGCTACAACTCAACAAGCGCGAAGAGGAACTGCCGTGCAGTGAAATGTACAAATGCACACTCTACGATAAGAGTCATAGTTATATTATGGTAGCCACAGAAACATCGATCGTCCAGGTATGGGAGGCAGGGCAGTGAGCGGTGTGACACTGCCTCTCAAAGCTTTGCATTCTTTTTTTCCCACAAACCCCGCTCGCGTTGCCTGTTTTGAAAATCGAAATGAATGACATACACACATACATACATACATACATACAGGGGAAAAAACACGAGCATTGCAAGGCTCTGCTATCAAGTGGTAATTTTAGCGAGCAAAAGATGACTCTTTCTCTTTTCCTTTTTCGTCTGCCTACGCGGCTCTTGTCGGATGGTGGCGGCGTTTACGGGAGCTATGCAACCCGACGTACGCACCAGAATTCAGGTTCGCCCAGCGTAATGCACTGCTGTAGTGCTTCCAAAACGGCTGCTGTGCATAAGCTCCGTGAAGCATATGTAAGCCGGCAGACCGACACGTCATAATTTTTGGGTCTCGTGTTGTGTTGGTAAGAGGCCAAAGTGCACAAATCGAGTCTCACTATTTAAGAGTCTTTATGGAGGGTTCAGTGCAGGCAGCAATCGGGGTTTAATTAGTCTAGCGACGACCTTTGGTTCTGGATCCGCTCCTCGATATGCTCACCGTTTTTTCTTCTTCTTCCCTTCAGGTTTTCCTTCTCCAAGACTCGTTGGTGTTCTCAGAGGAGCCAGAGGGGGCGGGGGCATAATGGAGAATGCGTGAAGGGTGGATCAATTATACGCAGGCAGCACCAAGTCGATATGTATAAGCAACATCCGAGTTCCGCTCCAACACTCTCAACACTGATATCGACATCCACCTGTGTACCCTTCACAGCCTTGCGCCTAAATTACAAGAGAATGGAGGAGAGAGAAAGAAAAGGATCGAGGGAATCTCATAGGCGAACCTCGTCTTATGCGTCAGGAGAACTGAGCTGCCCGACTAATCCATCCCGTCTTATTGACAAAAGCTGTGGGCCTCGGTGCCCAGAGTTTCACCGCGACACCGCGCTCTCACTGCTATCAGCACTACGAGATGAGCTTTGTATGGTCACAAGGCTGAAGGAATATAGGCGAGCGATGTCCCGCGGTTTGATTCGGCCAGCCGAGCCGTCCGCAGTGGCTAACATACAGTGAGACTCGGTCCCAAGATGTGTACCGGTACCCCCCTCCCAGAATGAAGCTGTATCGGCTTCGGCGCAATATCGTTCCAGGAAGTGAAAGTATAAGTATTAGACCTGTGGTTCGCCTTCATGATTGTCTCCCGTCGTAACCATGCCACCCCATCCACACTCATATCTTCTTTCGACTGTCAAGACACCGACGACACCTATTCCTAATTCCAGTACCACGCTCAGCTTGGCAGTTTCACACCTAGAACAGATTCAAGAAGAAGAAGAAGAGTAGTAAAGATAAAAGAAAAGCAAGAAAAGACATCATGACTGTCTACGCCGTTGTTCTGCTCAAGATCCACGACCGAGAAAGATATCAGATCTATCAGGACGGTGTCATGCCGTCCATCACCAAGAACGGAGGCAAGATTGTGGCTTTTGATGAGGATCCCAAGGTCATCGAGGGCGACTGGCCCTACAACCGCAGTCTAGTGCTGTCATTCCCGAGTGCTGAGGATCTCAACAATTGGTACACCGCGCCTGAGTACCAAGCCTTAGTCCCGCACCGCTGGCAAGCCTCGACCGGTCAGCTGGCTGTTCTGCGCAGTTTCGAATGAGTTACTCCATCTCCGCCTACCTTTCGGCATAGTGTTGCAGCAGAAGGGATTTTGAGTCAGGATACAGGCATGGCAAGCGATATGAGAGTAGGTGCTTGTGAAGCTGAGGGAGGAGATCGATGAGGGACGGGAAGGGGGGGGGGGGCTTGTTTATGAGAATGCATGGCTCCATAGAATCTCATCTCCAAAGGGTTTAGACAGAGGCAATGATATGCGCCTGTGGATTAAAATCTCCCCTCAGATCCTCATTTAATATGTATTATTCTCCTATTTCAGTTTGACATTGCAAGGTCCGGCCCAGATGGTCATGCAGCAATGCACGGTGCCAAACTCTACCACACCCAACTTTCCGATAGGTACAGAGAATTTCGCAACCCGCGACCGCTCAGTGCGATATTTCAAAGCGGCCGCACATATAGAATGAACAGGCCAAGAAAAGGCTCATTATCAGGACCAGGGGACAGGGATACCGACATAACAGGCGACCGAGCGTAGCACTGCAGCTCAATTCATCTAGGGTACTTTGTTCGAGTGGGCCATAAGACTAGAGAAAAGACGGTTTAACCATGAACATTCTCACAGGCCAGGAGATCTCGGTCGGCTGAGAGGGAAATCCGCTGTCCTGGGAGTCGATGCGCCACTCCGTGCTTTCTCATCCACCCACAAGTGCCCGCCGGCACCCTCCAACAATTCGATGCATCCCCGATTTGCCGTCCTTCTGGCTAGGAAAAGGGGAGTGTTGTTTGCCGAGTTTCTGGTGTGAACGCTGGCTCCGCGCGTGAGAAGTTCCTTGATAATATCTAGGTTAGCGCTCATAGCCGCCAGGTGTAAGGCTGTGTTCCCGGCGTAGTCGGCCCTCTTCAGCAACTGATGGTTCACCTCGTCCCCTTCGAGCATTTCGCGGACCTCCTGGAACTCGCCCCTTTCAATAGCATATCCGAGTGCGGCAAATGCTGCTTCTGTGGCAGTGAGCTTGATCGTTGCCGAATCTAATGTTCCCGCCGGGTGGGAGAAGCTAGGACTCGTCATCTCGGTCACTATCGAAGGTTGTATGATTAGCTGAACATTTCCAAGACCCTCAAGAGACCTGTTATTCGATTGAAAAGCCGACTGACGAAAGAAAGAAAAAAGGCTGGTTCCTTACTTTCTCCACGTATGGAATGCGCCATCTGGGCAGTGATATCGACATAAGAGAGGCTCTGAACAGCTAGAAGATAGCCCAGCTTCGTCAGAGCAGCCTCCGTCGTCAGGTCATGGCCGAAGACAACGCCTGCTCTGCCCAGAATCGTGCCTGGTGCATATAGCGGCGAGACGAAGCCGTTTGTACACTGGCTGACGTTGACGATGACGATGCCTCTCTCTACGGCCTCACGGATGACCTTTGTCAGACTCCCGTCCACACCTCCTGGAGCGTTGCCCACTGTGCAGCCATTTCCAGTCAGCATTAGGCCAGCAAAGATCAGGATGGGGCATGGATGAAAAGTTTGAGGATCTGCCCTCTTCGGAAACTTTCCGTTTCACGAGGGATGTACATCATGTTGGCCAAAAGAACGGTGCAGGCAACACACATGGAACTGGGAAGGGGGGAAAAAAGAAGAAAAGAAGAAAAAAGAAGGGGGGGGGGGGGACGCACTGCCGAATGTCTCAAGAATGAGGCCTCTCAAGTCGGGAACACGGAGCACTGAATCTACCATCTCTGGCTTGATGCCGGGAAAGATGCGCAGACAGGCCACATGTGCTGTATCGATATATTTGGTAACCTGAAACTCAGCGATTCTCGTCGGTCGACGAACAAGCGCCCACTTCACGTCAACCCCGAGACTCGTCACCTTGGCAAGAGGCTCGCAATTTGGGCTATCAAAGGCCTCGAATGCAGACGCTGAAACTTTTGTCGTCCTGTTGCCTCTGAAAAGGGTGTGATGGAAGAACAGGCAGACCTCGGGAATCACAAAGGTCCCGGCGATGATCAGTGAGCCCAGCAGGTTGTCCACAGCGTCGGACTGGAGGGCAAAAATGGAAGCCTGAGAACCCGTGAGAATGACCGGCTTGCCCAGATCCGACATCATGAAGGACAAGGCGGATGCAGAGTAGGCCAGGGAGTCCGTGCCGTGCAGTACCACAAAGCCATCGAAAAGGTGATAGTTCTCCTTGACCGTCAGGGCGATCTCGGTCCAGCCGACAGAGGAGATGGAGCTTGAATCCAGCAAGGGGGAGAACTCGAGAATACCATAGCGAACATGTCGCGAATAGGCAGTGGGCGGGGTGCGGAGGGAGTTGAGCGCGAGTTTCTCGCCGTTCTTGTACGCATGGAGCTGCACGGGGGCGGAGGAATCGTTGAAGGACGGTCTGGGCGCCATTGCACTCTCAAGAAATCCAGTCGCTGGCACCAGGCCATCTGGCGATGGCTGCATGCAGATAGTGCCTCCCGTCATGATAATGAGCACTCGAGACTCGAGATACTTCGTGTCCAGGTCGCCACCGCTCGACCGGGGCATACTGACCGGGCTCATCGTGAACCGCTGGTTGTAAGTCTATGGGACGTTTAAAACTATGGCCGTCAGCGCAATTGCTCACAATTTGTTTTGGGAGGGTCTGCTGATCTTATAGTCACTACAATCACAGAGGACGGCTTGTTCCACTGAGGAATCGTTTATTAAGAATTTTTCCAGCAGGCAATTAGGAGGATTACTACTGTGGGGAGCAACAGCTAGCAGTACATACCTGTTCTATAGACGTGTAATAAATAAAAAGAATATTGTAAAGCAGTCAAGTGATATCCTTTGCTGGTTCTGAAAGTATTCTATTCAAGAAGAGAGAGGGGGGGTGGGTGGTGAAAATCGATCTGTTGTAACAAGTCTGCTTTCCTTTTCCACCCTAAACGGTGGGAAAACATCATTAAGCCGCCCATACCAAGCATGCAGCCTCTTGTTAACTATTACCCCATAATAACCTAATGCACCGACACTGGAGTACCCATGACCACCACCACGGGGATTCTCGGCCGATCGACTGGTCTTCTGAATAGGACAATCTGGGGTCGGGAGGACCTGAAAATCTTGAATTTTCTAGATTTAGAAAAGAAAATCTCGGAAAGAGTTCACGACTGCAGGGGTCCGATGACGCTGCGCGCAGCAGGCTGCCATCGTGCCATTAAATGGAGAACAGGAGCCAAAGGGCGACCTCGGTTGTGCCTTATGTAATACAAAAGCTCGTGTCATGTCACTCTCGAAACAACCAGAGGAATGCTTCTAACAACATCAATTGAGCACTGTCATAATTGGTGTACAATTTGCGGACGCAACTTTCGGCGCGTTCATATGCCATGGCCGTCACGATGAGGATTGTTAGACTAACAGCAAGGTGAGGTCATGCCACAGTTGTTTGGTGATATATGTATATATATATGCTGGAGACTGGCTTTGGTCGTTAACTGTTGTGGGTCGTGGCTGTAGGTCTGTCCGGTCAGGCATGCCGAGCTTACAGCATCGTGCCTCTTGCCCTATATCATTCGTGAACTCCCTTGCCACACGACCGCGAGTGGCCTACCGACTCGTCTCCCAACTATCTGCTGCTAATTCCACTGTCGATGAACCTTGTCCCCATGGTCCATCGAAGCCCAAGCCGTGGTCCGTCATAGATCTCACCGAGGGCGCCTCTGGCTTTAGGTTCAAGGTGAATCCTCACAAGGTCACCATGATACCTTCTTCCCTCCCAAAAGACCCGGAGACGGGCAAGAAATACAAGCTGTTACCCATGTGAGAGGGTGCCTTAACCCTTTAAACATTGAGATGACGCACGGCTGATTTTGAAATTCGCCAGGCCTCATTTGTGGCTAAGGTGAGAGTCCTAAAGACACAGTCATGCATCAGGATATCGAAACTCACCTATACATCACAGGGACAATTGCAGGTGTTCCCAATGTTTCAACCAGGCTACCAAGCAGAGAAGTTTTAGCATCTTCGACATTCCTAGTAAAATTTACCCCACAAAGATCTTGGTAGAGTCTGAGGGTTTGAGGATTACTTGTGAGCTACCACATGTCATCGCGATGCATCTGGCACGACCCTTGTCCTCACACACTTCACAATAGGGGATCACGAACTACACGAGAGCTTCTATGACTGGAGCTTCCTCAAGCGGCATACCTACGGGCGCCACATGCCCGAGTTCGATATGTGGTATGTATATACATTCTCAAGAGACCGGATCTCATGACTCACCAGTGCAGCGAGCGCCGTCAATTTTGGGGGTCAGAAATCGCAGAAAACCCTCCGACTGTTACCTACGAAGAAGTCATGGACACTACGTCTGAGAGTGGGATGGCCAAATTGACGGATCACTTGGTGAGGCACCTCGGAGCTTCCATTGTGTTTCTTGCTCAAGATCTGACGGCATTTCTAGGTGAGACACGGGCTTGTCTTCGTAGACAACACACCTTTCGATGATGCCATTCACACTAAGTATCTCTTGGAGCGCATCGGGCCCATCAGGGAGACACACTATGGTGGCTTCTATGATTTCGTGCCTGATATGGCCAAAGCCGACACCGCTTATACGAACATCGCACTGCCTGCCCACACGGACACAACCTACTTCACAGACCCTGCCGGCCTGCAAGCCTTCCACATGTTGTCTCACACCGCGCTCGAAGGTTCGCCGCCCACCGGAGGCGAGTCACTTCTCGTGGACGGCTTCCATGCCGCAGAAATCATGCGCAAAGAGCATAAGCACGAGTTCCAAGTATTGAAGACCTGCAGCGTGCCTTGGCATGCCAGCGGCAATCAAGGAGTCACCATCACCCCAGGCGTACAGGAATGCGTCATACGTAGCTATGCCACTCCTAAAGCAGAATCGCCAATCTATCGCATCAAATGGAACAATGATGATCGGGGCGGTGAGTGTTCTTCAAAGACATTGTCGCTGCCGCACTTATTGTCTCGTGCATAATGGCAGCACCATTCCGTACCTTTTCATTTCTTCCCCTTCTTCTTCTTCTGCTCATCCTGCTCTTCCTGAGTATCTTGAAAATATTCTAACGCTCTTTTGAACCACTCAAGTGATGCGTCTCACCCAGAACACCCGCAATGTTGCCGCATGGTATGGTGCTGCACGCAAGTTCAATGATATCCTCAAAAGGACGAGCTCAGAGTATTGGTTTCAACTCAAACCCGGAAGAACCTTGAGTATGCCTCCTCCTGACCATCACGATCCTCAGTATAGACTCGACATTGGCTGACATTCTCCAAGTCTTTGATAATTACAGAGTTCTGCACGGTCGAAGCGCATTCACAGGACTCAGAAGAATGTGTGGCGGCTATAGTGAGTATCACACCCAGATCGCTTTTCCGTCATCGATGCTGATAGATCGTGCGTCTCTGCAGTAAGCCGGGACGATTTTGTATCACGCTGGAGAAATACAAACTTCGCTCGAGATGAGGTGCTGGCCCAGGTTCTGGGATAAAAGTCAGATGGCTTTTAGACGTATTCACCTGAGAAACCTGCCTCATACGATCAGCCTTTCTCATCGCTGGGACCTCTGAAGAGTGGGTTTCTGGTATATGTCATGATGAAATTTTGCAGTAAAAGCAGCGCGCCTGGTTATGGAATTTGGAACGGTGCACAACATATTTTGCGTAGATAAGAAAGAGGAGGCCCGCGGCAGGGATCACTGTAGCGATGGCCGTTCCTTAGTGCGTAGTTGTGCAGGATTGTTACCATCTGATAACTCAAAAGCCTGATTGGAAGCTTAAGGCAGCTAACTGTTCGCCCGTCATCTTAGCCCCCCCCCCCCTTTTTCTTCTTCTTCTTCTTCTACAGCCTATCTGCGATTGGTTTTTGTATTCGAACGCCACTGTAGTCCCCTAGCGCCTATACAGGTGGCCTGAGCACGTTTCCTGCTAGAGCGAGACACTGAGCGCTCTGAGATACCCCACCATAGATCCCCTGAAGATTGAACCCGCTGCGCCCACCCCAAGCCCCGCTCCAGGGTCGTCCACCGCCCGTCCCCCAAACCTACCTCGCACATAGGTCCAGTGTTCCACCTGAGCCAGCGCGAGGCTCTTTGTCCTGCCTGCTACACTGCGATTTTCCAGCTGTTGGTCTGGACTGTGTCGTGCTGTCAACCTAAACCCCATGGTTGTAGAATACCTACAACCGCTCGTCTGACCTCAGCCCTGCTCGTCCCAATTTGCCTTCCTCCAACTTTTTGCTGCCTCCCAAGGCTCTGGTAACTTTCCGCCAGGCCCCCTTCTTGTTACTTATTTGTTGAAGACAAACGAGCTTGACTACCTACGCAGGAAGCCTTGAGGTGGAGAGTTCAACAAATACGAGCCCTTCCGACACACTCGCCTCCTCCCCCCTCCTCGATTCAACACATTTCAAACGCAGATATCGACTCTTAACTCCTGCAGCACAGTCATACTCGGTGTCACTGCCCCAGAGCCTCGCCCGCCGAATATGGATACCGACGACGCTGGTGCGCCTGGCTCCCAGGACCTGCGCAATGTCCAGGTTGACAATGCCATCCGTGCAATACAGCAAAAGAAGCCTCTACCCGAGATCGACTTCTCCATTCACCGTATGGAGGACGGTACGGAGGTCAGCACCATGGAGAGGGTCTGCAAAGGTATGTGCACCAGCTGCAACCCCCGCTTCTCACACACGAGCAGCCGACTCTCTGCATGGAGCACGCGATATGCTGACCCTACTTCCCCTCACACCAGACGTTCAAGCCCCTGCCATGTTCAAGCCCACCGACGAGCAGTTCTTTGAGGACGAGACACACACCAAGCCCAACATTACATTTCTGAAATCGCACTTCTACAGAGAAGGCCGCTTGACAGAAGAACAGGCGCTATGGATTATCAGGACCGGCACAGAGCTCCTGCGCGCCGAGCCAAACCTTCTGGAGATGGACGCTCCGATCACGGTCTGTGGCGACGTACACGGCCAGTATTACGACCTCATGAAGCTCTTTGAAGTGGGTGGAGACCCGGCAGAGACCCGATATCTCTTCCTGGGCGACTACGTCGACCGTGGCTATTTCAGCATCGAGTGCGTGCTGTACCTATGGTCGCTCAAGATCCACTACCCCAAGACGCTGTGGCTGCTGCGCGGTAATCACGAATGCCGTCATTTGACCGACTACTTCACCTTCAAGCTCGAGTGCAAGCACAAATACTCTGACACCATCTACGAGGCCTGCATGGAGTCTTTCTGCAGCCTGCCTCTTGCTGCGGTCATGAACAAGCAGTTCTTGTGCATTCACGGCGGCCTCAGCCCAGAACTGCACACCCTCGACGACCTTCGAAATGTGAGCAAACTCTCGTACTCCCTGTGTGACTGCGTCTGTCTGCAAGGCGCGCCGTCCCAACTGGTTCCTGTTGGCTAAACTTTGACGTGGTACAGATCGATCGTTTCAGGGAACCCCCAACGCAGGGCCTGATGTGCGACATTCTCTGGGCCGACCCTCTCGAGGACTTTGGCCAGGAGAAGACGAACGACTACTTCCTGCACAACCACGTCCGAGGCTGCTCATACTTCTTCTCTTACCCGGCAGCATGCGCTTTCCTCGAGAAGAACAACCTGCTGTCCATCATCCGTGCCCACGAGGCACAGGACGCTGGCTACAGAATGTACCGAAAGACTAGGACGACCGGCTTCCCGAGTGTTATGACCATCTTCTCGGCCCCGAACTACCTGGACGTGTACAACAACAAAGCTGCTGTGCTGAAATACGAGAACAACGTTATGAACATCCGTCAATTCAACTGCACGCCGCACCCGTACTGGCTTCCAAATTTCATGGACGTTTTCACCTGGTCTCTCCCGTTCGTTGGTGAGAAGTTCATGGATATGTTAATCGCCATTCTGAGCACCTGCAGCGAGGATGAGCTCAGGGAGGAGTCCTCGAGCTCGCCTGGCCCGGCCTCGCCACCGATCACCCCGTCGGCCCCTATTGACCCGGAGTCGATCGAGGCAAAACGGAGGGCAATCAAGAACAAGATCCTTGCTATCGGTCGGCTGTCGCGTGTGTTCCAGGTCCTCCGAGAAGAGTCCGAGAGCGTCACGGAGCTCAAGACGGTGTCTGGAGGCAAATTGCCGGCGGGAACGCTTATGCTCGGCGCAGAGGGTATCAAGAACGCCATCAGCACTTTTGAGGATGCCCGGAAAGTGGACCTGCAGAACGAGAGGCTCCCGCCCAGCCATGATGAGGTGACGAGGGCCAATGACGAGGAGCTCAAGCAGGCGCTGGAGCGTGCCACCTGGGAGGCTGACAATGACAAGAAGCTACAGACCATCTCCAGGAGGCTCAGCACGTACGTATCCAGCCATTCGCTTGCTGTACAGATCGCGGGGTGATGTTTGCGCTAACAACGGCTACAGTGATCGGGACACCCGCCGCAAGGGCCCTCCAGCTGCCTAATGGTCATGAGAGAAGCTGTCGACGACGAGGAGATCATTCAGAGGCTACTATGCGACGCGGTCTCGGAATGTCTATTCTCTTTCCTCTTCTTTTCTCTGCACGGTTTCGTTCGTCCAGTGGGGATGGCCCCGAAAACCGACTAACTGAGGCCACACAAACACGTGAAGCGAGTCCAGGCGTGCAACACATATGTATCTCTTGTTTTCCTCTCTTTTTTTTCTCTTGAGATCGGCAGTGAACAAGAATATGGACGATCACGATAGGGCCGGGGAACTGGTGCAGCAGGCATGGCATGGAACCACCGGGGGTAGCCTTTGGGGTATCACTTAGCGGGCTGTTGGGCTGTCTATCAATAGAAGCGTGCGGCTCGGGAAGTAATGCATTCTCAATCTCTGAATATATGCAAAAGATGCAGAAGAGTCCAGACCCAGCAAGGGGCGAGTCGATCTGCATGAGCTCTGTACCAAGGCGAAGACAGGCCACAGGTCCTGGAGGCATCTCTCTCAAAGCCCTCTGCCGTTCCACATGGTGAAATTATTTCAATTCCCTAACTGTTGAAACACAGCAGAGCCGGGACCTCATTGTTGTGAGCTTCCGATACCTCGTCAATGAATCAGAACGTTACATCATTGCAGATAGCCAGGGCCCGCAGCCAGATCCACCCAGTCCTTAGGCCAGGTAACCTAATACAATCACCATGATGACCTCCACCACCACTACCTTTGATTATACATCATTGGGAGCTTTTTCAGAAAATCGCCAGAATATTTGGTGGACTGGCCACACCGCCCGTGACGTTACAGACCTCACTACTGACAAAGAAACTCCACCGGCCTTCCTTCTTGCACGTCTCGGCCAGCTTCTCCAGCCAGAACAGCTCCCCGATGGGACACCCGTACCCGGCCAGGAGGACCTCGTGCAGGGCCCAGTCCTTCTGGGAAGGCCAGGCCTCGAAGCTGGGCTGGTCGCCGGCCACAGCAGAGAAATTCTCCCAGATCCACCGGACCACCTCCTCAGACTGCTCGACGCCGCCAAAGTGGTGGGGGAGGACGTCCTGGTGGGCGCGCAGGGTCTGCGGCGACAGGGTGGCCAGCTGGGCGTGCCAGCCTGTGCGGATGAAGAGGATGTCTCCGAAGCGGACCTCGGTGCCCTGGTCGCGGAGGCAGGCCTGCAGATGGGCCAAAGGGATGGGTGAGGTGGCGAAGCAGTCGAAGGTTTGAAGGGATGGGTCGGTTTGTTTCTCGCGCCAGGCGACGAGGTCGATGAGGATGCCTCTGCCGACGATGCCCTGCTCGGCCCATGCTGGTCGGGATTAAATTTTCACGGTCAGCATGTAGCCACATACAAGAAGAAGAAGAAGAGACAAAAAAAAAGAAGAAAGCATCATCCCTCACCCTGGATGCCGTTCACGGTGGTCTTCTTCCCGTCCTTGTCCCGGCCGTGGGCGCCAATGTCCTCGAGGGTCACACCATTGTAGAACTTGGCCTCCTTCTGGTAGCCAAAGTGGCGCAGCCCATCCCACTGGCTCGAGACCTGCGAGTTGAAGGTCCAGACGTCGTCGTGCACGATCCTGGGGGGTTTCTGGAAGAGGTCCTGGTGGAACAGCTTGCGCTGGAAGAAACCCGACTCCTCGCCCTGGGCATCGAGAGGCCAATTGAGCGAGACCCTGTGCCGACAAGATTTGTGAGCTGCTGGATCCCTTCTGTCTTTCGGAGTAGTACATTTATGTTTTTTATTTTATTTTATATATATGTACAATCCATCATCTTCGGCGCTCGCAAACTACTTACCGAGTTCCCTTCTGGATCTCAACCTTGGCAGCCGCAGCGACACGCTCGTCAGTGAGCCTGTTCAGGGTGCCCAGCTCATCGTGGTCACCATACAGGCCCCAGGCTGAGTGAGGCGGATCGCCCTCCCGCAGAGGAAGGCTGTCGAAGCTGGGGATGCCGTTCTCGTTGAGCGTGGGGGCCATGTTGAGAGTCTTGTTGCGCTGTACGAGTCCCTTGATCCTTGAATGACCTGGTTTAATCCTGACTACTCCTTTCAAAGAAACATAAATATGTACTTCCTCTGGGACAAAAAGTAACTAGTTCTTGAGAGAGGCTATTTGTTGATTTATACGTTCAAGGCGGGGAAACTCCGGTATCGATCCGTGCACCGCGGATGAGGGATCGGCCCGCCTCCGTCGCCATCGTCATTCTTGCTCGGGTCTTCTTTGCCGCGAAAAAGTGAAAGTGGCACGCTGCTTGCAACGAAACCTGCTGCTGCTAGTGGTGGAGCAAGGAAAGGGCCAGGGGCTCGCAGATAAGAACAATTAATTGATGTTCAGCTAGTCAGATGTACTCATTGCCTTTTTTCAACATGATCGTGTGCCTCCCAGCATCGCGATGCACAGTTAAAACAAGAGAGGCTCAAATACAAAAAAGGTAGCGGATAAGGTCAGGGTTCGGGTCTTATCATGTTGATGCTTTTATTTTTGGAGAAATGATAGATAGTAGATATATGAGACAGCTCTTCACCCATGAGAATAGAATCTATAACATTCAAGCCGTACTTAATCCTGATTCTTGAAGACGGGGGAAGGAGGTGAGGCGTGTGGTCAACGTCGAGATCATCTCATCTCATCTCATCACATCCAGCCATTCCTTCAACTCGATTCACTTCACTCTACTTTCAATGCCTCGGATCCCACCCTCCACCATCCGTCAAGCCCACCACATCTCTCCACACGCAGCAGCACTGCTGCCAGTCTGTCGAGACCTGCCCTCTGCCCTGAACGAGCTGAGGTGGGTGCGCGAACACGTCCGCCAGCTCACACCGCCCGCGTCGTCGTCGTCCCTGTGGACAGAAGAACTTCATGTCGCCTCACTGTGCCGGCGTCGTGGAAGGGGAGAGCCGCTGCAGTATATCCTCGGGACGCAGCCGTTTGGTGGCCTGGAGCTGAAGTGTCGTCCCGGCGTGTTCATCCCTAGGTATGTTCAGATCTCAGGAAACCACCCAGATGATAGAGAAGAAGAAGAAGAAGAAGAAGCAAATGTTGACATGGGTTGCTGTTCAGACCAGAGCCTGAAGCTTACACGACACATCTGGCTGCACTCATCCAGCACTCTCACCTCCTGGGGCCCTCACCTCAGTCCCTGAGCATCCTGGATCTCTGCACAGGCACAGGTTGCATAGCCTTGCTCCTATACTCCCTGCTCGCCCGCACCATACCTGACCTCCACGTCCACGGCATCGATATCTCACCCTACGCCGTCGACCTGTCAAAGGAGAACGCCCGGCACAACAATCTCGCCATCACCACTACACCCCCAGGGCGCTCTCTTGTCTTTAGCCAGGCCGACATCTTCTCTGACACTGCCCTCCTCGGCGCCCTCACCTCCTCGAGGGACTTGCCTTCCCAGCCCCCGCTCGATGTCCTGGTCTGCAACCCGCCCTACGTCTCCCGGTGGGGATACAGCCGCCAGACAGCGCAGAGCGTGCGGCGCTACGAGCCCAAGATCGCGCAGGTGCCGATGGTGGAATATCCCGGCGACCACACGCCGGAGGATGTGTTCTACGCGCGGCTACTAGACATAGCCGCGAGACTGGGCCCGCGGGTGTTGCTGTGCGAGGTGGGCGATCTGGGCCAGGCTTTGAGAGTCGTGGAGATGGCCTTGCGGCATGAGGGTCTGATGGGGACGACGAGTACTGGCGAAGTAGAGGTGGAGGTGTGGAGGGACTGGCCCGATGCTGCGCCTGGGGAGTTGGAGGAGATTTCTGCCGTGGTGTGCGACGGGACTAGGAATGTTCGCGTCAAGGGGAGTGGCCATGGCCGCTCTGTATTCATACAATGCAGGTGAAACTGGACAAAATTTTGTCTATACATTCATGAAGCCGGTCTACCTTATGAAGTGTGTGTGAGAGAGAGAGGTGGGTATCTTCTACAACTACAGTACAAAGTTCACAACGCGGCCGCTGCGAACCACAATGACCTTCTTGGCCGAACGGATCGCATCCGCATCGCCCAGTTTCGACGCGCCGTCCGCCTCAAGGATCCTATCCACGAACCACCTCTTCAGCTCGCTCTCCTCCATTGCGTGCTCGGGCGGCCTGGGTATGTCAACCGCCACTCGGAGCTTTCCATTGATCTGCACCGCGCATGCTTGCGTCCTTGCCTTCAGGAGGGGGAGGGTGCCATCTGCCACAGGAAAAGACACAGAGCCCGAGAAGAGTGAGTCTTTCGCCCCGAGTATCTGCCAACACTCAGACGCGACAGCCGGTGCGATGGGGGCGAGCATCCTGACTAGTGCTGAGACAGCGGCGCAGCGCATCTTGTCGTGGGCGTCGGGGTGCGCCGCAATGGTATTGGTCAGACTCATCAGATCAGAGATAATGGTGTTCAGTGAGTACACGCCGCGGTAAGATTCTGTCACAGACTCGATTGTCCGCTGCACATCTCTCCACAGGGCGAAGTTGTCATCCCACCATGCCAGGTCGGGCTTGTTCATTTGGGGAAGCTTCCTGCTCGTCTCTGTGATAAGCTCAGAGAGCGTTGCGTCTTGAATTTCGGCCGCTGGGCAGTTCGTCTTTACCACGAGATCAAGGATCCGGCCAAGCCAGCGCGTTACGCCGGCAATCTTATCCTCATCCCAGTTCACCACGTCGCTGACCGGTGCTTGAAAAAGCATGTGTGCCCGGGTGGCATCAGCGCCGTGTCTGGCAATCAATTCGGTAGGATCGACGCCATTGAACTTGGATTTCGACATCTTCTCATAGCTGACGCTCGCTATCTCACCCGTGGCAATAATTCTCGGGCGGGCAGGATCTTGCAGATCAACCTCGTCATGCGTCAAGAAGCGGCTACTGGAAGGGTCGATAAACGTCTTTCCGTGAACCATTCCCTGGGTGATGAGACGGGCAAATGGTTCGTGAGAAACCTCTGGTGATGCATCGGGAAGAGCGGCAGATGTCATGAGGAACTTGTAGATGAAGCGGGCATAGAGAAGATGCAAGATGGCGTGTTCTATGCCCCCAAGATAGATATCAACTGGGAGCAAAGATGCCTTTTCAGCAGAGAAAAGCGCATCAGCATTGTGTGGGTCGATGAAACGCATGTAGTACCAACTCGAGTCGACGAACGTGTCCATCGTGTCAGTGTCCCTCTTCGCAGAGCCGCCACACTTGGGACAAGAAGTGTTGATCCAGTCGGTGGCGGACTCAAGTGGGTTGCCCGGCTTGCCTTCAGCCCAGTGATTGTCAACCTCGGGCAGCTTGACCGGGAGCTGATCGTCAGGAACCGGTACAGCTCCACATGAGGCGCAGTGGATGATGGGGATCGGTGTGCCCCAGTACCTCTGCCGACTGACGAGCCAGTCCCTCAGCCTCCATTTCTCGACTGGCTTGGCCAGTTCGGCAGCCTCGAGCATCTGAATCAACATCTTTCCGCCTTCTTGGGATGACTTGCCCTTCAAGGGGCCGCTCTGTGCTGTCATGACTCCGTGCTTGACGAATGGCTCATTTGGCATTGTCGTCGTAGTCTCGTCCTCAGAAGCTGCCAGCACAATACGTACAGGCTGGTCATAGTGATGTTCCTTCCAGAAGGCGTTGTCACGAAGGTCGTGTCCGGGAACGCCCATGACGGCACCCTCTCCATAGTCCCCGAGAACATACGGAGCAACGTACACTGGCAGTGACTCCTTGGAAGAGGCTGGGGTGTCCTCGTGATACGCCAAAGGATTAATAGCCCTCAGGCTAGGGAGCATGTAGCCAACCTTGGAGTCCGGTGGCAAGCCAGGCAAGGTGTCTAGGAACGCCTGAAGCTCAGGATCCGTCTCAGCGAGGTGCTGCACGATTGGGTGCGTCGCTGCAAGCGCCAGATACTGTACGCCGAACAATGTGTCAGGCCTGGTGGTAAAGACCTCGATGGCGGCGTGCATGTCTTGGCTATGCGCCATGACGGGAAACTTAACCATGGCGCCCTCGGACTTGCCAAGCCAGTTCTTCTGCATTGCCAACACCCTCTCGGGCCATGCATCATCTTTTGCCAGCACCTCGAGGTCCTGCAGCAGAGATTCTCGAAATTCGGTGATCTTGAAAAACCACTGTTTCAGCCGGCGCTTCTCGACCTTGGCACCAGACCTCCAGGAGCAACCATTCGCATCCACCTGTTCATTTGCCAGCACCGTCTTGTCCACAGGGTCGTAGTTGACCTCGGCTTCAGCCTGGTATGCCAGCCCCTTCTCGTGCAGCATCAGGAAGATCTTTTGGGTATGCTTGTAGAATTCAGGATGGCACGTGGAGATTTCCTGCGAGTGAAAACAATTCAGTCAGCCGTACGTCCTTCCGGGAGCAGTCTGGACTAGTACATACACGGTCCCAGTCCCAGCTGCCATTCATGAACCCCATCTGCTCCTTCATCTTGGTAATATTACTCTTCGTCCATACTGCAGGGTTTATACCTCGCTGAATGGCAGCATTCTCAGCGGGCAAACCAAAGGCATCCCACCCCATAGGAAGAATCGGCTTCTCCCCCTGGAGCGTGTAGAACCTCGCAAGAACATCGGCGATGGTATAGACGCGCAGGTGACCGATGTGAAGACGCCCAGAAGGATACGGAAACATGGGCAGGATGTATCTGGACTGCTTCTCTGCTTCTGCTCCATCGTGAGCCTGGTCTTGCTTGAGGCGATTCCATTCCGCACGCCATTTCACGTCGAGTGCGGTCAGGTCGAACTTGGGCACCTGCTGCGCATTGAGCTGTGCGCCCTTCTTGCGCTCCGTGGCTTCAGCCGTGTCACACCCGTTGGCGGCTAGAGAGTCATCGTGACCTGCTTGCGAAGCTGTCGAGAGGGCACGCCATACTTGCAGACGGTGGCAACGAGGAGCTAAGGTAACGTGTAAACGAGAGATATGTAAGTTGGGCAGTCGGCGGCCCATTGGCCGCAAGTAAATCAACGACATGATGAGACCGTATTCATTCTCGCAAACGGAAGCTGTATGCTTCGTCTGTGTACAGAATGAATATCAGCAGGACACGTTGGGAGGTTGTGTTGTATGTCCACGTCGTCAGGCAATTTTTCTAGAATGTCGGATTGGATAAATTCTGGAGTAAAGTTCCGATAAGAGCTCCAGGTCCCGAAATCCAGGGTCCTCCCCGCTCGATCTGTATACAGTAGCCGCACCTCAGACTTCGCGTCTCAGAAACGCGTTTCATTATGACGACATAGGCAACGTGTCAGAGATTCATCGAGCTCTCACGCACACCAGGAAGCTGATGATGACTGGATGATCTGCGAATAAAAATAAGGTTCCTCTGTACTGTGCTATGTAGAAGGATTATAAAGTCAGATCTCAGCGCCTAGGTACATGGTAAATTTAGCAGTATCAGTAGCCTGTAGCCAGGGCAGGCCGGCAAAGTAGGCACCATGAGTGCTAACAAGGGGGCTTGATTAAGCTCATCGGCCCTGCAAGGACCTGCCGAAATCTGACCTGGCTGCTACTGGCTTATGGTGGGGCACGAACCCACTGAGGCTAACCAACTTTTAGCCACTCAGAACGTGCTCCTGACCTGGTGCGTCAGGGGGGCCACTGAGTTTGAACGGCCTAAACTACTGACGGCCATTATATGTACCGCACCATATGCAATACTATGTAGGGGTACAGGGTAGGGGTCATAGCCATATCCACTGGGTAGCGTTCGGCAGGCTTAGTTCAACGCTTAATGTGTGTGTGTGCGGGTTTGCGAAAGGGGCCTGCCATCGTCCCTGGCATCAACGACTTCTTTTGTAACATCAATGCCCTTCGTGTCCTCTTCCTTTCTTGTGTATTGGCCAAACCAAACGCTGATACCTTCTCTTCGCCATTGCATGTTACAGGCGACATATTGCTTATCTCTTAATAAGTCTCTCTTGCTCCATCAGCCAGCGCCAGCACCGCGAAGAACCGTCCCCGATCTCGAAACGATTAGTGAATCATAAGACTACGAGCAGGATACTCACGAGTTTGCAGTTGGAGGCTGAACATGATTGCTTTGGCGCGGCGGCTGGCATAGCGGAATATATCGAGACGAGAACTTGGAGGAATTACCGACGACACATTGTAGACGAGCCTGCACAGACTCGTCTGCGGGACACGACCTCTCCACCACCATGTCCTACTCCCACGACCTCCACCTTCAGGTGCGCACACGCGATTCACTAGAGCTCGCGTCGCTCGCTAGCTCCGACCACGCAGGCTCTGCAGATGAGACCGACTCCCGCCCCAGTATATCCTCCTCGCGGAAGCTATCCCTCGAACAGGATGACCCCTTGGACGTGGGCAACCCGGCGGCGACTGGGCGACCTGCAGGCCATGGGCGCACGTTCTCCATGTCCTCCGGCTTCAGTTTCACAGCGAACCTCTTCCCCCTCTCCTCGACCACCGGCGCCGGCTATACTCCCATTGGTGCTCCCACCGTGACGCCGACACAGAATGGCGGTCTGGGCGGGGCATCTCTCGAGAAGCACAAGACTTTGACATACATGAACGGGCTCTCGCTCATTGTTGGTCTGATCATAGGGTCTGGCATATTCTCATCACCGAGCCAGGTCAATGTCAACATGGGTTCGCCCGGTGGTGCTCTCATTATATGGGTGGTTGCTGGAGTCCTCGCCTGGACCGGCGCGGCTAGCTATGCCGAGCTTGGAGGCGCAATACCTCTGAACGGGGGGTCGCAGGTATACCTGGCCAAGATCTTCCATGAGATCTGGGGCTTTTTATTCATGTGGGTGGCGGTGCTGGTCCTGAAGCCTGGAAGTGCCGCCATCATATCGATCATTATGGGTGAATACGTCGTACGGGCTGCTATTGGAGCGGAGGCCGAGATCATCAACCCATGGTACAACAAGGCCGTCGGCCTGTTCGGCCTGCTCCTGGTGACGTTCTTCAACTGCGTCTCTACGAAGCTCGGGACCCGGGTGAATGACTCGCTCATGTTCTTAAAGTTCATTGCGTTGCTTGGGGTCACGATCACTGGGGTTGTGGTCGCTTTCACGGGCTATTCCTACAGCGGAGAGCCGAATGAGGACTGGAAAACCCATGATTGGTTTGATGGGACGAAGATGGATGTTTCAGCTTGGGCAGTGGCTCTCTACGCGGGCCTTTGGGCTTATGACGGTTGGGACAATGTAAGCCAATCTACCACGCGTATGACGCGAAGTCTAGGCTTACACTATTGCTAACAATTCTTATAGACCAACTACGTCGTGGGCGAATTCCGGAATCCCAGTCGAGACCTGCCCCGCGTCATTCACACAGCCATGCCGCTGGTCATTCTGTGTTACGTATTGGCTAATCTCTCATACTTCCTCGTCCTCCCTCTATCCGCCACAAACTCGTCCAACACCATTGCTGTTCTCTTCGGCTCCAAAGTCTTCGGACCCATCGGCTCTCTGTTACTTGCTCTAATCGTCAGCGCGTCGTGCTTCGGAGCACTGAACAGCTCCACTTTCACCAGCAGCCGCCTCGTCTACGCTGCCAGCAAAGAGGGCTACGTCCCCGCGTTCTTGGGACGAGTTGGTGTAGGGTCCAATGCCATGGAAAACAGGCACGTCTCTACGCTACGCACACGAAGCTGGTTCTCCAACGCTCTGACCCGCTGGATCGGAGACGAGGATACAGGCCTCTTCTTCACGCCCGTCAACGCACTTGTGCTCAACTGCGCCCTCACTGTCGCCTACGTCATCGTCGGCGAGTTCGACACCCTGCTGACCTTCTACGGTGTCGCGGGCTATACTTTCTACTTCCTGACGGTGCTCGCGCTTATTGTCCTGCGCGTTAAGGAACCGAATCTTGAGAGGCCGTACAAGACGTGGATCACGACTCCGATTATCTTTTGCTGCGTCAGCTTATTTTTGCTCTCACGTGCCGTTATTGCAGAGCCTTTACAGACTCTCATTGTGATTGCCTTTGTCGCGGCAGGCGTACCCGTGTACTTCTTGAGAGTGCGGAGAAAGGGTCCTGCGAAGAGGCCAAATAGGGACTACGAGGAAGACGAACCCGGCTGGAAGTTCTGGAAGCGATGGACAAAATAAATAAGGAAGAAGAGAAAACAAAACAAAAAAAGGAAAAGCGGGCTGCTAAGGAAAAGAGTTGGAAAAGGCCATATGTGAGCTAATGAGGCCGTATTATCAATGAGCTCTCTTTGCGGATTGGCCTGGACACAAGCATCGTAATTTTTGGGCAGCATGATACCACGAATACTTTACGTACCCCTTGACTGAAATGGCGGTATTTCACTGGAAATTCGTAATGTGAGACGCACCTCTTATGTGTTATTTGGCTTGTCAATGGGTTGCATAGCTGTGCTGCATTGCTGTTTATTCCGGGAAATGCGCTTCCGCTGTGTTATTCCACGGAAAACCCAGACCACCCCATTCCAATGAGACCTCCTCGCAAGACCTTCTGGGCTTTCGATTTGGAGCCCAAGCAAGGGATTGGACAAACAAAAGCCGCAGTAAAGCAAAGATGGGGCACAGCTCTTCAGACATGTTGTCGAAAGTCTGCGGGATCACAGCGTGGACAAGTACGAGCTGGAACCAACCTGCGCATGCTCTCTCCCTTTGATCTCACGAGGTGATTACTGTCCCAAGACTCGGGTCATCACCCCATGTGCCTTGACAAAGTCCGAACGGAAGACCAAGACTTTCTTTGACAAGTCTGATAATGACGACTTGGAGGCGGGAACTCGGGATCCGCCTTTTCACTTGGTGCAGGAGTTCCAACTGACGTGGGAACTGTGCTAGGTGTTATTTAGGGGGACGAGCGACGGTGAACATCTTTCGTCTACGCCTATAGCCGGATTTGGGGGTTATCGTGATACCTATATTTCGTAGAGAACTGGGACTCTGTAGGTAAAAGATGGTAGATATTGGGAACTGGACGTTTTCTATTGAGAGTTGTTCGCCACTTGTACTCGAATTCGGGGTGGTAACATATATGATCTGGTACGACTCAAGTCTTTATCCTCGCGAAGGTTATGGATGGAATGCAGATCTAGGAAAGGTTATAGCACACAAGGCCTTGGCCGGTCAGGTCGAACACAAGTCTTAAAACAGCACAAGGAGCAGCGGTCTTGGTGAGGTTATGAACAAGTTTGTTAAATCAAGTCCATCTTGCACTGGCGAATGCAAGCCAAAGTCGGACAAATCTGCTTGACCTATAAGTTTGTAAAATGAATTAATTCTATCGAGGATCACTACACCAACATAATGTGCAAAGTCAATGCTAGCTATCCCTTCTAATTCAGAGAGGTGCGCAATGTCGAAGATAAATTATACGACAGCAACAAAAGACTTCAGCCCAGAACGCCGACCAACTTCCCCCTAACACGCCCCCCAACCATCTTCTCAAGTGCCTGCGGCAGCTCATCGAAGCCAAACGTCGAGTCAACGACTATATCCTTCTCGCCCAACGTCTGGCCCACCTCCTCGAGCCAATCCTTACGGGCCTCGAGAATCACACAGTCATAACTTACCCCTAACCCAACCCGACCCCAGAGCCACCTCTTTAACATGCTAGGATAGTTCCAGTAGATAGCCGGCCCGCCAAAGCTCGACCGATCCGTCTTGTCCCCCACGATCGTCACATACCTCTTAATCTTGCCGCCCAGGTCTGGATCGTCCAGACACTCCGTCCCGCCCACACAGTCGACAATCACCACCCCGCCGCCGTCTCCACGCCCCTCCAGCCTGCGCAGGATCTCCCTTGGTAGCGAAGATGCCGCGCCGCTGGCCGTGTAGTCGACAACCTCGTCCGCGCCCAGCTGTCCCCGCACAAAGTCAACATTGCGCCCCGAGCACGTCGCCAGCACACGCCACCCGCGCGCCTTGGCGAGGCGCACCGTGTACATGCCCGTCGACGAGCTGCCGCCTAACACGACAAGCCATCTGTCTCCGGTAGTGTTGGTGGCGTCAAGGTAGGGTGCCACGGCCTCGATGCTGGTTCGCGCCGTGAGCCAGACGAGCGGGAGGGCTGCCGCGTTGGTGTGTGTCCAGGCGGAGGGTTTCTTGGCAACTGCAATGCCTGAGCCGGCAGTGTCGAGGGTGAGGATCTCGGTTGCTGTGCCGGTGTTGTTGACGGGGGCCATGGTGAAACCGAAGACTTCATCGCCTGCGGTGAAGCTGGAGGCGGAGCCGGCGTGGAGGACCGTGCCGGAGAAGTCGCAGCAGGTCTCGTGCTCTTGATCTTGGCTGTCGGCGGCGGTGCTGCTCAGAGAACTGGTGAGGGCGGACAAGGGCCAGGGGAGAGACGAGGAGGAAGATGAGGATGCGTCCTTGTACAGGTTCATGGCCTGCACGTCGACCGGGTTGATGGCGAAGGCCTTTGTGCGAATTTGGATCTCAGTTGGCTTTAGAGTCGAGGGCGACGGCGGCGTGTAGGTCGTTTGATGAAGGCATTGTGGGAAGCCGCCTGTTGTATAAGTCCACTTCTTGAACGACGATGACATGTTTGTGGATAATTATTGCGATGCAAAGCCAAAGCTTGTGTGAAAAGGGTTGAGGTGTGACTAGAGCGGGATGGTGAGATATAATGGTCTTGATTGTCCAGGTCAAGAGAGATCTGTAGAAGAATCGAGAATATCTCCACTGAATCAACATCCCGCGTGTCCTTGCCTCCCGGCACGTCATTACCCGTTAGTGTTCCTCCACTGTGATGTTTTCTGGGGCTGGAGCCAAGAATTGCCACGGCCTGTTGCAGTGTGGGACCACTCCTCGAACTTGCATGGTGAGGGAAGTAAATCGATTCAATACAAGCCGCGCATAGTAACCACTTGAAGTCATGTAGATTCAGAACGTGTGTGTATATCTCACCGTCATGACCGTAGAGAGATATGAGGAGGACTGTCAGATCCGTGTAAGACAATTGGTTGGCGATACTGATGACAATCGCTTTATTAGAGTTTGTCAGCTAGGAAGAAGAGGTACATGTAGAATTGGTATTTTCAAATCTTCCTCAGCCATACTTTGGACCATCTACTTTCTCTAACGCTCCTTCCAAATGCTTGGAGCTACTGGCCTTCCTGTCGGCTCTCCTGCCGTCTTGCTGTCTCGCTGTCCTACTGCTAGGGTGGCTGACCCTCTTGTCGATCATGTGACCCTCTTGCGTTCCAAGTCTTTTTGCCTTACAGGGCAACCAGAAGGAAAGTAGTATCTTGGCAAGAGGAGTAGCGAGCCCTAGTGTGTATAGCTTGATCATGATAGGAAGATCAGTTTTTACATGTTTCCGTGTTTTGCAAGCAGATTGGCTCAGTAGATTCGGCAGCATAATCACAATTGTACATTGCGATCGAATACCCTTCGACAGTTCGAACTCTTGGTTCTGGCAAAACAAAATCATAAAAGACTTAGTGCTTGCTCAATATTGTTCATCGCCCATTATCACAATATTACCCAACAAACCCCCCTCCCCCCCCCCCGAAAAAACAACCAACCGCGCGCGTCATTCTGTGCATGTGAATTTATGGTTTTATTTCAACAAATCAATAGCACAAAAATAGGTACTTTGCTTGTCCTGAACGCCACCGGTGTAGAGAAGTTAACACTCCGAATTGACTTCGTTGAAGTTGGCTCCCGGGCATGGTGGTCACTTATGGACACATGTTCAATGTTCCTTCTTGAAACTTGAATAGATATCGAAACATTTTGAACTTTGGAAAAAAATTGCTTGGTTTCATTTAATTTGACATACGGGAAAAATGTTGGTGCTTGGTGTGCATCATCCTGTGAGACTGATCCCTATGCTAGGTCTCGACCTAAAAGTATCCCGTCACTCATTCACACATTACCCTGTTTCCGGTTTTCATTTCTCTCTCTCTCTCTCTCTCTCTCTCGTCTACATTTATTTCTGGGCACGTTGGCCGTACGCCTTGGTGGCATAGTCACCACCAGTGACAATCAGGTCCTCGGGGCGGTAGTCGAACTTGCCAGTCAGGTAGGACTCGAGGATGTTCTTGGTGCCAATAGCGTAGCGCTTCTGCGCGTCGAGCGAGGTACCGGACATGTGGGGCACCATGGCGTTGCCGCCGCCGAAGGGGTTCTTGGCGTAGCGCAGAGGGTGGTCCTTGGGGGCGGGCTGGGGGTACCACACATCACCACCGTAGCCGCGGAGGTGGCCAGACTTGAGGGCATCGGCGACATCCTCCTTGACGACGATGGCGCCACGAGCGGTGTTGACGAGCCAAGAGCCTGCAAATTGTGTCGTCAAATGTTAGCTATCATATATCTCTACACGTCTACTACACAGTGAGACTTACCCTTCTTCATCTTGCTGATGAGATCCTTGTTGAACAGGCCACGAGTCTTCTCGTGCAGGGGGCAGTTGATGGTGACCACATCACACTGGGCCAGCAGCTCCTCGAGGTCAGCGACGCGGCGGCAGCCGATCTCAGCCTCCTTCTCGGGGCTCAGGGGCTGGTAGTCGTAGTACAGCAGCTCCTTGCAGTCAAAGGGCTTGAGGCGGCGCAGCACACGCTCGCCGATGCGGCCGACGGCGACGGTGCCGACAACCTTGCCCTCGAGGTCGAACTCGTTCTTGGCGGCCGCGGCAACGTCCCAGTCGCCAGCCTCGATCTGCTCGTGCGCGGGAACAAAGTTACGGACGAGGGTGAGGATGGTCATGACGACGTGCTCGGCCACGGAAACAACGTTGGAGCCCGTCACCTCGGCCACGGTGATGCCACCGTTGGTGGTGTTGGCGGCGTTCAGATCCACATGGTCGGAGCCGATACCTGCGGTCACGGCCAGCTTCAGGTTCTTGGCCTTGGCGAGGCGCTCGGCGGTCAGGTAGCCAGGGTGGAAGCTGTCGAAGAAGGAGAGCCAGTCAGCTTTCTTCGCTCATGCCTAGAACATGACCGAGAGAGAACTCCTCGTCTGTATGCAAAGTATGTCCGCGGACATTGCCTAGTCCACATATTCTGGCAGAACAGGGCCCAGGTAGGCAATCTGATAGGGAGGAGTTTCTTGTATACGTACGGAGTGGTGATGATAATCTCGGCGTCGACAAGCTCCTTGTCAAAGGTCGAGTTCTCGCCCTCCTTGTCAGAGGTGGTGACGAGAGTGTGTCCCTGATCCTCGAGCCATTTCCGGAGGCCGAGCTCGTTCTGGGTGGTACCAAGCAGCTCAGGAACCTGAATGGTTGGAAATCACCCCTGTCAGCCTCGATTACAAGCTCTCTCTGGCGATCTCAAGCCCCTGTAGCGAAAGCCGATCCCCTAACAAGCAGCACCCATCCACTGGTTGAGGTGGCCCCACACGCGCACACAAGACTCCACAACGTTTTCCTCCAATTGCTGTACATAGTACAGCGGCCCCCGCCTGCTCGCAGCACTGTATGCTATCCGCCCCTAGCTCCAGTGTAAATGACGCAAGGCCACAGACACACCGAGCCAGCGCCGGATAGCTTTGTTCTGTAGCTGCAGCACCAAGCTCCCAGCTCCTCGACAACCCGCCGCCCTCCCTCCTTTGAACATTACCCCGCATCGTTTAAAAGCACCCAGCCGCAAAAAGGCACAATACCCAACTTCTTGGCTTTGTTCGCGGTGCCATGTAGGAGGGAAGAACGGAAGGGAGTAAGGAGTCGGGGACGGAGGCAATTGGGTGTCTATGTGGTCTTGGTGCGCCTTTCCCGCAGGATCTCGTGCATGCTGTTGCTGGCTTGCTTGGGAAGGCGGGGCCAATTGGAAAAGGCAGGGCGTGTGAACTCTAGATTAGAAACTCACCTCCTCGGCGTGCTTGCCGCCATCATAGAGAACCATCAAAACCTTGACCTTTTCACGGGGAAAACCAGTCAGCGATCGGGTCGTCGTATATGCTCCCAGCCTGCCCCGGCGTGTCGTGCTCGCATTGTTTTCAAACACGCTGTTGGCAGCAGCCTGCCTCGAGGTCATCACGCCCGCGGCGCGTGCAGTGGACGACCTCAGGCCGGACGAGAGAGCGGGCGACGCGAGGTGCAGGCCTCTGGCGCGTGAAGCAACAGGACCGACAGAGCGGGCTAAGGGACGGGAAAGAGAGCTAAGTACCATCTTGACTGATTTATTGTTTCCTGTGGACGGGATGGCTTATACAATGTGTGGAAGAGGGAGGGAGAGAGGAGAGGGGTCTGTGGCTGGTAGGTTAGACAAGTAAAACCGGTTGTCGGGTCGTAGTAGCTTTATATATATGTTGCAGCTAGCGTGGAGGAGGAGGCTCGGAGGGCTCGGGATGTGATGTAGTTGCGTTAGAAGAGGAAAGGTTGCGTACCACTAGATGACGAGGAAAAATGGTCTGAGGGGGGAGCAGGGCTCTTGCTTTATATGTTTCACACCCCTCCTCCAGAACGGAGCAGTAGGATAGCCCAACGTAACGGATTGCCATCACTGGGTCCGAGGGGGGGGAAGAGGACTGAGATTCTGTGAGGATAAGTTACTAGTGGAGCGTCTCGCCGCGTTCTGGATCGTCTGGGCGAACCAATTTGAGCTTGTGATGTGCCTCCGCACCTGGGCTCGCTGATGATTAGATACAGGATAACTATTACGATACTAATCCATCGTGTACTACCTCACTGTTGCTTTGACAATGACATCGAGGCGGGACAATCCAATGCAGCGCATGATTCCTGTACTGGAAGCCAGTCGCCTCTCGAATTCAATTACCTCATGGGAAGGTCTCGCAGGGTCTATCTTGCCCGGCATCCAGAGTGGATTCCACAGTTTCCGTACTCCCACCCTTATACCAACCAGGCTGTAAGTTCTACCCGGGCCCAGGCTCGGTGTGTCCCAACCGCGCGGTCAGCCAACGAGCCAGTGATGTGTTGTCTCAACATGCCAAGTATCCCCCTCTGAGATAACATGCTTCAACTTTGGAGTTCGATAGACAAATCTCGCCCGCATCACTAGATCCCTCCTGGAGCGACCGCATGCCTCTAGGTCGGAGCGATGGATCGGCGGATGGGAACAAAAGATTGGAGCCATGATAGTCCTCACCTGGGATGTGCATCAAGCCGTGCATGGCCACGAATGGTAATGCTCACCCACCCGCCTATCCAGTCGACCCCGCAGTACAAGGCTGTCTTCCCCTCCTCCCCTTGTCTTTCTCAATTCAGAAGGAGGGGAGGCGGACAAGGCGGGGGAGCTTTGAACCATCTGGCATTGTGCTACAGGGCCCATAGTATGTTCCTCAGCACGTCCTCAACGGGGAAAAGCTGGGCTTTCGGTGAGTACGTTGCTTAGAGGACAGGCGGTCGTTTCTCGGCATTGATTCGGAATGTGGCCCCGTGCAGGCAGGGCCCCCATCAAGGTGGGGACAGGGCTTTGATCTGACGATAGTGTGGGGTAAAGACATAATACTATGGTAGTAGCTTCTCGTAGAGGCACCGTTAGAGTATTCAGAACGGGCCAGAGAAGCTCCTACAGGCTTGGCCCGTTCTTGATAATTGGTCCGTCTTCGATCCTCGATAGCTCCAATACCGGCAGTATCTACTATGCCGGAATCACTTTCTCTCCGAACTTGTGTGTGTAGGGCAAACATTGCTGAACGAGGGTCCCTGTGCAGGTGCGTCCTGTGTGTCATCGCTTCCCACTGCTGAGGACCTTGATGATAACTGGACCCGCGCATTGACACCTCAAACTGGAACGTGCTTGCCGAGTATGCCGTACACAGACGAGAGGAGGAGCGAGGATGATGAGAAGAAGGTGAAGAGAACTGATGCAGTAGGGAGATGATTGCTGACTAAGTATTGCTGACCCGAGTCCTCCCGTCCTCCTTCTTCCTCCATCAGCCTCAACCGCACCTCCCCTGCACAGCGGTCATAACTCACTTGAAGACCCGGCAGATGTTGCTGCTCACTGGACCTCTTTTTGGAACGTTAGCCATTGGAACATTTTTCTTGCGATGCATCTTCTACTTCGTGAGCACGATGAGTGCGTGATTGAACCCTAGGAATTCAACACAGAGGCTTCAGGTCCTGCAATTTGAAAAGGCATGGCTAATCAGGTACTCGTCTCGAAACGATGTGAGGAGGATTATTCACCAAGATCAACATTTTCGTCAGCTCGCTATCATGCAGAGGCCAAGGAAGGAGGCAAAACTGCTAATCAGTCGTATGTACTGCCGCCATACCTCTGTCTCCCGTCTTAACAAGAGCCTTGTACTTGTTTACCCTCGCTGGCAATACCTTCACAAGCAGATGTAGAAGAAGTTCTCATCCCCTCCGACACGTGATCTTGACCTTCTCACCTCTTTTTCTTGCAGTCATCAGCAGGAACCTCGGACACACCCCCTCGATCCAGTCAGGATGCTTCCTCGTCTTCTGCTCCGTGGCACCCCATTCTTCCATCTGGACGACCTCAAAGCCCGCGCCTACCAGCAGCGCAAAGTACGAGCTTAGCGTCCGATGCTGCTTTTTGACATCTTGGACCAGCCAGTTGATGCTCCTCTCCCCCTCGTCGAAGTAGCTATCCACCGGCCACTGATCCACCTCCCCGTCTGGCGTCTTGGTGAACCCCGGCCGAGTCGGTGCCGTGAGGAAGGGGTGCTCGATCGAGAACACGAAGAGCCCCCCAGGTATCAGAGACGCATGCACCTCCCGGATCACGTTCTCGATGTTCTTCACGTAGTGAAGAGCTAGGCCGCAGAACACCAGATCATACGCACCCGTCCGCAACACCAGCTTCTCCAAATCGGTTCTCGAGAAGTTGATCAGCCCCTGCTCAAATCCCCTGCCAGCAATTCCCACGGCAGAGCCAGGCGCCCCGCGCTTGTCGGCCTCGGACTTGATCGTGCGTGTCCTGCTCTCTGCCTTCCGGAGCATATTTACGCTGATGTCGCAGGCATCGACCTCGCGGGCTCCCCTGGAGATGCACCAACGGCTGAACCAACCCTCGCCGCACGCCAGGTCAAGCACTTTCTTGCTGTTCAGGTCAGAGGGCAGCATTGCTTGCAACTCTGGCCACTCGGAGGCCCCCTGGGACCCCTTGATTGCGCGTGGAAACTCGGAATATTTCTGGAAAAACTCCGGGTTGTCGTACATATTTTGGGCCGACATTTTGTCTCCACTTGTGGTGGTAGTGTGATGACAGAGATAAGAAGATGGTGGGTGTATGGTGGGTATGAAGCTGAGGTAAGAGGGCAGATGGTAAGTGTCGAGTGTTTCTATTGCATTCGCGATATGGGACACGGACGAGTACTATGCAACAAAATGTGTACTGTACTGAAGCGTGGCACAGTCCCTGCGGTGGTCTCAGTTAGTGGTCTGATGATCAACTGAGCAGAAGGTAATGTGGGTTGACGAACGGTTTTCCAGGCCTAAGAAGTCTGTTGGGGATTCACCATTATATACTCATTTAACGAAAGACGGGCGTGAGCTTCATTCACAACTCTCATTCTGCCAGCTGGATTGAAACTCGTTCACAATCCTTCCGAAGGTGTAACACCTTCAAGAATCCCGCACTGAGTCAACGCCCGCGCCCGCTGCCGCTGCACGTCAGGCCGGTCTGATGGGCTTGGGCACAAATCCGAGCTCACCACCACGCGCGGCCTCATACGATCAAGAGGTCTAGGTCCGACACTCCCCTATTTCTGAATATTACACCTTCCTGGCCATTGAATCGCGGGTCTGCATGGCTCGCTCCACCTTGTACGACACCTGTACGTCCTTCGGACGATCAGTGCCTGACAGCACGGGATGACCTGACATCTGCAGCCGATCCTTACAAGATGCAACGCAGGATATCCGGAAGGTCTTGCCGGGAGAAGGTGGGTGGGTTCTTCCAAGGGAGGTACGTGCGGAGCTGCTTGTCCTTGCATGACGGTTGCAGAGGACAGACACACCGTTGGTCCAGGTGCGCACGTGCACACGCGCGTGAACCTTCTATTCGCTATTTAACCCCTTCAAGCTCGACCGCTTCAAATTTTACCAACATCAAACTTCAGAAGCACGGGTGCAACATGCTCCATGATGGGGTCGACACACAGACTTCAAACTGTTTTCAGGCACATTGGGGACCAGTCATACGATGAAGTGGCCGGAACGGGAGATGACAGCTCATGGCTGGCGTTGCGCAGGAATGTAAGTACGACCGTCTATATGTGTGAGCACGCACCAGGCTATGCTGCCTCTGGCGCTCGATCTCTCGAGCTCGTCTCTCACTTCTGCAGAACTGCATAAGCTAAGTCGGTCAAGAGCTGCCGGAGGGCGGAATCTGTGTTCGACTTCCAGCTGCCAACTTAGGCGGGTTATTGCCAGCCAGGGACTGTTATGTGCTTGCCCATGATGCACAGGAGGGAAGCAGGGGCCTTACATGAGACGCAACCGAGCGAGGCTCGATATTGCGCGGCCCGACGCGAGAACTTGGAGACCACTGGTGGAAGAAAAGGGCGGAATTTCAAAGAGTCTGCCAAGTGAGAATTCCGTCCGCGATTTCATGCGGGCTCGCGACGGGCTCTGCTGCTAGGCAGTGCAGAAATCTGGCGATGTGTAACCTGTGCCTCATCAAATCTTTCGTGTTCGGGCCGAGACAGTGGCAGTGCTTTCCATCGCATTTGCTTTCTTCCATCTTTTCCTTTTCTTCTTTTCTCTCATTTCTTTTCAGGAACACTCTCCTCAATCACTCCCCTCCCTCTTTTCTTGCTTTTCTTTCGTTTTTCTTCTCCCGCCTGAGCTCATGCTCATAATGTCAGGAATGTAACACCGAAGAAGCAATTCACTCTTCCACCAATCTGGCATCCCCCCTCGCGTGGAAACCTATCACTTTGGCCCGTCAAGTCTAAGTACTTCCTGTGTGTGACGAGCTCGCTGCGAAGGCTGAACTTTTTGTTGGACTGAAGGATCCACTCTGAAGCAAGGAGATATGCTTCAAGACCTTTCGACTGCCTACTCACATCCCGGGTGCGACAGACGCTGCTCCTGGTGCGAGGTGTTCGGAAGGGCACTCCTCGCCTCTAAAGTGCAATTCAGCTTGGACTAGTCGTCATAAACAGCCCACCTTGTGCCCTTGCACGGCAGTACCCGTGTCATTGCCACCACACCATGTGTCTCCTCTCGACACATGCCATTGTTGCGGCTCCAAACCAAATTGTGCAGGGGTGCTGAGCCGCTAGATTAAGCCGTTGTTACATGCTTCTGAAGAGCGCTGTGTAACGGCGGGATGAACACGCAACACAAAATAAGCAAGGATATGAAAGAGGAAAAAATTGAACAAGAGAAACAAAGACAAAGAATGGAAAAAGGAAAGAAAAATCAGAAGCGACGGTGACACATCAAGTCAGCAATGACCTGCGTTCTTTCCCACGAGTTGCGAGACTCGAAACAGCCGGAGGTCGACCCTAACAATGTGCTGTACCTCGTTTGTAGTCGTACAGCTAAGGCAGAGCATAATGAGGGCGGGGTCCCTTGAGGCTTTCAGCCGGGGATACAAACAGGAGACCTGCCAGAAAGACCATTGGACCTGACATGGTGGCGCTACCGTATTCGACAGGGTATCCTGCCGCATCACAAAATAACGAAGTCGCAAATTAGAGAATAAAAGAAGGAAGAGGGGGCAGTACCGGATATTTTGCGTGTCATCAACGTGATGCCGGCCTGACGGGGAAACGCGGCTCGGTAGCTGCACGATTAAGGGGGGAGGGCTTCATCCAACGAAAGAAAAAGAAGGGGAAAAAGAACGCTGTCTGCTATTCGTTAGATACAACCCAAAGAAGAAGAAGTAAGAGACCTTTGCTCTCCACGTTCATCCATGGCGAGCCATATCCCTCTCCGCAATGCTGGCTGCTGGCTCGTCATGGAAGCCCCCAAGCGACAGCCACACGTCGCCATCACGAACCGGCCAATACATAGTGTGATATAATGATAGAAAACAAGAAAGAGAGGGAGGGAGAGAGGTTGGGTGCCAGTCGGCCCCCGAGCCGGGAGATCGGATGCAGGGGCGTGACGCTCAGGCTTTTTGCAAGGGAGGTTCTTGAGACTTATTCTTGCTTTAGCTTTCGTTTCTATTCCTTCACATCCTCTTCGTTCTCCTCCTTTAACTCGCTGCACTCCTTTTTTATTCTGTTTAATTTTCTCTTTTCTCATCGAAGCTGGCCGAGACAACCCTCCCGCCCGGGGGGCCCCTTACCTGGACAGAATCACGTCACTTTGCAGCCTACAAAATCATACCCCTAGGCTGGCTGTTTTGGCTGCCCGTCCGTCTGTCTATCAGAGTAACAAAAAAGCGAGGCGACGTTTCAACCTCTTCGCACAACATCATTCAACGTCGCATGGGATGGAGGCGAAGCCTCGCCGCCCCTTGCTTGAAACGGGACGGAACGAGCGGGCTAAAAAAGCCTTGGGTAGCAATGGACCTGTCCATCTGAGAGTGACACCTGGGCCGTGACACACTTACGCGGGCGGTGAGGAGCCCAGGGAAAAACAAGAAAGAAAGGAAAAAGCAAAGCACTGGTTCCGAAGAGAAATGTCTCGGGCTCGTGCCTGTTACGGGTCGGTACTGGTATTGCTTGTCCACGGGGGACACTTTCGAGAAATCTCACATTTTGCTGTAGACCAGTATCTAGTGTGGTGAATGTGTACGATGCGGCGAGGCCCCTCCAATATCTACGTACATGTTTAATCTGACACTCTACTCGCGGCCACTCACTGGCCTCTTTACGGCCTAATCATCACTTGTGCGCCTTGACATGGATGCTGAAGGAAATAACCAGGCTCACAGGGTTGGCCAGTTTCAGAAGAAAGGAAGGAAAAAGAAATCCAAAATCTCAGCTCTGTTGCTGTCGTTCAGTGTGCACGCTGCCGACGTGCAACCCGTCTATCCTCCAGTATCAACCTCTGGTACCTTTTTTTCTTCTTCGCATGCGCATGTGAGGTAGCACAGTCATGCGGCATCATCTCCTGGCAGATCCCGTGCGTCGCAACGCTCGCCGTCTAGGTAACGTGTATCTCATGGTTCCGATTGAGGGATCTGCAAATCTGCGCTTGGTGGTCTCATCGCCTGTCCGCAGTTAGGCTGGTGCCCAAGCAAATTTGCTCTTGGCATTTCTCTCATCGAGATCCTGCCGTTGTTTGAGGATCAGAGTGAACAGGAAAACTGCCGAAAAATTTGTGCGGCATAGACGGGCGGTTCATGCTTCTGTAGCGGAAACGTTCTGACGTCGATGCTGGGCTCTCTCACCGCCGGATAACGACGCTAATTCGTGTTGCCACTGCGCAGCTCTCTTGGACTGTACGGTGGTAATTGTTCCTCCCTGCTGGTTGTCGCGGGAACGGAGACGTCCGTGGGACGACTGGCGGACGGTGTCCACGACAACGCCTTGGCCATCATCTTGGCAAAATATTCCTGAACAAAAGACTCGGTATAGTAGCTGTGATTCGCATCATGTGCAGCCACAAGATTGTGTGCCAGCTCGTGCGCCACCACCACGAACCACCACACCGAAGCCTCGACTCTGCCCTCCGCACCCGCACGTCCGATTTCTCTCATCTTGTTGTAATGCAGCTGTAGGAAGAAGCGCAGGTTGCAGAAGATGCTTCCGTTCGTGTTGAATGCGATACAGGCGCCTGCCTCGTCAAAGTGGATCTGCAAGGCTGTGGTCGAGACGCCATAGATATCAGCAACATCTCGAAGGAGATTCTCGAATTTCGAGATCGCCTCGCTATTTTGCCCAAGGAATGTCATGTGGTCCGTGGAGATAGACTTGTCGAGATAGACCTTCATGCCGCGCGGTGCCTGCGCCACAAAGACGATGTTCTGCGCCGGTGTGCTGTCACAGTACGTCGCTTGCTCCTTGATCTCTTGTGTCCGTGGTGGACTAAACACACTGGAGGAGTCGTGCGGTCGCGTCGATCGGATAGCTTGGAGCAAGTTGTTCTGCACTACCGCAGGAGAGGTTACCCGTCCGCTATCCCCAGGGCCCTGCTGTTGTGATGGACCTGACTGGGCCTGGCCTGTCTTGACCTCGGGCTCAGGATTTGTCAAGAGATTATCCATTGCCCTGTCTGCCTCTTCATCCTTGTCAAGGCCGAACCTGCGTGATATATTGGAGAAGAATCCTCTGCTTCGTCGTCCATTCTGGGCCGCAGGCGGAGCTTCGGGAGAGTCTGGATCAAAGGAACCTGGCATCGCACCAGGGAGACCTGACTGTTGCTTTGGTGTGTTCGGCCGCTTGGCTTCGGCCTCCACAGTAGCTTTCTCCTGACGTGCCCACTCCTCTTCCCTCTCCTTGATCCGCTGCTCCTCTGCTTGAAGTGCCTTTCGTCGCTCCTCTTCGGCAATTCGAGCCTCTTCCGCTTTGGCCCGTAGGATTCTGTCGACATTGTAGCCGCGGGCCCTGAGGTCAAGCAAATTCAACTTGAGGAAAGGTTCGAAAAAGAAATACGACTGCTGGTTGTGGCGTGTCAAGATCAGAGTGCAGACTGCTTGCCCGACTTGATACATGTCTGGTTTACTGCCTTGGTCGGCGGCAATGTACAAAGTATGCCCTGTTGCCGTCCTCATGGCCATCGCTGCTCTCTTCTCCGTGTGAGACTTATGTTGACCCCTCAAGGTGCGGCGAAGTTGGACGCTCTGCACTACCTCGACGTGAAGATTCTTGTCTAGCCATTTCGCGTCATGTTTGATCGAGTCTCTTGAGATATGCCGATACTCATGAAGGAACAACTTCGTACGCTCCTGTTGATGATTAATCTTTGGTCACCATGGCAGAATGAAAATATGTGGCCTACTCACCAGAATATGATTTCTCAACCAGACAGCGCCATCCTGGTTAAGAGTTGACTTTCCTATGTGTGCGTCTTCTTGCACCAGACTGCTGATGCTTGGAGATCCAAGAGTCAGGTAAAAAGCTTCCAGGGTATCGTCTTCTGGCGCAGAGAGCAGATGATCGCGAAACAGTCGGAAACTATAGAAATCATCTGCAATCACAATCTCGGATGGAGCGGCAAGTTGGGATCCCCGAACGGACTCTCCATAGTCGTCATCCTCGGAAGCCCTGGCCTTGGAAGAAGGGATCTCCTTGAAGGCCATCAGCCATTTTTCCTGCTTCATCTTTCGATATAGATCCTTGTCCCTCTTCAGCGTCGAGATGTCGGTCGCTAGAGATCTCAAGATGTCCAGGTACTTCTCTGAACTGCCAACGGTTGTCCACAAGCGAACAGGCTCGTTGCAGGCGAAGGTCGCGATCTCGTGCTTTGTCGGTTCCATTTTTGCTCCGCACCGAAGTAAGAATGCATGTGCCACATCCCCAAAGTCCACAAAATCAAAGATCTCCCCGTAGGTCGCCCCTGTCCCGAGATAGACGTTCTGCGGCGGGACAAGCATCAGGCCATTTGGAGCCTCCGAATTCTTAGTTCGTAGAGGTTCCCCAGAGCGATTTCGTCGCTGAACCGGCACAAAGGACGCTGCTCTCAGCTTTGACAGACTACCTTGACCGAGGTCAGCCACCCGGGTCGCAAAGTAGTTGAATAGTGTGATGGCGGCTGATCGATCTTTCGGAGGGTTCGCGATGAGTTTCGCCACGCATGAATCTACCGGGGGTTCACGAGCGACACCAAACTTGCTGGCATGTGCATGAAGGTCTTTGGCCAGGATGTTGAAGCCTAACACAGAAGCTTGCTCATTTGTGAAGCAAGCGGACGGAGGGACGAGCTGTTTTGCAGTGCCTTGAAGTGGTAGGATGGGTTTGCTGGTGGACCCAATATCGAAAGCGGCGTAGCCGTTGATGTGGTGGTACTTGATGAAATAGTTTCTGGCCTTGTCTCTTCGCGGCGCATCGGTTGACGCCATCAACTCGATCAACTCTGGGACCGTGGGATGAGGTCTCAGGCCCAAACTCGACAGGAAGCGACCCTCCTTGCTGGCCACGCGGAAGCTTCCTGGTGGACCCGGCCACTGCAATAGAGGTGCTCCCAGCTCACGAAGCTCTGACTTGGGCTCAAATAGCTCAGAGACCTTGTAAAGCTGTGACGAGGCCTCTGTTGATTCCATGCCAGGCGGGCCAGCTTCTGCTGGGCATATGGGCGAGTTTCTCAATTTCTTCATGTCATCTGCGGGGATGTCATCTCTCACAGAAGCGAGGTATTTGATGAGCTCCATATGACTCCACGGTTTTTGTGTATTCTCTCCAGAGGGTTTCAAGAGGCGGGAGAAGATAGTGTCCAGGTCCAGTGTCCTTCGTACTCCGAGAGCCCCCAGAAACTTATCTTTGATGCCCTGACATCCTTCAATTGTCGGAAGATCGTCGAATAGTCTCACTGTCGGGAAGAACGACTCCGCTGGCTTCCTCATGCCCATCTTCGTGGGCATGACGGTGACATTCTGAAGCGCATTTGTGACTGAGCCCTTGGACCCCTGGCTCATATTGTCCCAATTCTTGGACAGTACGGTCAAGACAGAGACAGAGAACTTTGCCGACTTGGTCATGTTCTCGTCAGCCGGCCGGCTTGAAACCGAGTCAAGTAGGAATCGCAGCCAAGGTACAATCTCGAGTGGTTCCCAACCAAGAGCTTGCAAGTGATGTGCAGGGAGTTGATTGGTGAACGCGAAAGCAATTGTCGACGGTGGGATTGGCAGATTAGGGGGGATTTTGTTGCTGCTGAGGTAGTTTTTGATAGAGCTCAGCGTGATGATCTCTCCCGAATCTTGGCCCTCGCCAATGGTTGCAACTGCAACATCGAACAAGCGGGCCTTGCTACTAGGATCCAGCTCCCCTGTTGACGCAGTCTTGGCCGCCCAGCTGATGAAGTGAGTTAGCTGATCCCTATTCAGAGCTTTCGCCTCTAGCTCTTGCCGGACGTCGTCCACAGTGATGTCCTGAAGCAGGCCAAAGTCCCGAAGTTTCCTTATGAAGGGTACCTGTTTCATGTCATCCAGAATGACTGGGATTCCATCAACGAACTTGCCCATTTCATCGGAACCCATGCGGACCTTGGAAGTCAACAAGACTCCTCGGCTGGAATAGACCTCGATTGTTGGTTTCTGGTATGCAACCCAGAAAGACTCTTCGATGATCTGACCCACGTTGGCGCTAGGAGTTGAGTCCTGGAAAGTGTAGGTCTTCAGAATATGCAGCGCTTCAGGTAAGAACTTTGCAATCTCCTCCTTGGTCGGTATAGCGCCTTTGGCCCTTGCCTCCACCAACTTCTTGAGCTTGGCGTCGAGATCAAGCATCTCGTTGGTGAATGCCAGCCGCGTCATGATACCTGCAACTCGAAGCATTTCGATATTCCAGGTTCTGACCCAACGAGCGTTCAAGTCGATAGCCTCTCTCTCGACCGTTGGAATCACAGATGGAGCAGAGATGTGCATGCCGGCACCAGTTGTCTGTGCCGTTGGAAAACCGATGAAAACCCTGCCACCTGGCTTCTTGCTTGGCAACACTGAAGCGAAGACGTCAGCTGCTTTATTAGCCACCCCTGAGCTGCTGGAGCTCTCTGAGGCAAGCGTCTCGTCATATGACGAGGTGAGGATCGCTATTCTTGTTGTCTTCGGTGGTGGCTTCTTGGTAGCACGTTCCAATTCGGCTGAGAAGGAGGAAGAGATCTTTGTCTGGATAGATCCCGTTGTCACCTGAAGGAAGATGCTCGATCTCGACATCGCAGTAATATCTTCCGAGATGGCCTGCTGAACAGCGGCTTCTTCTTTCGCCATTTTCCCCCTTAGACCTGCTTGAGACGCGGTAGACGTAAGCCTGGAGAAAAAGCTCTTGAGAGAAGGCGCTTCTGACACCCCGGAACCCTCGCCAGAGGCACTGGTGGCTGCTGCAGGCTTCCAGCCCACGGCAGACATAAAGGATGCGTCGATCTGTACACTTGCTCGGTCGACGCTGGCCAGTTTCATGAGACCATCTCGAGTCCTAGTCTCCAGGTCTCTTGGAATTGGGACATCAACGCTCGGAGCTTGTTTCTTGTGCAGCGCCAGGACCTGGTAATCATCGATCCAGAACTCGATGTGTTGTAAGGCCACGAAGGTCAAACTCGTGGCAAGGAACTGACTTATGGATAGAATATTCGGCACCGGGGTCGTTGTATTCCTGTAGTCCAAGACAAAGGCAGTGTCGGTAGTGCTCTCCTCCTTGGGCAGCACCAGCTTCCTGGTGAAGAGTGAATTTGCCTTCCAGTAAAATGCCATTGCTTCTGCGCCGGAGCTCACAAATGGCTCTTCACAGTCTGCAAAAACGGAGTAGAAACCGACACCAAACGCGCCGATCTTGGTCTCGTCTGGATTGCCCTCTGCGATCCTCTTCAGTCTTCCCCAGTCTGTCTTTGTGAAAGGCTGACCGTTGTTCTGCACAAGCAGCCTTCGGAGGGTATGGTTCGTTATTATGTGTTTCAGCAGCTCTGATCTGTTCTGCGTGGAGGGAAGTGGTATTTGCGTCGAGGGCATGGTCTCCCATTTTATCTTGACGGTCGTCGCCTGCGCATCGGCAGCATTCTGGATCAACTCGCGCAGTGTTGTCCACTCTCCTGAGTACCGAGCGAGGACCTTGTCGATCAAAGCTCTGGTATCGACAGTGACGGCCTCCTCATCTTCTCCGTCTCGCAGAGCAGCGGCTCGGAGCTTTGAGTAGTCCATCTTCTGGTTCGCAGCAACGGCTGCTTTGGACAATGAGGATGCGGGCGAGGACCAGGACGAAGAATGTGTCGTGAACTGGGTTCGATAGCTTCAAAGAGCAAAGGCGTAGCACTCTTGGAAGAGGTCGATCTGAAGGTTGAAAGGATGGAGGGGGCCCTAACTTATAGACGGTTTGGGAGGTCAGATGGAGGAAGAGCAGTGACTGTTCTGCGGCCAAGTGCGCTCGTTCACATGCCAGCAATTAGAGTGAAAGGGGAAATTAAGCGCCTAAGTGAAGAAAAGAAACCATGCGGCGCTCGCAACCTAAAATGAATGAAATCTTAGTAAAAAAGAAGAGGTCTATTCTGTCTATTCGGACAAGTGTACGTGGTCGTTACAACTTGTCAGCGTCGTCAACTCGCGCTTGCCTGCCCCATGGAGGCGAAACGCATCTGGGCGCATCTGCAGCGTCATCACCCTGCCCATACACCCTGACGGTTCAGCAGGGGGGGGGGGGACCTCCACCACTGTGGAGCTTCAGTACATAGGGGCCTGGGCTTTAAAATCCCTCCGGGCTATCCGATCCCCGGTGCTCGAAACTATTTTAGACCTGGAACCGCCTAATGCTAGCAACTTGCCAATTTATCATACATAGCAGCAGCATAGCACGTGTCTGTCGAGCACATTCCCCATCTTACAGCCTCCTATGGGAGCTAGAGACGTAAGAGCTGAAACGTGAAAGTCATGCAAACGATGATCGATCAGTAAAGAGAGGATCACCCGAACTGCCGTGTATATGGACAGAAGAGTTCAACAGCGGACGTGGGAGAAAGGTATTGTGAATGCAATACAGTGGATCTGCCTGTACTTGTTATGACTTGCTTGATGAGGTAGAACCGTGTCTGGAGCATAGCGGCTTTCATATGTCAAATATAGAAGATCTCGATTGGCAGAACTCGAGTACTCGTTATTTGGTAGTGCACACGGTGAGCATCCTTCTCCAGTAGAAGATTTAATGTAGCACGGGTATTCGTGACCCGTTGCTAAAGGCCATGCTCTTCTTCGTTCAGGGACTTTCTCTGCGCCGATGGCGGTTCTCAGGGCTCAAGCTACTGCGCCTGTCTGGAGATCCGTGGCGATGTTCATCCCGCCTCCCTTTCCCGTCTCTATCCCTACTCCGTCTTCGGTACTCTCGATTCGGAGTCCTGCTGCGAGACCTCCCATGACGCCTGTGTCGCCTGTGACGATCTCTGTCCGGGCTCCGGCTCTTGCTCCTGTGGCCTCGGTGATCCCTGCGCGATCGTGGCTCGAGCTTGTCATCCCCATCCCGATTCCCTCGCTCTCCATGTCGATCTCGGCTTCGGCTACGGTGTCGATGGCGATGGCGATGCTCACGATCCCGGCCTTCTCTATGGCGCTCGTCTCGGTCCTCTCGCCGCCGCGAACGATGTGACTCCGTTCTGTTGCCTCTTTGTACGCCCTGGGGTCTTTCAGGAGCAGGAGACGCCTCCCCGCCCATTCGCGAACCCAACACTTCGATAGCATTGGCGCCTGATGTATTCCGCACCGGTGGCGGCAATCCAAGCGCTTTTGCTATCGCATCCTCCTCGGCCTCCTTGATCTTCTGTATCTCCTCACGGCGGATCCTCGCTTGTCGATCCTCGTCTGTTTCGTTGGGGTCTGCATTGCCGGCGTCCGCCTTTGCGTACCACTGCAGGTCTTTGCCCTGCTGCCATCGCCCGACCGGTGCTTTGAGGGAGTGACCGAGGTAGTTTTCGCGGTGTGCAGAGGTTGCCACTTCATCCCAGGAGAAGTTGACGCCACCCCGGGACCCCGACTTGCGGACTGTCGCGACCAGATCCATATTTGAGGCTCTTCGTGGCAGGTGCAATAGAGGTGTCGTTTGTCGTTGCGAGTTGCTACTGAATGTGTGCAATGTGATGGGAAAGCAGAAGTGGTCGAGGGTGTGGAGTAAGTCGACGTTAAAGACGTTAGAATTGAGTTCAGCGGCTTGTTCAGTACCCTGCCAGCCGCCACAGATGGGGGCCTCGCAGTGCATGGAGTACCCTAGCTGCCCCATAGCAACCTGTGCGGTAGGGCGTCCATACAGCTTGGTCGGACCCAGCTTTACCCGTTGCAGGCAACCTCACGTCTTCCCTTGTTTTCGTTTCGTGAGCTTCTTCCAATCTCGACTCCATTTCCAGCTTAACGACTACTTACGACCTGCACTTTGGATTTTTCTACCGCTGCCCATAGTTGACAAATTTCTAGACTACCTTTTTCGCCACCGACCGCTACACGAAGACCAGCCAAGATGGGCTCCTCACTGATGGAGAACGACGACGAGACATCATGGTTCAACCCTCACTTCATCATGCAGCACGGGCCGCTGCACAATGATACGATCCTCATCTACTTTGCCGACTCGCCCTGGTGTGAGCGCACGTCCAACAACAAGACCATTATGAACCAGGCGCTGTACAACCCCGCGATGGCCGCGGTTGTCACCTCTCGCGCGCAGTTTGAGGCCCGCCTGAGAAGTATGTCCGGGCTGGAGTACATGGTGTCCGAAGCACCGGCAGAGACACTTCCGGACACGGGGACTGGTGTATGGGTGATTCGCAAGCAGACAAGGAAGAAGCGAGGCGCCAATCTGGAAGATGAGGTGACGGTTCATGCGTCGTACTACGTGGTGGGCGCGAACATCTATCCTGCGCCGTCTCTGATGGACATAATGAGCTCGAAGCTGGTAGGCATCTATCTTCCCCGTCGTTAGGCGCGCATGGGTAAATAATAGGCTGATCGACATTGTGTGTACTAGGCCACCATCTCACATGCGATTGGGAATGTCTTCGAGGCTGCAAACCGCATACAGACGTGGACCCCCGCGCAGGGTCACTCCTTTGCGAATCCGGCACTACCTCGCGCCGGGACAGCCGAGCCGAAAGAGGCGACACCTATGCCAAATGGATCTGGGGCGAGGGCAGGCCAGTCCGCCGCAGCTTCAAAGGTCTCTACAAAGACGGAGCTCGACGCAAGACTGGCCGAAGACTCTTTCAATATCCACATGGCTTGCGGAGGCTATTACATGGACGAGATACCCATCACTGGAAAGCCGGGAGACTTCCATTTTGCAAATACAGGACGCAAGGACAAATTAGCTGTTCCTCAGACGCAGGCTCCAGCCATGACACCGCCAGTGCTCGCGCCCCTGAACACGGCTCAGGCGGCAGAGGCTGCTGCATCCTCGAAGGACATCAAAAAAACCAAGAGCCCAAAGCCTGGGTCTGCTATAGGATCGAAGAACAGACGGAAGAGCAAAGCCGGTACCGCAATAGGGACGCCCACACCATCTTGAGGCCGCCTACCCTGAAGGGCCGGATTGATTTTTTTTCTTTTTATCGGCGTTATGGTACAAAAACTTGGTACGATACCCCTGGCTTATGAAGAACCCAATTGTCTAGCCAAACATGCATTGCTATGAATTATATCACTTTCTCCGTCCTCATCTATATGCTACTTGACCATATGCGATTGTCATGACCAGCGCAGGCGACCAATCTAGAATTGTATTGGAATCGGCTCTGACACGGGCTTCTCCTCCACTGCCCGTCATTTCCCTACGCCGCTTCATGTGCGTTTACCCTAAATCGCCTCCACGGCCGCGGCCCGGTCTGAAGCAAAAGGGATCTGATGGTGGAACTTTTGTCAAACTGGGGTAGGAGGTAAGCCGGGTGCAAACAACGTTTTGAAGCGTGTCAGCACTCTAACTTTCAAGAAGCTGACAACACTAGCAACAAGAAAGGCGATACCTCAGCACTCATATCTTCAAGTCAAGACTACAATCAGCCTACGAAAATTTCTGTCCTCGAGGCTAGAAGAGCATCATCGCATCATGAGCTTCAGTAATGGACGAATTTCTTTCTGTCTTCTACCGCGACGTCTGTCAATTACTCGTCTCATATGGCGAGGCTCTACCAAGCCTTACACCGCCTCCGAAAGGGGCTCACGTTCATGAAACATCCAAGGTCCAAATACTGGCCTGTATGTATCAACATGCGAGACGTAGAAGAGGACCAACAAGGCTGCAGACCGCGTTCGCCCGACTAGTTGCTGATACAGGACAAGCGTCACATGCAGTCCCAAGTCTTCGTTTCCGACTGGGACATAATAATCACGGGCCCCGTATTGGCCCCTTTTGCAAGATGCTTCTCGTGATTCGACCCTCTATGGAACGGTCCGTTGTTTCCGCTCATCACGGTCAGCTTTCGGGCTTGTCGTGGCCGTGGCGTGGCTGAAGTCGTGTTGGCCATTGGCGATGAGCAAATGACTTCTTCCACAGAACTTATATATCATACTCCTTTCCCTCAATTTTCCTCATCAAGTCCGGGCTAGTACCCTCTTCCCTTAGGTGTCCGTAGGAGCAGGCTCTCCCCCACCCAGTCCAGCGTCCCTCACGACTGCCAACAACTCGTCGCCGTGCACCCCGATTCACCCCGTCTCATACTATCTGCCGTCTTCTCCCAACCAACCCTCCCAAAAGAAAACAAAATTTCAACGTGGCTCATGCCCTCCAGCAATAAACCATGCCAGCAGCTATAAAATGCACGCCCTGTGCCGGGCGCGGTGCAACCTTGGAGTCGCGCAGGTGCCCGCGCTGCGCCCATGTCAGGGGCCTCGGCGCAAGAAGCTGCACGTACTGCCAGGGCACGATGCAGAAGACCACCAGCCGCGTGTGCTGGAAGTGCAACGGGAGGGGCACGATTCCGCGGCCCACGATGGCCTGGAGGTGAGAATTCATGGCCCCTTGGCGTCCCCTTTTCGTTCTTTCTTCTTTCTCTCATTGTTGAGGTCTTGAAGACACGCCGGGTTGCTGATCAAGTGTCCTACGTGACGGATAGTGGCCTGGGCCGTAATGGTAGGGCTCCCATTGAGCCTGAGCGGAAACATCTGGGTAGTCACCTGCAGGCTAGCTCGGCCCAGTCCACGCGGGAGCCGCAGCGGTCCTTGAGAGGCCACGGCAAGACACCCTCAACTGATTCCACACAGGAATCGCAGCAACCTGTTCGAGGCCATGGCAAGATGCCGTCCATGGACTCTGCCGACTGGCCTTTGGGAGATGGGGCGCCGTTCTAGTTGAGAAGTGTGGGTTCTGCTCGAGGCTGAGCCTGAGTGGGTGCCATATATATATACACACGTGTGTGTATATATAGACTGTTCTTTATGGCTGGACCGATCACTCGTTTTCTCCAAGGCAGGATCTCGTAATGTTGATGTACTGACTGCACCGTTGGTCGTCGCTCCTTTGAATCACGAAATTCAACTGAATTCTGGTTTGCAGTGACGATGTACTTCAGACTTGTCGCTTCGGGGAGGTTATACGGGGTGGTTGTTTGTTTTAGCAAAAGCAAAAAGTTGCACTCGTTGCTACCTTCAAGACTGCTGTAGATTTGCTGCCTATGCTCCATGCTCTGGGAACCGCAATTCTTTTGTGATTCAACAACGGCGCGACAAGCTGATCAGCATCGACGGAAAAAGAGGAAAAGGAAAAAGACTAAAGCAACCCATATGTCAAAAAGACACCTGCTGAGTCCGGAGACACCAGTTAGGTCAGAAAACCCCGGGGTTATTCATGAGATTTTGGTGACTCGGGTGGGAGTCGAACAGGGCCCTACACATCTAACACTTGTAAGATGTGGTGGGACTTCCCACTCCGCCACCCACCCGAGTCGAGAGCAATCACAAAATTCGGGCTTATCAAGGCATGCACCACCAGGTGCTGTCGATTTGGTGCCGCACTAGGGAGGAGCGTAACAGGCCTTGTTTGTAGAGTCTCTGCAGACTCTTTCCTATTGTCCACCACCCGTGATGCCTTCTGCATTAGTGTTATGGTGAGCCAACAATCCCATAACATCACCACATGCAACCAAGCACTCGGACCGTTGATCTGCGACAGACGACTGAGGTCCCTAGGCCAACGCATCTCTCAACGTCTCTTTGACCGACTCTTCCACGTCTGAAGCAACATTGCGAAGCTCATCCTTGACAAAGTCCTCCAGTTGGCTCTGCGCAACGCCAACCTCGTCTTCAATGCGAACTGTAATTGTGTCGTTGAACTCGTGTCGCACATCATATAACTGATTCTCGACATCTTGTGCCAGGTCATGGAGGCCAACCTCTAGCCTGGTCTCCACGTCCGCCACACGTCCTTCAACGCCCTCGATACGTTCGTCAAAACGTTGGTGTTGTTGGTTCTCCTGCCTCTGCGACCTCGGCTCACCCAGATGAGTTGCCTGAACAAGTTGTTCCACCCGATCTAATCGAGAATTCAGATCACTTAGTGACTTCTCGATCCGATCAAAGCGACGTCCCATTTCCATGAAGCCATGTCTACAAATATCCTCGAGGGACATCTTCTCCAGACGTGAACTTCCATCAGCGTCGGAGTCAAGGCGGCGGCGCTTCTTGACGACTGGTGGGTGCGGTGAACTGGATCCCAGCTCCTCGTATGACGGTGGACTCTCGGTCACCTGGGAATCATCAAAACGGGTCTCCTTGGCATGTCCAGGTGAGATAGGCTCCGGCAGCTTGGCATCAACGCCGTATTCCAGAATCCTGCCACCTTGGCCACCGTACAACTTCGTGATGTTGGCCACGTCTGCCATGGTTCTCAGGCAGCCGCTGGTGGACGCCTCCTGACATACTATGGCTAGACGGTCTAGAGATATCGAGTTGGAAGGCAAGGCGACGCGGAAGCTGTTCATCCCTGCCAAAGTATGTAATGAGGAGATGATGGGCCGAGCCTCGTTCTTCGGGATCCATACGCCATTCGGCACCACGAGAGACGGAGGTGTGTTGAGGGTGAACTGCAAGGAGTGTGCACTCGTCCCGAGTCGGGCCGTCGCAGAGTCATCGTCATCGTCCACACGGGCAAGCGTTTGGATGCGTTCGGGGTATATGAACAGGTACACATTCGACTTGTTCCGTTTCCCCTTGTAAGCAACGTTGGCTATGACTTTGAAAAAAGCAGTGTGGGAGGCATGGTCGACATGGATGTCAAGGGTGACATGATCGTGGTTCACAGGATCGTTCGCGAGGAATGCAGTGCGATTATCGTCTTCTGTCCAGGAGATAGCCGCAGGAACCTTGGACACTCTGGTAACATTATTTTGCATTCCGGGAGACGCTGGACCTGCGTCTCCATCGACGGGAGATGACATTTGGGAACTGATATATATTAGCACTCCATGTCAAACTAGTTATTACATTCAATAAGCAGAATAGACGTATCCCCTGCCCGTAGTCTCCTACGGGACAGGATCCCACCCTCCCAGGCTTCGAATAGCGGAGCAGCCTTGACTCCGGACCGATGCGAAGATGCGGCGCAGATTGTGTGGCAGAAGAGGAACCCATCACGACCCCAAGTCCCCACCGCCACAGCGCAACCAGATCAGGCCAAAGCACAGGTATCGTCGACACGGAGAGAAGATCAAACGAGCGGCAGAGCAGGTATCATGCACGCTCGTGCACCTCTTTATCAGTGGCAGCAGAGCTAGTAGTCATGCAGAGCCAAAGATGGTGCGCAAGATGAATCTCCTCCGAGGCCCCGGTCCTTCCTCTGTCCGTGGACAAGAGGGTAGGAGTCGGCATTTCCTGGCCTCGGTGACGAATAACGCGTGCTGTTGCAGATCTGAGTTGGGCGGGCGGTGCGGCAGTCCCTGGAAAGAGGACACCTTTGAACTAACCATGCATGTATGTGCTGAAAGATTTCCGAGTTGGGGGATTCGATGATTGTTAAGGTGTATTGTGGAGCAAATATACAGGAAGATGGCTGTGAATGCCGTCGTGGCCCAGAGATGGTGGGTAGTTAGGTGCAGTGTCCAGGTGAAGTGCCTGTCTGTCGAGAGGGAAGGTCCAAGGAGTGAAGTCAGATGCTAGCTGGATGAGTGGAGAAATATCACGTGATTTCGTGACACCAGCCCCCGCTCTCTCCTTGTTCAGGGGTACCTTGCCCGGGGGGTTGAGGGGGCGTGCAGGTATCATAAGATAATAGTTATTGTTTCCCAAATAATCATGAACCAACAAAATATGCCCCGTTCTGTGTGCGTTGAACTCCATGTCAAGGAGAAGATCTTTAGTGCCAGATCTCTTGTAATTTAATTATCATTAAATCGTTCCATCTATTCTACCACCCAACCCGTGCCCGCAACCCGTCTCTGCTTGATCTTCTTGGCTGGCAGCGGCCATCCCATCCCGCCAGTGCCTTCGGCCCGCAAATAAGGCACAACCCAGACTTCCCTCACCTTCCCGCCTTCACTTGTCTTGACCTCTTTAATCGGCTTGCCATAGCTGATCAACGGCGTTCCTTTGGCCAGCGCCGCAATTTGCCCACCCGTAACATCTGTCAGCGCGTGCATCCTTGTCTTGGCCTTCTTCTCCCCCTGTGCCCCGCCGGCCTGGCCTCGCTGGAGGTATGCGTAGATAATATACTCGGGACACTCGCCAGGGCTGAGGTGCGCCAGCGGGGATGAGGGATGAATATACACGGCACGCTCGCTTGGATCGGCCGTGGAAGGAACGTCGAGAGGGGTGAGAGGAAGATACGGCACGTCGATCGCGCGCCGTGGCTTATGGTACCCTGTCTCAAGGGGAGTCGGAGCTCTGTCGGCGCGGATGGCCACCTGGTCGATGAATCCTGCCGCCGCCATCTGTTTTAAGGCGGTGACTTGTTTCTGTGTGGGGCGGTTGAGCTTGTCTTGGTAGCTGAGGCTGGCAAAGGAGGGGATATGTGTACGGAGTAGCTCCGTGAGTTGTTGGCGGAGCTGTTGGGTTTCCTTGAGGGTTTTATACCGGACGAAATGAGATTCGCACCACGCCTCGGTGGGCTCGTGAGCGAACTCGCCAACGACCTGTAACAATTTCATCGCGTCGGACTTGTCGTCGAGGGAGCAGAAGTTCTTGTGCACTGCGTTGTAGGCGCGCCGAATGTTGGCCTGGTGGTCTTCGGCGATGACATCCGCTGTTGTGCGGATGGGACGCGCATCGTCATCATTCTCGTTGTCGTCGTCTCTGCCAGCCAGCTGTGGTATCGCCTGGGAATCCTGCAGAAAGACTTCACCGGCCGAGAGACCAGAGACCATGGTGATGGCGTATGGAAGACAGTCATGCAGATGGCCCACAAGGAGGATGCGGGCAAAGCGCGGAGACAGGGGAAAAATTGACATGGTCTTCCCAAAGGCTGTCACTTGTCCGGTCTCCTTGATAGCTGAAAGATAGGTTAACAGCCTCTCTGCCTTGACAAGGCTTTGTCTGTCTGGTGGCGTTGGGAAAGGAAAGTTGACCACGTGCTGTAGGTTCATAGCCTTGAGCTGCAAGACCACTCCCTCGATGGGCATGCGCAGCAGCTCTGGGTCAGAGAACTCCTGAAAGTCCCTCTCGTAGACCGCTGAGGAGTACAGCCGGTAGCAGTGGCCAGGCCCTGTTCGACCAGCGCGACCAGATCTCTGGCTGGCGCTAGCTTTGCTGATCCAGCCGACCTCAAAACTTTGAACGCCGTTCAGACGATTGTACTTTCTCTCTTTCGAACGGCCACAGTCAAAGACATATCGGATGCCCGGGATGGTAAGACTTGTCTCGGCGACGTTGGTAGCCAGGACAACGAGGCGGGATCCTTCTGGTGGCGGCTCAAAGACGCGCATTTGCTCTTTGGTTGGCAGAAGTGAGTAGAGTGGCAGGATGTGTAGCCGGGAAGGTCCGGTCCCTGCCTCCCCCTCTTCTTCGGGGATGGCGAACTCAGCCTCGTCATCCTCTTCCTCATCACCCGACACCTCTTCATCATAGTCATCCGGCCCATCACCTTCCACATCACCAAAGTCTATATCCTCCGCCTCCACAGGCGCTTCACTGGCTGGAATTCTGACCTTGACACTGTTGCCAGAATCCATACCCATAAAAGACTTTTTGAGTTTCTTGCTCAGCTGCACGATCTCGTTTTGGCCTGTCATGAAGACGAGGATCCCGCCTGGCGGAAGTTTTCTGTGCCCTCGACTGATCTTCTTGAATGCTTCCTCGACATAATCGTGGTGCGTCCGTCTGGAGAAGTGGACTGTGACTGGGTACTGCCGCCCCTCCACTTCTAACACAGGCGGTGGTATCTTGAAGAGCCTCGGGTTCTGCGTCATGTCCTCAATCCGTAGAGTAGCCGACATGATGATAAGTTTTAGGGGCCTGGTGGTCGGATCCTCTTTCGCCAGGTCGCTTCGTAATTTCACCACCCTACTGAGCATGCCGACCAGGATATCCGTATTGACGCTCCTCTCATGAGCCTCGTCCACGATGATGGCAGAATATTTCTTCAAGGTAATATCTTGCGCGACCTCTCGAAGCAGCACGCCATCCGTCATGAACTTGACAGCGGTAGCGGGATTTACAGTTCCCTCAAACCTGATCTGGTAGGCTACCTTACTGCCATTGTCGCCAAGCTCCTGAGCCACTCGTTTGGACATGCTCACGGCCGCGACCCTTCGAGGCTGAGTGACTCCAATCATTCCGGGTGTCGGTCCAGAAGGAGATCCATAACCTGCCTCGAAGAGGAACTGCGGCACCTGCGTCGTCTTGCCAGAACCTGTAGCACCACACACCACCACGATGTCGTTATTGTGTATGGCTTCCATAATCCTCTGCTCCTCGGCCACGACAGGAAGCTTCAAGCGAGCTTCTTGTATGTCATCTTGCCGTGTAATGTTCACACTGTGGGCTTTCCTGTCTGTGTCCTTCGTTGGCTGTAACTCGAGAGGCAGGGGATCCTGCTCGAGGGGGCGTGGGTTGAAATTCGCAGGTTTAGGAATCTCCAGCAGCTGGGACCCAGATCCCACGGGCTGGTATCCCAGTGCCTCATTCCGTTGCTGATGGGCCCAGGCTTTAAATGCTGAATGACGATGTCGATCTGTCGAAGCCTCATCGTCCGGATTCTCACTTTCCTGTTCGTCCGACGACGAACCCTCGTCGCTGTCGCTACCATCGTCCAAACCTGATGCATCCTCTTCCGACATGGCTTCCGGACCACTATCACTGGCTTCATCTTCCGAGTTATTGCTGTCCTTATCCGTTCCAGTATCAGACTCATCGCCACTGAAACCGCCCCACTCGTCCTCGGTACTCATGTCGACATTTACCGGCTCCGGTTGGGCCAAGGTGGTTTTGGACTTCACACCTCCTCTCTTCTGTCGCTTTGCAAGCTTTGGTCGCCCGTCATCGCCGAGATCAAGTGGCCGCTTGAGCCCAGACCCGACGGCTCCCGATGTCGAGGCGTTGTGCGCTGGCCTTTCAGGTTGGGTCTCCTGCTCAGGTCTCTCGTCTGCCTTCGCTGGCGTGGACGATGTAGCCTGCTCTGCCACTTCTTCACGTTCTGAATCCTCCTCTGACAGATCTGCCTCTGGTTCTTTTGGTTCTTTCCGTTCCTCAAAGAGGATATTCTCGTTCTCCTCCGTATCGATGCCGGCCTCTCTCTCCTTCAATGCCCGTAATAGAGCCTCTCTCTTTGTCTCCCGGTTATGACCGAGTGCCCGGCTGCTAGCAAATAGACTTGTGTCGACCTGATTTTCAGCCAGCTTTGCCAAGAGTTGGCGATTCTCATCTTTCTTGAGCTTGTTTTCGATGTACTTGTCGAGACGTTTTGCCTTCTTGCCGGTGACCTTGACGCCCTGGTTCTTCAACTCTTCACGCATCCGGGCCTTCTGCTCCTCCTTCTGTCGAATGTGCTCCGGGAGGATCTCCTGGGCATTGGAAAGGTCCTCTGGTCCATTTTGCTGTCGGCCCTGGTCTCGAGCCAAGTTTCGGTGCTTTTGTTTCCTCTGCCGCGGGACAAACTTGGGCATGATGATAATTGAGGCGTCACGAGCCTGAAGGGAATCTCCACCGGCGGCCAAGTTCCGTTGATTCCACGACGTTTGGTGAGTGTGCCACCTCGAAAGAGTGGTGTTGGGGTGGATGGGGATGTATGAGTGTGAATGTCAAAATGAGAATGCTTGATTTGATAGGGAGCAGTGAGATGTCAAGAGCGAACTTTTTAGTGGGGTCAAGATTATCGATAAGACCCCATATGATGTGCTATTGTACGTGCATAAGTTCGGAATAAGAGTCTCGCAAAGCATATTCCAAGAAAACAAATGGTTAAGAGGGTGGTTTTCGGACAATTTCACCTTTGAAAAAATGAAATACTTTATCGTTGAACATGAAAATTTTATGCAAAGTGAGAGTGCCTTCGAGATGCTGAGAATATTGAAAAGCTGCAACTTCTGTGAAAACACACTTCATCGTAGACATAGCGCGTACCGTCAATCACAGCGGCCCAGCAGTGGGGTCCTTGGATGGCAGGGGTCCGCTGCCCTCTAGCCTAAGCCACATGACAACGGCTGTCTAACTTGGCTTTCGCCAGAACTAGCCAAGACGACTTTCTTTCCCATACAACATCACACAAGACTCAAAGTGACGGGCGTAACCAGCTTCTGAAAGCAACTATTTGCACCTTTTCAGCAACTCGAGATTTCTTTCGTTCTTCAATCTTCATTGAAAATGGCCACAGACGATGTTAGAGAGGAGCCCTTCCCAGCTCCGTCCCAACAGGCAAAAGGACAGGCCAACGGCATCCCAACAGATGTCTCGTGCGTCAACTTTGCCGACAAGATCGTCATTACGATATCTCAAGACGGACGCCTCGCACAATGGGTATGTATACACACCTTAGCAAATAACCTTCCAAAGGAAGATTCACGTATTGACAGAAAGCTCTCAGGTCCAAGTACCTCTCTCAGCACCCTCACCTGCTCTTGTAGACATGGCTCTCCCCCGCGCTGATCTGTCACTCCTTCCATCAGTCCACCTGGAACCCAAGACTCTTGTCGGCGGTGGAGGCGCAGACAGAGAGACTGTGGGTCAGCTATACGCTGCTCAGATCGCCAGCCATCTCGCACTGAGGAATCCAGAAGATCGGAGAACTTTGATTCTGGGTCTCGGCCTGCGGAAATTCGATTCTGAAAGCCGTGAGGGCTTTTTTGACATCATCGAGTTGGTGTTAAAGGCTCTTTGAGGTCCTGGATGAGTCCGTTCCAGGACGGTGGGGAGGACTAAGTACAGCTATCCCTACCTAAGACCAAAGGGTCAGATAAGGCACACGCAGCACAGGTCAGCATCATCAGCGTAGGAGACATACCTTACAACACACGCTATACAGGGTTCATCAAAACCTCATCTCGGCGTGTCGAATCCAGCAGAAGGAAACTGCTCCTCGTCCAGGTCCGCTGGGTAGCAATAGCTCTCGGCGGAGGTACAACAGAGCCGACGGGTGCATGAGCCTCCCAGAGTTCGCAAGCAGCCATGAAGCTTTGAGCATAGGCATCGTTGTAGAAGTCGAGGATGATGCCATGTATTCCAGGACATAATTTCGAGAAGCTTATCTCATTCGCTTCTGTGCTTGGTTGCTTGATAAGACAAGTCGCTGCACAGCCTCGCGAAACATACTCCAGAGCAGATTATTATACACCTTTCTGGGTGAGCCACGGCATGGCAGAACGGACTGCATACTTATCCGTTCCTGCTCTTCCTGTGAGGGCACCGGAGAAGTATCTGCGCTGGTCCACAGCCACTAGGACACGGTTGTAGTAGACCATCCAATCAAACATTAGACGAACTCTTCACCACGCCTTGTACTCTTCCCAGCCCTTCTCACGCGGGCATCAGCCCGTAAATAAGAGGCCTCTTCGGGTGTTGGGCGCCAAGACTAAACTGCATTTCGTGCGGTAGCACTGCATACGTGTGGACGGTACTTCTGGTCTCGACCTCAGACCGCAAAGGCAACCAACCGCCTTTTCAATGTCGAGCAACGTCCCACGGACGGTAGAGTCAGGAAAAAGATGTAGGATCCCAGTCAACCTCTCGCCAATGAGTCACCTTCTCCAGGCACCTGCGTGCTCAGTTGTGAATAATGCTCAATAGGAACCGGCCTCACTTCTACCAGTCGATGGCGGCTTCTCTTCGTTGGGCCACTTTCGTGTCAGGCATTTTCTTTGTATAACCTCTCAATGACTCTTTGCGTGCAGTAAACCGCGCTGAAGAAAAGGATAGCGGACCGTCGTCTCACAACCCAAACGCCCACAAGAAATCTCTGCTGGGCGGAAACGACCACGCAGTGCGCGTGGACACAGTCCGCATCATTTGGCCCGGTCAGCCCCGATACTCATCACCTGTCGGTATTGGTATCATTACGCCAAAGTGGTGCGAGTGTTGTTCCCAGGCTCGAAACTGTAGTACGTAGGACTGGCCGCGTTGCGTCTCACAGGTCTCTCGCAGCTCGAAAGAGTCTGCAAAAAGACCTTCCCTCGCTAGCCGCACTTCAGCTACCAGGGACTGGAGCTCTTTGTATACGGGCTTCGTATTGCCTGGCCCTGTGGACTGTTGCGCCGCAGCTCGGTCGCGGCGAGCTGCAGTTACGATGGTGCGATATCGGGTTGGGTCACCATTATTGCTCAATATGCCATCACCCGCGTGTGTTTCTGGCGCCGAGTGGCTGAACGGGTCATTCGATGACGTTTTTTATAGTGCGAGATCCTTGCAAAAGAGAGAGAGAGAGAGAGAGAGAGAGAGGTATGGGCTGGAATGACAAGAATACGACAATCTCAGACGTAAAAGAAAAAGAATAAATGAATTAAAAGAAAATCCAAGCTCCCGTACCCATCCACTCCGTCCACACGACCAGGCGGCTGACGCTGCAGGATCTGGGCCAGTGTCACTGTTACACCGCTGCTTGAGTCGGCTGTGCCGTGTGCGGGTCTAATGCTGATCGTTTACTGCTTCGCCCTTCGTATCCGAAAAAGCGAAGGCAGGGGGGGAGAGAGGGATGAAAGCTCGAGCCACGATGTGGTGGTATCATTGGTAAAGGGGAAAATGTCTTAGTCAAAAAAAGCAACCTCGAAGATCATGATGTTCACTAGTGGAGCCTGCCGACATTCCTGTGCATACTATGTTTCTGTACAAGGGCTTTGTTCCCCCCCAAGGATCACCATGGATGGCAGGCCTATGCGGCTTTGTGCCTGCTGATCATGGCTTGGCATTTTATCATATTATATGGAGTCTGTTGATCACTTTCAACTGTCTTAAAGATCAGCCTCCCTTTCCGAAGGCTGATTTTATAAAAGTAAAAAAAGCATCTCATAATTCATCACTGACCCCATCAAGCACCACTCGATAATTTTGTTACACTGTGTCTCTTTACATCTACCCTTTCTCCTCAAAGCACAAGCCCCTCAACGACCAATTAAGAAAAGAGAAGGAAATAAAAATGCAGATCTCAAACCTCTTCATAGCTACAGCCACGACGCTTGGCCTGACTAGCAATGCCTTCATCATCCCCCGCCAGACCAATATTACGGATGAGCACCTGGCCAACTTCCGCACGTGGGGAGCTCCAGACTGCCCAGGGGCGACCGACAACGAGGGGGAGTGGAATTCCCAGATATTCAACCTAAATATCTGCTACCAGTTCCCCAACGACATAGAGGTGGAGTCTCTGGAGCTGGAGAATATTGATACCGGGGTGGACATCACTTGCAGCGGTGAGTACTTTGTTACACTCGCAATCAAAAATTAGCACACACAGGCGAAGGAGAGGATTCGCAAGCTGACGCGCGCGAGTAAATAGTGTATGTCTTCACGGACGATGACTGTACCGTGGATGAGGTCGCATTGCCTCCTGTAGGCCAATGCTATAATTATTCCCCAGCAGCTGGTGCGGACCCGGGGATGGGCTCGTACAAGATCGCTTGCTCCGACGAGTAGAGGAGGGAAAATCGATGGTGTGGGAACTTTGGGCATTGGTACAGCCCTTTGTGTCTAATGAGACGAGTCGACACATGAATTACAGGCCAGGGCCTGGAGGGAGCATCGACTATAGGGCAAGAAGCTCGCAGCACCCGGGAGCGCATATTGACGCCGGTGAGGGACATTTTGGAAGAGTTCCAAAATCTAATAGACGAGCTATGTTCGAGGGATTCGGATTCAGGATAAGTGGTTGACAGGGCTCGTCGAACAGCACAGGAATGGCTGGCTACATGCATAATGAGGTGAATGTTAGAACATACAGAGCCGCATAGGCGTGGAAAGCTTGCTTGATGAGTATATTAATGAAATCATTTCTGCCCTCATACCCCTTGAAAAATGAGTGGGTATGTGAGAATGGTTAGTATCAACTTGATTGCACCGAGCCTTCATTAACATAGTCTTGATATCCGCAAGTCTTCGTTGAATTCACGGTGAAGACGAGGTAACGGAAGAGTTTCCAAGTCACATTCCGCCAGAAGAATGATATACATACTGCCTATCACTAACTATCTTCAAAAATATATAGAAACCATTTGAGGATAATTTCATTCTCTTTCTTCTTAAAAATCTTTTTACTGCAAAAAGAAACCGTTTCCTCCGCGAAGGATTCATGGTGTCTTTAGGAGAAATACTTATAATTAATGGTCAAGAAAGTACCAATCACTTCTGGTCAGAATGTAGTATTATTAACTTTCTAATTTAGATAAATACAAGTGAGTAGGGAGACTCTCCATGTATACTTTTGATTGAAATCGGTGGTAGATATTAACTTCTTCCTTTTCGATGTTTTTGTATCCCTTCCTGCTAAGTGCGACCCTAACCCTTCCTGGTGAAGGAATGACGTCTCGACAACTGTGCATGCTTTCCTTCACTAACAGTCAAATGCAACTTCCTCTGCGTCCCAAGCTGTCAAGCAGCGCAATTTTTCCTTCCTCTACCTGCCATGGCCATCCGGTTACCTTTTCGCCTGTTGCGTGCAAGTAAAAGAACCACCCCTCTCATTCCTTCGCAAAGGACCTATAGCGCCAGTGCAAAGTCGCCCTCCTTTCCGACGGTCCCGACGTGCCCATCGCCCACATGCGAGTGCGCCCCGACGCCGGCGATGCCGGATGGCCTCCCGATCGACCATCAGGGCAAGCTGAACGGACTCATCTCAAACTACTCCGAGCAAGTGCTCATCTGCACAGGCAAGGGTGACTGGCCGTCGCGCATCGAGGAGGACAATAGCGGGGACAACCTCGCCGCGGACCTGAAGGAGCTGTTCGGCAGGGGCGGGGTCTATTCTGACGTGAGTTCGAGATGTGCTCATCCAACGTTCACAGGCGATGGGGTGAGTGAGGCAGCACAGGATAAGTATGGATAGCTGACGGTAAGTGCGTTTGCCCTCTCGCGGGTCCCATAGCCGTTTCACAACATATCTGTGCTCAGCTCGTCTTTCCCCTCCTCGATGCCACAGAGGACGGAGCTGGTAAACACCTCGGCGTACCTGCTGCCCAGCTTCAAGTACGTGCCCTTTCTGCCGCGGGTGTCATTCGACAGCGTCGAGGCGCTGGCGAAGGGGTTCCTCCTGCCGGAGCAGCTGCACCCCATGCACGACAGCCTGTCGCCGATCCACCGCGACAGATTGACGCGGAAGCCCGTGTACCAGAGCCTTCTCCACGGTGTCCGAGACGTAGACGACATCCTGGTCCTCGTTTGTGGTCATGGCGGCCGCGATATGCGCTGTGGCGTCATGGGGCCCGTCCTCAGGGATGAGTTTGAGATGCAGCTGCCGCGGGAGGGCATCAATGTCCTGCGCGGGCCCGTCCAGGTCGACCTGGGCCAGGATGTGGCGGCCATAGCGGGCGCGATCGAGAAGACGACCTGGACTGCGCGGGTGGGATTGATATCTCACATTGGCGGGCACAAGTTTGCGGGCAATGTGATCATATACCTGCCACTGTCCATGACTGGGGCTGATGGGAAGAGACATCCTTTGGCCGGGCATGGCATTTGGTATGGCAGGGTGGAACCAAAACATGTTCAGGGCATTGTGCAGGAGACGGTGATGAGAGGCAATGTAGTCGAGGATATGTTCAGAGGCGGTATCACGCCGAAGAGGGAAATATTGAGGTTATAGAATCTAGCATAGAAGGACACAGCGGGTAAACGGAACACTTGTCTCAATGTTTTGTTGTGCTCTCGAGGTGAAGAGGCATAATGTGTTAAAATCATTAGCAGAGTTTTCGAGGTACGACTTTTGCTTGACTTTAGTAAGCAAAAGTATCTAGAATAGTTTCATTTCATATATATGTATATTGAAGAAAACGATATTCAAAAAATAATTGTATAGGGAAAGGGGCTCTCTTTGGACCAAAAAAAGTAAAGAGAAAGGGGGGTCATTGGTTTGGCTATCTGGCACCTAAATTGCAGTGACAACGCGACACCTCAAACATCAAGATTTTTTCTCTTCTCATCAAGCTTGCTTAACTCGGCCTGAGCAGAACTCAATGTTTTAATTTTTCATTTCTCCCTTTCCTTCTTTCTTTTTCAATAGATTCATTCACATGCTTAATAAGCAGCTGATTATCCCTTAGGCCAGCTATGCGGACCTCAGCTCTGTTCAGACTATCGGCGACGACGCGTTTGGGTGATGCGTCACTGAAAGCCTCGCCATGCCTGAGCCCACGACCTCGTGTGCCGCTTCGCAGAGAAGCGAGCACTTATACCAGATGCCCCTCTACCTCAAAGCTGCTCAAACAAGGCTCATCATGCTGTAAAAGATGGCCATATAAGGCCCTGCCATCATCCAGCCCGCAGCGGCTGGATTCATCATCGAGGAGGCACTTTTCTCATACGCCGCGCACTCTCAACAACCACACCACGCCACCTCTAGGTTCTTCAAGTCAAACAACCGCCAACGACGGGCCACCTCCTCAGTCCCAACCCAGTCCCCACTCGCGTAAGCGCACCCTCATCCACATCGCTTTCATCACCTCCCTCTTTGCTGGCGTCTTTTACTACGCCAACGAGAAGCGCAGGGCCCGCTTCCTCCTCAACGACGAGCGCTTCATGCCTTGCAGAGTCATCTCCAACGAGCCCGTCAGCCCAACCGCCTTTGTCCTCACCATCGTGACGCCCATCACGTCTCTGATCGAAACCCCAAACACCACCACCACCCGCGACGTGCTCGAGCGCGCCTGGGCCCACGGCCTATGGAGCCTCGAGTTCAAACAGCCCCAGCTGCAGATCGCACGGAACTACACGCCCTTGCCCCCCTTGCCAGACGAAGAGGACGCCATGACCGAGGAGGAGAAGCGCATGCTGAAGGTCGGCTTCTGCCGGCTGCGGTTCTACATGCGCCGGTACGACGGGGGCGAGGTCTCGACGTACCTGTCCAGGCTGCAAGAGGGCGACGAGGTCGAGATCCGCGGGCCGCATCTGGGGTTTGACATTGATGCCCGGCTCGGCGGGGACGCGGGGGGAAAGTTGGTGTTTCTCGCGGGCGGGACGGGCATCGCGCCGGCTCTGCAGGCTGCTACTACAGTTCTTCAGCGCCGGGGTGATGTCGATGTGGACATCTTATGGGCCAATAGGTCAAGTGCTGACTGTGCTGGGTGCCCACGCCTGGGGGCGGCGGCGGCGGTTGGTCGTGGTGGCGATGATGCGCACCTCGATGCGTCACCGCTGAGCCCCATCATGCGCCAGCTACAGGCCCTACAGGCTGCATACGCACAGAAAGGCCGCACTTTAAGGGTCCAGTGTGTCGTTGATGAGGAGGGCAGCAAGGTCAGACCACAAGACATCACGCGGGCCATTTCTGTTGGGGGACGACGGGCAACGGCAGCAGCAGCAGCGACATCGTCAACTTGCTCCCTCCACTCGCAACAGCAACTGGAGCACAGCACGGAAGCAGACGACGCGAAGTCCATAGTGGATACCTCCCGCAAGGCTGGCGGGGAGGACATCAGCCGTGGGCCGGAGCGGAGACGATGCAACTGCCCCAGTGAGGAAGGAGGGCGAGGAGGAGCCGGCAAGAATTTATTCATGATCTCTGGACCAGATGGGTTTGTGGGAGCCTACGTGGGCCCCAAGGTCTGGGCTGAGGGTGCTGAGCGGCAGGGTCGCGTAGGAGGGGTGGTGGCCAATTTGATGAGAAAAGACCCCAAGACTTGGGAGAAGTGGCTTGTGCTGAAGCAATGAGATGATTGTCATGCCATCCTTGCTCAGACACTACCATTCCTTCTTCGAAAGTGTAGGCGTTGATACAGCCCTCACAGGCTGATTGGTATAGCATCATGCATCTACCACAATTTATCACTCTGATAAAAGGAAATGTATATCTGTATGTATTCACTCGGGCTCTATGCCCTCGAAGCAGCGCTCGCTCTAAACGCCTAGCTACCAATGTCCCCTTTTAACAGCAGACAAAAGAGACTATAAACACAATCCTCCGAAGAAAACAGTTCCCGTCAGATCCCCTGGACCTTCCTGTACGATGGAGGTTTCATTGTCCTCCTGATCAATTTTCCAGCATATGGTGGGATGAGCGAGATGGCCCCGATGGCCAGGACGCGCCAGTAGAAGCCCCTGTTGGATCACATTAGTTGAGTCCATTGAGAATGATGAGAGGCGGAATGGGGGGGCCAAGAAGAATACGTACCACGTAAGGATGAAAGCCAGATCGAAGTAGCCTCCCAGGAACGGTATCGATCCCACATACATCAAGAACGTCCCTACGATGGATATGATATTGACCGGGTGCCATGTCGTGATCTCGACCGCCACCATTAACAACTCATTCAGGACCAGGACCGTGAAGCTGACCGCTACCATCTTGGGGCCATCGACCTCCGTGAGGAGCTGCGAAAGGCCCTGGATCATGCTGCCCTGGTAGATGCTCACAAACACCCACACAAAGAACGTCCGGTACGACAGCGAGCGCCCTTCCGTGAGCTCCTTGTACAGCTCGGGGTACAGAGTCGCCAGCTCCTCATCGACGTCCTTGTCCAGCGTCAACGAGAAGACAGGTGCCGCAGTGTACACCGTGGCATAGCCTACGAGCAGCCAGTCCTTGTACAGGCCTTCGGGCTCGAACTTGATCGCGATGCTGTACATGGTTTGGCAGACGGCGATGATCAGGCCACGGTGAATCACAAACTGCGCGAGCTTGGCGCTGCGCTTGTAGCTGTTGCGCCCGTGCCACACCAGGAGCTTAGTCAGGTGGAAGAACTGCTCGATCGAGAAGTCGGCAGCGAGGGAGGCCTGTCGACCCTCCTTGCCGACAATGCCGACACCCACGTCTGCAGCTTGAATCATGGAGACATCGTTGCCGCCGTCTCCGATACAGCACACACGCTTCCTGGTGAAATCCTTGATAAGCTTGGCGACCTCGGCCTTCTGTGTAGGTGAACATCGGCAGGCGACGACGGTTGGCAACTTGACAGCCACGGAAATGAACTCGGTTCGGTAATGCGTCAGGAAGAGGGCCAGGCTTTCGCCGTCAATCAGCAGACACGAATCGGCCTTGCTCTTAAGAAAGTCCAGATGATCCTGTGCCTGGTCCTTTCTCTTCATCTTGGCGACAGTATAGATGTACTGACCGCGGGCGACAAGCTTGGAGCTCACAGCCACACAGCGAGCGGTCTCAACCTTGTCGCCCGTCAGCATCCAGATCTTGATGCCAGCGTTCCTGAGAAGTTCGAGGGAGGGCTTGACGTCCTTCTGCAGCTTGTCTTCCACGCCAGTCACGCCCAGCAGCTCAAGGTCATGCTCGAGGTACTGCGACACGACTCTCTGCATACCAGTGTCACGGCCGCTGATCGCCAGCGACGCCTCGGAGTATCTGTCCTTGAACTCGTGGTACTCGGCGGGAGACAATCGCTTTCGGCCCACAACCAGCGTTCGCAGGCCTTCGCGAGCCATGTTGGCCGTCTCTTCGTCTAACCAGTCGTTTGCTGCCACGATGGATCCCATGACCGTGTCCGCACCCTTTTGATAGAACCAAATCTCACCATTGGAGATGTCGGGCACAGAGCCTGACCGCTCCAAGAACTGAACAATGATACCCATCCTCTTGCCATCGGATGTGAAGGGGAAGACTTCCAAGATGCGGACCTGGACAACTGATCGGCCCGTTTCAGATGACTCGAGCACCATCCCCTTGCGGTCACGGTACGACAGTCGCAGACCGACGGCTTCTGTCCACCGGACGATGGCAATCTCATCAGGAGACGAAGCCTGGTAGGATGTGATTGTCTTGCCATCTTCTTCGTCGGTAGTAGGGGTGACGTTGTGACATAGCGCCAAAGCCAAAACCACATCACGTACCCTTGTACCGATCTCACGGCGAGTCCTGGTCGCTCCAACATTGGCAGCTGCGGCGAACGTTGAAGAAGGCGTGATGAGCACCGAGCTTGCCGTCGAGTTTGTGGATGCAGGCACTTGGAAACCTTGCTTCACGTAGGCCGAGACCTCATCCATTGCTTCATTAGCGTACGAGACGGTTCCCACGTGGATCTTCTTCATCTCCATTTCGTTTTGCGTCAGGGTCCCCGTCTTGTCACTGAGCAGGTACTCGATGCGGCCCAAATCCTCTGGGATGGTGCTGGTGCGTACCACAGCGCCAGGAATGCCCGGATCGCGCTGGATGAGCCAAGAGTAGACACTCTTGCCTAAGTCGAGGTTGACACGGAGACTGATGGGTACGATCGTCGAAAACAGGACCAGAAATCGCATGATCTTGACATACCACACATTGCCAGGCACGTTTCCGAACCCCTCGAGGGCGACAAGAACGATTGAGAGCCCAAGGGTCAGCGCGCAAAGAATCTTGGTCAATGAGTTGATCTCATACTCCAAAAGGCCGATCTTTGTCCTAGAGGGAGCTGTCGAGAGAGCCGAACGCGTCTGAGGTCCAGTGTAGACAATCACGGCCAGCGTGGTCGCGTTGGACGCAATGACCGTGTTTGCCCATGCGGTGTTGTCAATTGACAGAGGTGCAGATCGGGGGGTGTCTCCATCATGCTGCGAGCTGTTGGCGTTGCTCATGGCCTCGTGCCTCGATGGGAGGAGCTCGAGAGTGCCAACAAACTCGTTGACCTTCTTGTCTGGCTTGCCGCCCGCCACTCGAAGACGAACCAACTCCTCTGTATCCAGACCCTGCGACAGCGGAGATGCGAGTCGTAATTTCCAGTCCGTCTCGCCATCCAGCTGATCTGTCCGTATGAAGGTCTCCCCTCCAGGACCGGATTTCTGTTCTGCCTCGCTGGTGTCCTTGGTCTCCGTACTTCCCTCACCTGCCTCGTCAATGTTACCCAACAGATCGGGCTGGGCCATTGACGTTTGTTCAGCAGTAGGTTCGACATGGTCCGCAGCGGAGAAACACTTCAGAATGACAACATCCGCAGGCACTCTGTGGCCTTTCTCGAGCTTCAACACGTCACCAACCTTCAGGTCCTTGGACTTCTTGCTGATCTCACGGATCTGGGATGAAGGCGCCTTTCTGTGTCCCTCGCTCTCGGCCTGCTCTTCCTCCTCCTGTATATCTGATAGCCTATCCCTCTCTGGCATCTTTCCCTTGCGCCCCTTGCGTAGGCTTGCAGACTTGAGTGCTTTCCGTGGGCGGCCGGATGCTGGGGCTCGGTCCCATTCGTCAAACGCTACCACAGTGTACGGCTCCGAGTTCGCCTCGTTGTCCCTCCGTCTCCGCTCCACGTCGTCGTATGCCTCCTTCCCCATGGTAATCATGAGAACAAAAGCCAGAGGGCCGATGTAGGTTGATAGATAACCGATCCTCAAGGCGGGTATCGCTTGCGAGAGTGCCACGAGCAGGAAGTACATGTTGAAAAAGAAAGAGAACTCGTTGTATAGCGTTATGGGAAGAAACGTGAAGGCGGTATATTTTGCGTTTGAGATGAGGTTCGGTGGGAATCGGGTCGACTGGGCGGAACCGACGGCCACGAGCCTCGATGCTGAGGGGTCATCTTCCTCCTTGTCCTCGTCCTCACCCTGTTGCTCCCCGGCAGTGGAGGACATGAAGCTTGGAAGACGCAGCCCAGCGGAGCGGCTGCTGGACATGGTATTCTTGTGGCCATTGGCGCGGCGTGATTGCTCGTCGTGCTCGCGCAGGAAAGGTGCATCCTCCTCGCCGGAGTTTCCTCGACTCGAGTGTCCGTCCCGGTCGCCATCTGCTAGCAGAGCCTCCGCATCGTCAAAGCCGTCGTCCCTCCCCCTACCGAGCCCCCCATAGCCTCTATCCGACTTCCCTTTGCGCCGGAGACTACCCATGCGGAGGTTGCGCAGGGCTATCCTAGGTGCCCTCTGCTCGGCAGCTTCTCGTTCGTGTCCCAGCAGCCCCGACTTCTTGCGGAGCTCATCTGCAGGTAGGGGGTCGAGTTCCTGGAGGTCAATCTCAAGGTCCGAGTCGGAGTCGTCGGCGGGCGAATCTGGTGGTTCTGTTGGATGGTATGGATTTGAAGGAGGCATGCCGTAGGTGGGTCAACGTGCCCCTCGAGAGGGTGTATGTGATGGGATGGGGAACAGCAGAAATTATCTGTTGACGTGTACGTGGACCGTCGGGTGCCTTGGGCGTCTAGCGTTCATGTGGATGTGCCCAGGCTGGAGCTAGATTCGATCATCCTCGAGGCCACATGCACACACACTATCCAGGGATGACTGATCAGATGCAGGGCAGATCTGGGGTGTGCCCTCCAAGGGATCGGGATCGAGGTCTCTCGATTGAACGAACTTCGTAGTGAATGCAAACGTGTAACGGCCTTCTCGGGCTCGATACCAATGCCAGTTGCAAGCCTGCTTGAGTGAGGGAAAAATAGATGCGAGGGTGCTGCCAGTCAGTCGTGTCAGTGAAGTATTGGTGTGACCTCTTGAGAAGTGGACAGCGCAACTGCGACCTTTTTGATGAGACGGGGAATCTTTTGGACAGAGAGACACACACAAGAGGATGCGTCAGCGTGCTGCGACACCATTGCGGGCCCCAGCTATGGCATGTGGCCGTGGCCCACCTCCAAAGATATCTCTAGCTTACAGGGGGGGCATCAGCACTACGGTCTATAGTGACGGCTGCACCATGCCACCTACGCAAGGCACCACTATGGTATAGGTACCAGATCCTTGCCCTGGCTGGGACCCCAGCTGTTGGATGATGTCTGGTAGGGCCCTGCGCTGCTATGTACTGTAGTGCTGTGGTATGTGCTATGCTGCACTACTGCACTGCACTGTTACTCGCCCGTTGTACGCTAACCCCGAAGCCTCCGTGGGCGGATCGCCGCAGGCCGCGGCTTGCAGCAGCTCGGAAGCGTGTTTGTTCCCGGGAGACGAGGCCAGCTTTCAGGATCACCTAACTTGGAATGACATCCAACATCGTTTTTTTTTCTTCGTCTCTCGCCTTTCCCCCGAGACACAACCCAACAATACAACGTCAACTGTCAGCTCAGTACCTGGACTCGAGTCTGTGTAAACTTATTGTTCACTTTACCGACTTGGGCTCATATTGCGCACAAGATGAAGTTCTGCCTCTAGGAAGAAGAATTGCATTCTCGAGGCGTCTTTTGAAATTCCCATTGTACAAGTCAGTATCACGGGCGTTGGCCTCGATGTTGTCATTCCAGGCCCAATCTCCCTCGATTGTCGAGTCCGGGTTATGCTGACAGATTTGCCTACGTACTACAGTATCTGCGATATCTTCTTTTTTTCTCGTCCAGCATTCATCATCTTGCTTGTCTCGACCTCTACAATTACATATCTTTTTTTAATCCAACATGTCGTCAGATGCGCCAACGGCGTCGTGGCACCCTGCCATGAGACCACATACCGATGCAGATATCGCGATTAGCCACAAATCGATACAAGCTCCCGAATCTACCAGCCCACTTCCAAGTGCGGTCGAACCCAATCAGCCCGTCCAGAATGGAGGCATGACTGCTCTAAAGTCGATCGATACCTCGGAAACGCAGAGCTCGGGCGGGGACGAGTGGTTTCCGGACTACGAGGCAGGCAGTCCGTGGAAGCTGGAACAAGAGAGCAAGGAGCAGCCGCAAGAGCTGGGGCAACAGGTCCAAGAAGCCGAAGCCAAAGCTGAAGCCATACCTGCTGCTGAACACGAAGTCGTCCAGGAGTCGGCGCAGGTGGCGCATCAGGAAGACGAGGTCTCCATCGAAGCTGCCGACAGTGCTCCAGTTCCGGATGTTGCGCCAGCGTTGGAAGATACTCAAGAACAGCCACATGAGCATACCGCGGACGAGGCGCAAGCTCCAACAGGACCCAAGCATGTCAGCAGCGATTCCTTTGCGCGAACAGTGTCGCACCAGCCCGAACTGGATGATGACGAGGACGCATGGAGCCCACGTCTGACCGACCAAGACCCCTTCAGGTTCATGCCACCGAACGATAGAACCAACTCTTTTCCTGTGGTGCCACAATTGGAACACAAAGAGCGCGAACCAGTTGAGCCACTGCCGACAATCCAGGCCGAGGACATTGTGAATGAGTTGGAGCACCAGTCCGACCCTCTTGACTTTGAGGACAGCTCAGTACCGCAAGCAGCCACGGCCTTCCAGCAGGATGACTTTTGGGGTAGTGGCGATGGGGAGGCTGAATTTCCCGCCCAGGTTGGCGGCGACTTGCAGAACCCAGACGAGGAAGCCTCATATGCGAGATACGACGAGGGTGTGCCTCTGATCGGCCATGATGGAGTCGACGGAACTGGCGCGCAGAGCGATCACAACGCCCGTGACCCATTCGCGGAGGATACCGCCGAGGACGGAGGAGATGACTTCTTTGCTCAAATTGGCGCAAAGGACGAAAGCGCCGAACAACAACCCGATGTCCCCAGCCAGCTTGAGCGGAAGTCAACGATGCAAGTCATAGAGAGTCTAGGGGCTCCCAACACGAACGGACCCGGAGGTGTATTGAATAGCCCACTAGAGGAAGAAGAGGACGAGGTGCTCGACCAAAAGCAAGAGCCTCAGCCCCAAGCAGAAGAAACAACCTCTGCGGCACCCACAGCATCGCAGGATGAACAGGTGCCCCAAGGCGAGGATCTTGCTGCGAAATGGTCAGAAGCATTTGCGGAGGACGACAATGACGAGTTCCTCCTTGAGGATGAACCGGGCGCTGGGAACAAGGAGAACCAAGGCTTTGACCCGTCTGCATTCTTTAATGACGACGACGAAGGATTCCTCGATGACATTGAAGAGCCAGTCTCTCAGCCCAGCCAACCGGCCACGAGTGTCAACCCAACCCCTGCGCCGCGGCCCGCCGCGACCAGCAACCGATATCTCCCGTCAACCGCGACGCCATCAGCAGCAGCTCAGCCACTCAATTCATACTTTCCCAGTGCAGCTTCCATCATACCACCAACCCAAAATATGGGTCCTATCACTCCGGCCGCAGCGAGTCCATATACTGTTCAGCCTCCCATACAGACCATGGCTTCGCCGTATGGTGCACCTGCGCCTGCACCTGTACCTAGGCCAGCGGTTAACAAGGCCCAGAGCTTTGCCGACAAGTCCAAGGGTGGCTACTCTTCGCCATATGATCTCCCCATGGAGGTCGTCAGGCCCAAGAAGCGGGCTAGTTATCAGCATCTTCCTCGTGGAGGCGCCACCGCACCACCGCCGACAGGACCGCCTGCCCCCCCGAGAAGTGCGAGCTTTGGCATGTCTGCCCAACCTTCACCTCCACCGCCACCCACAGGTCCTCCACAGATGCCGGCCTCCGGTTCGAGCGTGTCACCTCCGGCGTCAAACCACTCTGGTCAGTCCCCGTCACTACCAAAAGCTCCTCCGCAGCTCCAGTCCAAGGCCAGCTTCTTCGAAGAACTACCGTCTTCCAAGAAGACACGGCCAGCTTCGCGGACGAGTAATTCGAGCCTGCCCTCGCCATCACAGGCCAGCTTCAGTGGGCCTCCTCAAGGCATACACCCTCCCCCTCCAACGTCAATGCCTACACCGCCCCATGACCCCACCATGAACGGTTCTACTGTCACACCAGACATCTCGAGGCTGGTACCGCCAGCGCCGACAAATCCCTATGCAGTTTTGCCCACTGCTGCAAACTCTGCACCATCTGTGCTGCCACCACCTGCACAGAGATACTCGCCAGCGTCTTCGCAAGGAAACATTCCAAATGGTGCGGCCCCATCGCCCAGCCGATATTCGCCTGCTCCCCCTGCGCAACGAGCTGCGAGTTACGGCCCAAGCGTTGCGGCAACGCCACCATCTGTTCTGCCTCATCTTCCCCGAACGTCTAGTCCTTTGGCACATTTTGAGGCGAGACCCACAGAGACATCACAGGCAATGCCTCACCTCCAGCAAAGTCGAAGCACGTCGTCCCTGTATGAGCCCAGGCTAAACAGGGTGCCGTCCCTGCCACCAACGCGTGAGGTTGAGGAGGAAGATACGACGACGCAAACGCCCAACAGGGCCCCTCCACCTCCCGGCGCTTCGCAGCTTCCACCCAGAGCACGGCAGAATGTCGGCACACCTGCATCTGATACCTTTAATGGCAACGCCATGTCTCCTCCCAAGAGGAAGATCTCATATGGCCCAGCGCCTATGACGCATGAGATTATTCCTCCTCCTAGGTCCCAGACCGGATCACCAGGTGCCATGTATGGTCTGAGATCTCCTATCAAGGCTTCAGAGATCAGTCCGCGTCCCTCATCGGCCCAGGGCCCTACACCACCCTCTATCGCAAACGCCCTGTCTTCTGTGGCCCCTACGCGGCCAAGAGGCATGTCACAAAGGTTGAATCTGATTCCGCCCACCGATGGTCGTGAACATGATCCCCTACAAAGGTGGAAAGGCGTTCCGTTGATAAGCTGGGGGGTTGGTGGGACACTTATGACATCTTTTCCGGTCGATGTTCCCAGATATGGTATGAACCAGGCTGGACCGATGATCGTTCGGAGCCCTGGTGAGATCAAGGTGAAGACAATCAGGGAGGTTCAGCCACTCGAGGAACGCCTTGCCAAATTCCCTGGTCCGCTGAGGGGCAAGTCCAAAAAGAAGGAGACCATCAGCTGGCTCACTGTGGGCATCGAAGAGCTCGAGCGAGGCCTTCCGAACCTCGCATTCCAGACGCAATTGTCACACGAGGACAAGCGAGCAGTTGAACGTGTACTCCTCTGGAAAATTCTGAGAGTGATGATTGAGAATGATGGCCTTCTCGAAGGCAACGCGACTGTGGACAAGGCTGTTCGCGATGTACTCTCGCTTGCGCCGACAGATCAGGACCAAGTCGCACAACCACCTGACACGACCGGTCCTACTTTTGGTTTCGCGAACGACTTGTCGTCCACACAGATGCAGCCAGACGCCGTGGACTCGGCCACACTCCAACGACTGAAGAACGCTCTGCTCTCTGGAGACCGGGAGAAAGCAGTCTGGGATGCCGCTGACAAGCGACTCTGGGGCCACGCTCTGTTGATTGCCAACACCGTGTCGCCCGACCTCTACCACAAAGTCTCCCAAGAGTTCATCAAGAAGGAGGTCAACTTTCCAGGACACAACAACGAGTCGCTCGCAGCACTCTACTCTGTTCTATCTGGCAACCACCAAGAGAGTGTTGACGAGCTCGTTCCTGTGCATGCCCGCGCAGGTGTGCAGCTGGTCGCGTCCTCGGCAGGACCCGTCAGTGCCAGCGGGTTAGATGGCCTGGAGAAGTGGCGTGAGACTGCGACTCTCATCCTCAGCAACAGGAGCACGGGTGATGAGCAGGCCTTGAGCTCTCTCGGCAACTTACTCTCCGGGTATGGCAGAGCAGAGGCCGCTCATATCTGCTTCATCTTTGCCCGGTCTGCCACAGTATTTGGGGGGCTCGACGACCCAAGGGCCCAGTTCGTTCTTGTGGGCGCAGATCACAAGACACAGTCACAGCAGTTTTCCAAAGAGACAGAGGCTCTGCTCCTCAGCGAAGTCTACGAATATGGCCTCAGTCTGTCCGGAATACCGTCAGTCGCATACGGTGTCCCTCACCTTTCCGTCTACAAGCTACAGCACGCCATCACGCTGGCCGAGCACGGTTTCCGAGACAAGGCGCTTCAATACTGTGACATGATCTTGAAAGACATGAGCGCGCAGACGAAGCGATCGCCCTACCACCATTTACTTCTGGAATCTACGGTCGAGGACTTACGCCAGAGAATGCTCCAAGCCCCCAACAAAGAAGCTTCGGGCTCATGGATTTCCAAGCCGACCATGGGCAAAGTCTCCGATTCCATGTGGAACCGATTCAACAAATTCGTGGCTGGTGACGATGCAGACGCAAGTGGGCAAGGGTCTCCGAAGTTTGGGGAGGAGTCAGGGCCTTTTGCACAGATCCAGGGCGGCACTCCCACCGTCAGCCGGCCCCCGTCTGTATCCAACGCAACGGGTATGGAGATGTTCAGCTCCCCTCCGAACGGCTTTGGATCCTCCCTGGCGCCCAGCAACTCTCCCGTTTTGACGAGGACCGCATCGCGGTATGCACCTGCTGCAGCCTCTACCGCCGCAGCTCCATACGAGCCACACCCATCTTACACTCCGTCTGGACGCTCACCCATGGAACGCACCTCTGGAGAGTATAACCGAAGCCCTTACGAGCCTCGACGTCCCTCTTCCGACATGTATGCTGCTTCTACAGGCAACTACATGCCCAACAACACCGTGGCTACTCCCAGCCAAGGTTACCCTGAGCCGGCGATGGGACTGGCTATCCAATCTCCTAACCAGCCTGCTCCTCCTCCTCCTCCTCCTCCGGCTGCAAGCTCGACGAATTCGGCTCCCCCTCCTGCAGACGCCTCTGGTCTGAGGACTCCAGGGTTCTCGCCTTACACACCTCTTCCACAACAGTCACCGTCGCTTGCTCCTAGGGGCGGCTCACCTTATGCTCCAATTGCGCCCGAGCCCACCGCTGGCGACGGGCACGGCTATGGCTACGAGCCACCAGTTTTGAACGACGTGCAAGACCAGCCGATTCAGTCGATTGAGGAGCCAGCAAGCTCCGGTGGATTCGAGCCACCTTCCTTTCAGCCATACGGCTATGAGCCCCCGTCTTACGAACCGGCCCTCGAGACAAACCTTGACAATACAGAAGGCGATGATGAGCCTAAACCCAAGAAGAAGAGCTTCATGGACGATGACGATGACAATTTCCCGTCCATGGTTCCGAAGCCGACTGAGAAATCCAAGTCAGAGAAGGACAGGGAGAATGAGGAGTTGTTCCGCAAGGCCGCCGAAGAGGATGGTAAGTCTAATGCCCACTCAATTCCCAGTAATCATCTCGTCCATACTGACAATCATGCAGCAAAACGGGCAGAGGAGGAGAAGGCAGCCAAAGCCAAGAAGGGCTGGGGCTTCGGTGGCTGGTTCGGCGGAGGCGGCGGCGGCGGCGGCGGCGGTGCCAAGAAGGACTCGCTTGAAAGTTCGCCCAACAAGCCGATCCGCGCTAAGCTGGGTGAGAAGTCCAGCTTCGTATACGACCCCGACCAGAAGCGGTGGGTGAATAAGGCCGCGGGCGCAGAAGACAGCGGGCCGAGAACATCGACGCCCCCGCCCCCACGCGCAACACCGCGACCCTCAATGCCCGGGCACGCGGCGTCGGCCCCGCCAGCACGTACCGGAACTACGCCTACGCCATCAGAGGGCGCCGGTACACCACCCCTTCCAGGCCCAGCTGCTGGTTCCGCGACGCCGCCTATGGTACGCTCTGTATCAACAGCTAGCAACGGTGGACCGCCGTCGGCACCGCCCAGTCGCCCTGCTACGAGCATGAGCAACGCGAGCAGCATCGACGACCTGCTCGGGGCTGCGGCGCCGCGAAAGGGTGCTAGGGGCAAGAAGAAGGGCGGTGGCAGATATGTCGACGTCATGGCCAAGTAGGGGAGCGCCCTGCGTCGGCACGGGGCGAGGTCGTCCGGGGACGACTTGGGAGGAGGACAAGCCCTCGGCAAGGAGTGAACCGGCGTCAGCGTGCTTCCCTCAACGAGCGCTTGGGGCACAATGTCAATCAATATATGAAACATGGAGGAGGCACATGAGAACACACACACGCACACACACACCTACATACATCAAACACGCACACTTATACATACACATGGGACCAGGCAGGCCAGGCCAGAAGCTCCTCCTCTTTCTCTTACCCGAGGAGCACGTTGCAGCAATGACTTGATGGATGGATTGATCGGTGCTAAAGACGGAAATGATGGGAACCAACCACCAGAAGGGACGGTCATGTAATAGAACTTGTGTCGAATTTTTGTATGGATAGAACATTACGGGCGGGGGGCTTCTGGTCTCGCACATCTCATGCCTCACTATTGCTACTACGACTTTATAATTTCCTGCTTTTACCTGCGCAGCCAGATGGATGACACTTGATGTTGCTTTTGTTGAACGGCTATTTATCTAGCCGATTGTCTCTCTGACCAATGTCTGTCTTTTTTCTTCTTCATCTTCCCCTCCTATTCCCCCCATAGTCCTGCCCCCAGCCATGCAAGAGAGAGACCGGCATCTTACGCAACAGGACAACCGTACCGCAACGCCACCCACATGCAGAGTTGGGATGAAAAGAAACTCTAGCCTCTGACAATCGTCCCAGCTTGTTTTGCAATGAATTCTAAACACATACTTGTACGCTTTTGGACCTCTCGAGCGATGAATCACCTGCATTTGACTATGGTCCAAACGCTTATCCGCAGCCATAACACGCCTGGTATCATTAAAATCATCCCGTTTCACCAAAGCGGTGAACATCAAGTTGGGGTTAGTCGGCCGTCAAGCCGAACTTATTCCATCATGTGATGCCTTTGAAAGTATCCCCTGAACGCCGACCAAGATCTAGTATACCTTTGCGAGAGAAACTACGATGTAAGAATCTGTAGGCTCAAGCGCTATAAGACGAAACATAATACTGTCGAAAGAAGAGAACGAAGAGAGAGAAATAAAGTCAGCAGAGGCACAGACAGGCAGGTATCATCGCGGGCCCAGCAGGCAGACTTACCGTGATGACTGCGTCGTCGGCAGTCGCATCGTCAAACTGCGGGACGTACGCATACAAAATCAGGGCGTGGTCGTCAGCGAAACAAGCAATGACCCTTCCCTCTAGCCGACCCACGCTCAGCACCCTGCTCCAGTCCTTGCCGTCGACCCGGACCGTGGCCCACTTGTCCGGGCCGGCCTGCCGGAAGGCGGTCGAGGGGTGCTGCTCGATCGGCACCGTCAGCTGGGTGGGGTCCAGCTGGGGGTTGTCGAGGTTCCGCCAGACGCTCTCGATGTTCAGCGCCTCGGTCGCGATGCGCAGGCGTAGGCCGCCGTGCATGTTGGCGCTGAGCTCCAGCTTGGGACTGCCTCCGCCGCCGCCGCCGCCACCACCACCACCACCTCGGTCCCGGTTGCTGCTGCTGCCGCCACCTGTGGCTGTGGTACTGGTGGTCGCCAGCTTGGTGAACCTGTCGGAGATGGCCTTGAGCTGCATCAGCGGCGGCAGCTGGATGTGCACCTCGGGCTCGCGGACCTTGGGCTGCATGATGGTCTCGACGGTGTCCGGGTGCAGGACGCGCACGGGGATGTCCTGGGTGATGACCTTCTCGCGCTCGCGCTTCATGGTCAGCTCCAGGGCCTCCATGTCGACTTCGCCAAAGGGGTCGGCCCCTTCGTCGTCGTGCTCGTCCTCGCCGCCGTGCGAGTGCTGGGCGGCGGTCGTGCGGTGGTTGTGGAAGGGGATCCCGGACCGGGGCTCGTTGGCGCGTTGATCGGGTGTGGTGTGAATGGTCATGGAGAGCACGGGGATGCCGTCCTTTTTGGTCAGGCGCAGGGTGGCGTGGTCGCTGTTGATGGCGGACTTGAGGGCCCGCTGGAGCGGGTTGAGGGGCAGCTCGAGGTTGATGGTGTTGGAGGGCTCGGCGGATTGGATGTGGTAGTCGTTGAAGATGAAGTCCATGGAGAGGGAGCTGTAATCGTTATGATGCAGATATAAGTCAGCGACCAATTCTTTCCTGCCTCTCCCGTCCTTGCAAGGGTTGCATGAGTAGGAGAAGGAGGAGGAGGAGGCGGAAAATGACGACGACAGCGTGAGAAACTCACGCCCAGACTTGCGACCCCGTCTCCGGGATCACGGTGAAACGGGCTGTCTCATCGTCGAGACGGACCCAGGCGATCTTCTCGAGGGAGTTGAGGGCTGCGATCAGCTTGTTGAAGGTGCGGATGTTCTTCAACTCCGTCTTGAATCTCATTTCGGGCAAGAAGGAGGGGGAAAAGTACTGTTGGCTGAGGAGACCCCTAGTATACCCTCTCGCTAAGACAAAAAAGAAGAAAAAGTAAAAACTTGAAAGGCGTCCGTATAGTGGTGGGTGATTGATAGCCCCGTCGTCTGAAAGCAGGTCGACGCGTCCCATACATAGAACACGCGTCGAGATTTAATGGGTAAAAAGGTCACGATCGATAGGGAAAGATGACGGGCGGGTTGGCGGGGCACGCCGTCATCGGCACAGGGATCAGGGCGATCGGGTGGGTGCTGTCAGTTGCGCCCAGCGGGGTCTTCAGCGGACCCCCGTTTCTATGTTCCACGGCACGGTACCCCACCTATTGCGGACTCCCTAAACCCAACATACTTCTGGTATTACTGTACTGTACTGCATGGTGGTGGAGGTGCTAATAGTAGTAGTGTCTTTCATGACTTTCATCTGGTGACAGCTATGCTACGGAGAGGAAGGGGAAGGGTGGGAAAAAAATGAGAGGAAACGTCAAAGGAAACAGCATGTTTATATATGCATCTATAGATATGCATCTATAGAGGAACAATAGTTGCTTGTGCGAGAATGTTAGTCTCATACTCCCAAGACAACTCGTACACGTCCTCAAAACATATCATTTCACTGCAGAGCATTTCCTACCGCTGAAGATAACCACTACATAAACAACGTGTTGAGTACTGGACAACATTGTAGAACCCAGACACAATTTCACTCCAGCCGTAAACATGAACTGGAACACTTCAGTCATCAGGGGACATAGCGCTCAGTATCGACATCTGGGGCATATGCATAGTCAGAAGCGAGCTCCCAAAGACTAGAACTAGCTTTGCCCGACAGACGACGATGAGCACGTCCAGCATGGGCTCATGAATGTTCCGATGGGCGACAGCAGATTCGTATTTGGCACTTGTCTGCGGGGGTGGCAGTCTAGAATGGTAGCGTAACGAATCGAGAGCAATGCTACTTTTAAGGCAGGCGATAGGCTTTCACCTCGAAGCTTTTCCAAGCTATGGCAGGACAGTATGCAGCCATGGGTTCTACGCTGAAACGAGTTTGAGAAATGGCCAACGTATCTTGTTGATGCAACCTGCCTAAAGTTGACATACTATTGTCCCTCCGCTGGACTTGTTCTTCACGCTCAGTCAGCCTTGCCCGTCTTCCACCAACCTAGCAGCAGCCGAGAACCGACGCAAATAAGCAGGTGCTCGACGACGATGGAAGTCCCCGATTCAAGATGGACCTTGAAAGACTGCCCAGAGGGCAGCAGTGTAGTAGTGAGTGCGTGAAAGAAAAAGGAGAGGAAGTAAAGGAAGATAAATACGCCACATTGCTCCGAAGCTCCCAGAAATCCTTGTGTGAAAACACCTATGCTCCCTGCCTCATGTCCATGTCCATGTCCACCCACCGATTTGTCGAACCCTGCGCATCTGTTCAATCTTACCTCTCAAGTTGTGGCATGATGCCCCCCCCCCCTCAAGCGTCGTTAATCAAAGCATCCTGATGGCCTCGGGTACCTCACCTTCCCAGCCACCACGTTCTTCCCCCTCCCCCTGCAGCGTGATCATCATCGTCATGAGAAGTGCTCAGCTCTTGTCTTCATCTTTGGCTCCTGCTGGTCATACCAGCCCAGGAATGTCCAGTCCGGGCCCTTGTTCGCGAGATCCCAGTGGCCGTAGGGACCGGGGACGGGGATCATACTGCTGCGGTGGGCCGACAGCCGTGGGGAGCTGGGAGAGATTATGTCGCCGCCGCCGTCGAGGTCTCCGTCCTCGTACAGCTCGCCGCTCTCGCTGTCCTCTTCGTCCTCGCGAGGCACCTTGATCTTCCTAATACGAGCAGCATCCAGCGTCAGCCTCGCCAGAGCAGCCGTGATATGGAGGATTTGTAGTGCCAACCTCATCCCCTTGGCGGTGCTGCTACCACCACCACCAGGGCTCCCGCCGCCCTGGTTCTCGCTATCGTCGCTGTCCCCACCTTCGGATGATCCCGACCCGCCACCACGATCACCCTTCCTCGCCGCGGCCTCGAGGACCTCCTGCCTACGCATGCGCCTCGCGTACTTGATCTTGCGGTGCCGGCAGAAGCTGCAGTCGGAGTATCGGGGCTCGTCGGGAAAGGCCTTGGCGGCGGCCTCGTCACGGCTCAGTCGGGACTTCTTGGGGTCGTAGAGCGAGGGCAGCACTGGGTGCTGGCAGGCGTGGAACAAGTCGGCCCGGCAGACGGGGCACATGGGCTTGTCGGTGATGGCGAGGTACCTCTTGATACACACGCTGCCGAAGACGTGCCCGCAGGGTGTGACCGCGTAGCCCTCCTTGATGCCCTCCGGAGACCTGGTGCCCACGTCGACGGCACAGATGGGGCAGGTAGGGTCGAGGGCGAGGCGCTCGGGATGATCGTCGTGCCGCACGATAGAGATCCTGACGGCGGACTTGGCCAGCCGTACAGACTTCATGGTCGACGAGGCCGAGGGCGAGACAATCAAGATGCAGTGAAGGAGGTTGGAAGTGTCTTTGAACGAGACTAGAGGGAAGATGAGAGGATGGATCAAAACAGCTCCGAGTGACGGGGCCCAGGAGGCTGGTGACAAGAACCAGGCTGGAGCTTGCGTCTTCTTTCTTCTTTGACTGGAAGATGATGAGACGGAGATGGAAGGGGCGAGGCTGCTCAAGGCACCAAGTGGCATGACAGAAGGACAGGAGCTGGAAATTCTCGCCCAGGTGGCAGGCAGTGTGAGTGACAAGTAACGTGGTCGGTGGGTAGCTGGGTGGGTGGGTGAGTGACACGCCTGTGCCCAGAGGTACCTAGGTACGAAAACAAGGTACTGGTACTGGCAGTAGTAGTCAACTTGTTGAGAGCCCCTCAGGCAGCTGGACAAAGTGTCGGCGCCAATGATCGACGACCAACGGCGTGGTCACAATCCCAAAGGCCTCTGCAGTAGCAAGAGGAGGGGCTGACTGGGCTGGGCCTACTGAGGAGGTGGTGGGAAGGAAGTAAGAACAAGGCTCCGTCTGAGCTGGAAAGATAGCGGGGAGGGGGGGGGGAGGAGGAGGAGGAGGGGTTGGGGGTGGGGATGGGTGGGTGGAAGAGCAGGCTCGCAAACGACAGGAAAAGGAAAAGAAGAGATAAAAAACACAAAAAGAGTAAGCCAAGAGGGTCAGCCGCGGTGGGTTTAGCTACAGTTAGGTCAGGTTGGGATGAGATGTGTGAGGTGTAAAAGGTGTTGAGGTGTTGGCAAAATCAGTGAGTGGTAGCAGCATGTGGCGTGGTACCCCCTCGATAAGCTGGGGCTGGCCCTTGCTACTACCGTCCAAAGTACTGCTATAGTACGTGCTTCTCTCGCTTTGCTCCCCCCCCCCCTCTCTTCTGTCAAGAATGCATCTGTGCAGTTCCACTCGAAACATTAGGACTAAAAAGTAAAATTCACAAAAATTCACAACAAGAGCCAGTCTGGTCTCAGATGCATTCTTTCCCATATCATGAAGACGTAAGCCTAAAGCAGGCAGACAGCATCGAGTCTCAAGTGGCAGGCAGCTGCAGTATGTCATAGTTCTCAGCATGCAGTATACTAATGACTACCGTGGTAGTAGTAGTGCACTGCGGGAGGGAGGGGGAGGTCTACATAGTACGCAACCGGGATAGGCGGCAAGGGTGGAGGAGGCAAGGCTGGCTGGCGGCTAATTGGGCCCAACAAGGTTCCCAGTGCTGGTATCAGTGCAGGGCAAGGGGCTGGTATGCAGCAAGGCAACGTGGTGTAAGTCGGCTCTTGCCCGAAACGGAAAACTGTTGCAGCAAGAGGCTGGGAGCCTGTGGAGTATTGTCTACAGTACATAATTAGGTACTCAATATGTAGTATTGCATAATTCTGGGAGCAGATCAGCTCAGCTTCTCCTTTGGTCGTGACCTTCTTGTCTGCTCTTAACCATCACCGTCACACTCGCATTGAATTATGGATCTCGACAAGAGGCTGGCTTCGTATTATCTCTATAAAAATAGGAAATCCCCAGCTGCTTTCCGCTTTTGTTTCACCCTCGTCTTCCCGCCCCAGTTTAAGCAGCCCCCACTTGTTTAGGTACTCTTCCATGTTGCGTGTCCTCCACCACCTGACTGACCTGCAGACCCGTTCTGTGCCCAGGAGCTAAAATTGCTGTGCATGACCTGTCTCTACGTCGTAGATAAGTAACAACAAGCGGGTGAGGCCAGACTTATCACGAAAGCTACTGAGACGGTCTCATCGTATGAATAGTCTGGCATCTGACCTCCTCTATGGACTCGATGGTCCTGCCATCGATCGTCAGTAGACCTGACTGAAGAAGCAGTGCGTACAGCTCTCAGGGTATAATTTTAACACCTCCCCACCCAGGCAGTACGTACTCATGAAATAAATCTTCTTATTCCCTCTCCTATTATCACCATCAATTCTGTGCATAATATGTATAGACAAGTTGTGCTTAAATCTCAACATTTATTTATTTGAATACGGCTGACTTTAGTCTGAGTTCTGTATTGCATGACATGTACTGCTTTTGTGGGAAGGTGTTAAAATTGTACCCTGGGAGTCGTACGTATTCACTGAACATTTGTTTCATAGATATTATTCACATCAATAACAGCCAGGAACCGAGACCTACCAGTGGTGGAGTGAGCCGTAGCGAACAGCCTAACGCCGTCGATGATTATGTACAATCAAGTTTTGTTTTGTATTATAGTCTGTCCAACCTAAAACCAGCACTACCAGAAGTGTCCAAAGAAACGTCTACCTCGTTCGGGCCGGAGATTCCGCCTCATCATCGCTGTCATCCCTGAAGCCCTCTTCTAAGCTGTGTAGATATATCGTTAGTAGCTGCTTCACACGAGACCCCCTCGACTGGTTCAGTAAGGACTTACTCTCTGCTTAGTCTCCTCTCCAGATCCGGCCGCCCGCTACTCCTGCTCCGCCTTGCCTCCCTCTCCAGCCGTGCGCGCATGTCTTCGTCCTCGGGCACCTCGTCCAGCTCCTCGCCCTCGTCAGAGTTGTATCCGTTGTCCGACCCCGTGCCAACAGCTACCACCAGCCGGTCCTGTATCCTCTCGCGCCATGTCGAGGGCACGATCCACCGCGTGATGGCGTTTTGTACTCGGTACCGCAGCGATATCGTCCCCGAGGAGATGGACTCGAGCGGCAGATACGCGCCGTACCGGCTGGACCGATAGCGCTGCCAGAGGGGCAGGAGGATATAGGTCGCGAGGAGGAAGACAAGCAGGGCTGTTATCGCCGGGACGATGAGGGTCTAGTGAGGCCAAGAACGGCGGTCAGCACTCTTGAGCGTTGTATGAGAGAGCCCCGCTGGGGAATGGTGGAAGGGGGGGGGGTTGTCTTGCCTTTGCTGTAGAGACTGTCGAGCCCATCTTTTTCAGAAGAATTAATCTATCTGGAGATATGCGAAAAGACTATCAGGGGTGTGATCTCGAGAGGCGAGTTCTGGCAGAGGTGGTCGGGTCGGCGGCTCCGGATCGAGTGTTGCAGAGGAAAAGGAGGATTCGGTTCCAGAGTGGCAGCAGTCAGGTATGACCTGTGCCCTCTCGTTCAGCCCGTGTCACACGCATGCATGACAAGAATAGGAGATGTGTGTGTGTGCACGTATGGCAGACGTTCCTCTTATCGTGCCTACGAAGACCTCTCGAGACCAGAACGAGGAAGGTTCGCAAGAGGAACACGACGCTTCAAACAAACGGGGCACTTGTCGTCAGCAAGATCGGGGCAAAAGCTACACTACGATCCGAACCCGCAAAGCAGGGGGTCGAGAACAAAATAAGAGGGTTAGGGTTTGGGAATGGACTCCTGTTCTAGAGGCAGTACTACGGCACTACTCAAGTACGGTCTTGGCCACGTTCCGAAGACCCTGACAAGCGGGATCGGTGGGGCCATGGGAAGGTTTATTAGGGTAAGCTCGTCGGAGATAGAACAAGTATAGGATAAATCAAAATACGAGCGACACAAAAGAAGAAGAAAAACAGGAAAAGAAGAGGGCGTGCGCTCAACGTGTGTGCTTGTCTACACAGTATATACTGAGGTATAATAAGTAATGACCAGGTTGGCGCAGCGGGATCGAGAATACAGGACCTCGAATCAGGCAATGCTTGAGATGTGATTTTTTGTTCCTCCTCGTCTGGTGAAGGAGCCAAACCATCATACAGATACTTTTGTCTGATGTTTTCCGTAGTTTCTTACTACGGCTCGTCTGGGGGTGGGCTCTTCTTTGAAACCTTGCCCGTTTCATTGCGCAATATCAACCGCTGGTTGCATTGTCGATTTATTGGTACTGCCTCGTGGGAACCCCCCTTCTTCATGACTCGAATCATATGCGTCGCATAGTTCTGAGGGCACCAAAAGAACCGTCCATGTAGCAGACGGGTAAATTGCATCTGGATAGGATTGCGAATAGACCGAGGTACTTAGGAGTATGTATGACGAATGATGGATGATAAGTCAAATGATAGAAAAATTTAGCACTGGACCTTCAGGGCGGCCCCCCCCCCTCTCCTGGAACCAACAGCCAGCCATGTGCAAGCACACGAGAATGGAAGCAGGCCCTATTCCCCTTAGAGGGAAGATGGTTCTGTCCCTGCGCTTGCATACGTGCCCCTGAGTTCTTGTCCAGTTGGAGACTGGGGATTGGGGACCCTTGGTTGGTTGACTAGCATGGCAAGTATGGCTACATTGCTAAGCATAGCGGCCTCTAGCGGTAGGGCTTGCAGGCTGCAGGGCTCTTCAGAGGTGTGAGAGGTCGGGCTGCAACACGGGCCACCCGCACCCTCCCTGCTCGAGAACCATCAGCCCTCTCTCCACAACGCCCGTCGCTACGCTATTGACGCCTCGCTTCCTCGAAGGTTGAATCCACCCCCTGCATCCTCTCTCTCCATAGTCCCATGCCCGTTGCCGCAATCCTAGACCTCACCTCAAACTTTCGATGCGATCTGACAACTGCCTCCACCACCATCCCTCATCTGGGTTTTCTCCTTGTCAGATCCTCTCGATACAACAAACACATTTCACCACGACAGCAGAGGGCAAAGGGGTGTTTTCTGTTCGGGCAGCAGTAGGATTGGACCACTGCCACATGCTAGACGACGTCTGGACCATGCGCTCGCAGACCTCGCTGCGCGCATTCACCCATTGATCCAGATCCACCCTCGCCGTCGTAATCACCACCTGCAACCCGACTGCGGATTGTAGGGCTACAATGCGATCGGCATTGAGACCCAGAACACCTTCGACACCTGACGACGACCCCATCCGCCCCTGCGGAAATCGCTGACCTGGTGGCCTTCGACTTCGAGTCCCCTCTGCCCCCTCCGTCCTCGAATTTATACACACGCGCGGCCAGCCGATTCCTTCGAGTCCAACAAAAGAAGACAAGAACCATCCAACCACTCATATTTATCGACATCATAGGCACACGAAATAGGCGACTGTCACGAGGGCGGCCGCCGTCGTCGTCCCGCCCAATCGCAACATGGCCTCCCTTTTCTCTAGAGGCAAGCACAAGGACAAGAGGCACACCAGCGATGAGGGCAGGCACCTGGGCACAGGCCAGCAACAGGATGCTGCCAGTATCATCTCACGCTCCTCTCGGCACAACCGCGACTCGTCCGTCATATCCCTGGACCAACCGACGTCGCCTGAAGGAGGCGGCATCAACGAGATGGCCGGTGTCTTTTCGACCATACCTTATGATAGTACGTCGAATGGCCGACGCTCCCCAGTACCCATCGAATATCTACCAAAGGGGGACCAGACGCCGGTCCGGAGGGAACCCCTTCCACACCAGTTGAACAAGGCCACTGCGGACTTCCACCAGTATCCTACTTTTGATCCGTCCTCCCTACAGGGCTATGGCCAGCATCTCTCGGGGCCCCGGCCGCCGCCCGGGAGACATCTGTCCAACATGACCATGGCAACGACCGGCCGCTCGACGCAGCTCCAGCAATGGGGTCCCGCCAGGGATAGCGGGTATACCGATTCTCATAATTCAAAATATAGTGCCTACGCGCCATCGATAGGAAGAAGCTCAGCAGACCAATCTAGCATGCTTTCAGGTAATGGCGGATCCTATGACCTTTCCAACCTATCCAGTCGCTCATCCAGACCAGCACTGCCCAGCGCCTCTTCCCAGAGTAGCTACTCCTCTCACATTTCCACTCGGGAATCCCAGCGCCTGACCAAGTTTCCAGGAGGCCTCTCGCCGACCAGTCCCAACGATGCTTTCAACTTCCCTAAGCCCGACGACAAGCTGATCGACCAGATGTTCCTCCAGCTGATGCAAAAGCGCGGCTGGCACAACCTCCCGGAGCAGGCCCAGCGTCAGATGCTGGCCTACCCCTCCGCGAAGAAATGGACCCTGATCTACCAGGACAGACTCACCGAGTGGCAGGGCGAGCAGAAGAGGAGAATTTCGACGAAGCCGGGCTCCTATCAGACTTTCGACATCGCAGCGTCCGCTGCGGAGGAGGGCAGTCCCGAATGGTACGTTAGGAAGGTCATGGACAACAGTCTTGATACCAAGGGCCTAGGAAGTCTGGAGGTCAACCTGCGGACGCAGCAGATCGGGTGGGTGAGGCGTTTTATCGAATGTCAAGGCCAGGTCGCCCTGACGACTCTTCTTTTAAAACTGAACCGAAAGCAAGCAGCCGGGCCGGCAGCACCAGACGGTGCAAAAGCGCACCACGGCGATGCTAAGAGCCTCGACCGGGAGTACGATATCGTGAAGTGTCTGAAGGCGCTCATGAATAACAAGTTCGGCGCAGACGATGCTCTGGCTCACCAACAGGTTATTATAGCATTGGCGACATCCCTCATCTCGCCGAGGTTAAGCACCCGGAAGCTGGTCAGCGAGGTCTTGACCTTCTTGTGTCATTGGGGCGACGGCGATGGCCATGTCAAAGTCATCCAGGCAATGGACAATGTCAAGAACCAGCACAACGAAAATGGCCGGTTTGACGCCTGGATGCGGCTTGTGGAGGTGACTGTCGACGGCCGAGGCAAGATGGGTAGCTTGGTCGGCGCCAGCGAGGAGGTTCGCAGTGGTGGTGTGGGCATGGAGAACCTGCTGATGGAATATGCCGTCGCGACGCTCATCCTCATCAACATGATTATCGACGCGCCGGAGAAGGACCTCCAGCTGCGGATGCACATCCGCGCCCAGTTTGGAGCCTGCGGCATCAAGCGCATCCTGAGCAAGATGGAGTCGTTCCAGTACGACCTCATAGACAAGCAGATCGAGCGATTCCGCACCAACGAGGCCATCGACTACGAGGACATGCTCGAGCGGGAGAACAGCAGCATCAAGGACAGCATAGAAGCCGAAGTTAAGGACCTCACCGATCCTGTCCAGATCGTGGATGCTATCCAGATGCGCTTGCAAGGCACGAAGACGAACGACTACTTCGTTTCTGCGCTGCAGCATCTGCTCCTCATCAGGGACAATGATGGAGAGGAGAGGCTGAGGATGTTCCAGCTTGTGGACTCGATGCTGAGCTATGTCGCCATGGACCGGCGGCTGCCGGACATGGACCTAAAACAGAGCCTCAACTTCACGGTCCAGAGTCTCCTGGACAAGCTGCACACGGACTCTGAGGCTCGGCAGGCCCTTGATGAGGCTCTGGAGGCCCGGCAGATAGCAGAAGCCGCGATGGCCGAGAGGGACGAGGTCAAGGCGCAGCTGGAGCTCGGTGCTGACGGGCTCGTGGCGAAGCTGCAGAAGCAGCTGGACGAGCAGGCCAGGTTTATTGACGCCCAGAAAAGACAGGCTGAAAACCTCAAGTCCGAGCTCGAAAATCTCCAGACCATCCGGGCCAAGGAAGCCCAGCGGAATGAGCTCGAGACCCGTGAACTGTACCTCATGCTCCGGGATGCTCAAGATGTGGCGGCGTCCAAGGCTACTAATAACAGCAGCTCCTTGGGCGAGGAAGACCCGGCACGCGCCCAAGGCATTCTTGACCGCGAGCGGCTGATGGAGCGCCTCGCTAAACAGCTCGAGCGGCAGAAGACACAGTTCAAGCTGGAGGGCAGGCGTTGGGGAGAAGAGGTGGGGCCCTCGGACGAGCTGCGTGCCCTACGAGAAGAAATGGATGGCTCCGGCCTCGACGTTCCCACGGCCAGGGATTTCACCCACAGCATGCTCGGTACCGTCAACCGCAACACCCGGGTACCCCGGAAGCGCGACTCGTCAGGCGAGCCCATTGAGGATGCTACCAGCGGGGACGAGGATGTCATTTACGAGAAGCCACGCATGGTCGAGATTCGCAGGCCACTTCTGGATCCCAAGCAGGCTAGTGGTCTCATGGGCGAGATCAGAGGTGCGGTCAAGAAGTTTGATGCTAGTGACTCCGAGGACGACCAAGACGCGACAACAGGACCATCCCATCCCAGCCTCGAGGTCCAGTCCCCGATCACTCCCAGCGAGGACACTCCTAAGATCGAGGTCACTGGCGCCGGGGCAGCAGCACCTCCCCCTCCACCGCCACCACCGCCACCACCGCCTCCGATGCCTGGTCAACTTGCCGGTGCCCCTCCCCCTCCTCCCCCCCCTCCTCCTCCTCCGATGCCTGGTCAACTTGTAGGCGCTCCTCCTCCTCCACCGCCGCCGCCCCCACCTCCTATGCCGGGGTCGGGCTTGCTGT